AGTGTAGCGGCGTCCTCCCAACCATGTCCTTCGCCTCTATGTCGGCGTGTCTGTCGAGCAGCAACGAAACGACCTCCTTCTTGCCCCGTGCAGCGGCCAAGTGTAGCGGCGTACTCCCATTCCCGGCCTTCGCCTCTATGTCGGCGCGCCTGTGGAGCAGCAACGAAACGACCTCCTTCTTGCCCCCCTCGGCGGCCCAGTGTAGCGGCGTCTTCTCAACCCCGTCCTTCGCCTCTATCTCGGCGCCCTCATCGAGCAGCAACGAAACGACCTCCTTATTGCCCCTTCTGGCGGCCAAATGAAGCGGTGTCTGGGCCCCTCGGTCTTTTGGATCGATCCCCGGTATCCGGTCGCTACCGTTGTTTGACGTGTCTAGCCCGAGCAGCAGCTCGACTATCGCATTCCTTCCCTGAACATCTCCTTCTGCTATTGCCGCTAGGTGTAAAGCAGTCCTTCCATTGTGGTCGCGTAGTCTTGTCTTTGAGTCTCCTAGGAGATCTTTGATGAGGGCTCTATGCCCCTTGTATACAGCCCAGAGAAGCGGAGTATTTCCTAAGGCATCTACAAGATTAACATCTGCACCTGCTTCAATTAGCGATTGCACTACAGCACTACAGCCATAGGTCGCCGCATGATGCATTGGTGCCATTCCATCCACGTCTTGCATGTTGACCTCCGCGCCATCCCGTAGAAGACTCTGCACAAGCCGGGCGTCATTATGCTGACAAGCATAGTGCAATGGTGTTCTTCCACGGATGTCCCGCGCGTTGACATCAGCTCGACAGGCTAGCAGCTCTTCCAAGGCATGGACGGAGAGTTTTGCAGCTGCGTAGTGGAGTGGTGTCCAATCGAGGACGTCTTTTTCCTGTCCTCTACCCTCCTTGTCCTCGAGCCATTGTTTGATGTCCCAGGAGTCATTGCGGTGGGCCATCCAATGTGAACGCCTGAACTTGACCGTTGCCTCTTCACCTTCGAAGTGCTTGGGATTTGTGACAAGGGAGGACTCCCAAGAACGACCCTGTACTTTGTACAGGCCCATCAGGCACTCCAAGGTGTCATCAACATCACCATTCCGCAGCTCGTCGTGAAGTTCCGATTGCAGCTTCTCCAGCTCGTCGATGTCTCTTTCTTCAAATTGTTGGGCTTTCCTTAGCTTGGTAGCATCGATGACTGCTCTCAAGCACTCCATCAAAAGGGCAGTAGCTTTAGTGGTGATGTCATCCTGTCTCAATACTTTTGCGGTTCGAAAAAGCCACAGGTACGCCCCGGCGGCCTCCTTCCAATGCCCCAGCCGCTCTTGCGGCTTGGCATGTTCTTGAGTCCGTTCAACGATGGCGTCGGCACGTGGGAGCCTTTTCTCTGTGCTCAGCGGTGGGATGACGCTCAGATAGATATCTTCCAAGCTCCCAAGTCCAGTGCTTTGGATATCCTCGACCATTTTGGAGAGTCGGGGATTATGCAATGCAAATGATTGCCACCATACACGGCCACTCGCGCTGTCTGCCTCTGTAGGACGTATGTCCGCTCTGCCGGGAAATCGCTCCTTCATCGTCTTTGCAGCAGCCCACATGAACGCGGAGAACATGTGCTGGGCGAAGAGTGTCTTCAATGGCACGTATGATTCGGCCGCCAAGATCGAATGCGTGCTCAGTTCATCAACATCGCCGGCAAAGGATAGATCTGCGCGAAACATCAAGTCGGATGCATATCCGACAATTCGATGGGCCTGCACTGCAATCGTGCTTGAAATGTTTGCCGATTCCTGCTGCTCCACCTTGATGACTCTGACAGCACCATCAGGCATCCACCACTGGAGGTCTTGATGCAGGGTCGTGGTCCGGCCAAGAAGACGCAGGCTACGTTTCGCCTGCGTCCCTGTGGCTCGTAACCATGCATCGTCATCGGCTGCCGCATCTTTGTGCCCTGCAGGAATCGTGTTTTTGCCCTCCTCTTGCTTTCCAGTGGTTTTTCCGTCGTCCTCCTGCGGTTGCTTGCCATTGCCTTGCTCCTTGTTATCGACTGAATAAAGCCATAATGACAGGGCTGCGTCGATCTCGTCCGAGTATGCTTTCCAGGCCCCAGCCTGTCCTCGTTCTAGCCGGAAATAGATCGGTTCGTCGGAGACTTCGAGAGACCAGGTGAAGCTCCCGGTGAGAGTAGGAAGTAGGCCTTCCATTGCAATTTCAATTGCCCTTGCAAGTGAAATCGCTTCGGCGGACGCAGGTCCGTGCCAATCCGCGACCTTGCTCAGAGATCTTCGCATCATCATAACCTTGTGGGCGTTTGAGCGGGAACTGGAAGCTTCATCTTTCAGTGCCGGGCCTAGCGTCTGAGCCGTCCCATCATTCCCGTTGTCGCTTGCCTGCGGCGATTTGCTCAATTTTTCAGTACCTGCACCAGCGGCATCCAGGGGCGGCTTCAGTTCCTCAAATTCCTTTACTTTTGTAGGATCTGCAATCGCGGCAACCCTCCAATCCCAACCATTGTCGTACGCCCATGGTCGGTCGTATTTGTCCCAGTTCCTCTCAGTTATATCGGAATACATCCAAGGGGCCTTGCGACAGTCTCCGCCAAGGGTCATCGCCAGCCAATCTATCTCGTAGCCCGAAAGAAGCGGTTGTGACCCTGGATTTTTGGCGAGATTTCGACGGACCCATGCTCTAAGAATGGTCATGACGACGGTAGCACCAAGTTGGGCGATTGAAACTGACCAGTGCATGCCGCGTAAACCGACGAACTGTACGATGAAGCCGCAGATGCTGATGATAGTGCCAGCGACAGCTTTGACTTCTTCGAACTCAGTTTCCAACAAGCGCTCCAATATAGTGTCTTTGGGTTGCCCCGACACAGACTTCTTGATTTGATTCGATTCCGTCTCTTCAGTCTCTTCGAACTGTTTTCGCCCCTTCGAGCTCTCTTGTGGCCTCCCGAAGCAGGTACCCGGCCACAGGTCTTGCACCATTAGCCTTGCTACTCGCCGCCGAGACGTGGTAACCAGGGCTTGTGCCTGGTCTGGAAAAATTGCAAAGGACTCAAAAACCTGGTCGTTGACGGTTCCAGACCTCTGTAGCCAGACGACTCGAGCGCTCTTCCCGGCCGGTGGACGATACCTCGTTTCCGACGTGCTGCTCTCGACAACGTGAGCACAGATGAGCATACCGAGCACCAAGAGCACCGTGCCGGCTGCAGTGCAAGGAAAGGCATAGTCGGCGACAGGGCTCCCATCCTTGACCAAGTCGAACGTAAGATACTTGGCGGCGATCCCGGAGTAAGCAAGTACGCCAAACTGAAGGACAATGCCACATGCGGCAACCATATATAACTCTCCTCTGCCTATTTGATTGTGAAGGTTAAGAGTGAGGTTTGGTGTATTGCTGTTTCGAATGACGATAACCGAAGGGCGACTTTCATTAGGCTTCTCGAAGCTGGACTCTTGACGAAGTTCAGGCGCATCGGAATCAGGAAGAGCTTTCTCAGTGTCCTGTTGTTGCTGATCGCGGTTGCCCGAAACTCGGGTTATAATGGTAGACGCAGACCGAAACGTAGCGTTAGGTTGATGAACTCCCCGGTCTTTCCCTCCACCAGGACAATCCGGAGTAAGCTTGCCCAAGATACGTTCTCGGCCAGAAAGGTCTAACCCGTAAGTAAGATACAGCGTTGAAGCGGTAGAGGGGCATACTGACCATGTCTCTTAAGGTACTTAGTATCCTTGTCCTCGAGACCCTTCAGTTCCGTTACCAGCACCTCCTGAGCCGCCTTTAGGTCGTTCATGTTGTCACCGGCTGAATCTCCCTCTGTTCCAATCGCTGCAGGAGGTTGACCTGGACATTTTGTTGTCTCCGCCCCCCCCCCCTTCTCGCCACTGCCCTCAGGCAACAAGACGATGAACTCCCGAATCTGCCCTTCGCCCATTACTCTGACTATCCCCTGGCCGTTCCAGAGCTCGCATACCTCCTTCGAAGTGGAGGACATCAGCTCGGACTCGGCGATAGCGCGGCTTTCCCTTGCCCTTCCGATGATAGCCTTGAGCCACGACGGACCGCCGACGCGGATTGCGCCGACAATGGCGGTAAGCACGCCCAGCGGGGCCATAGCCAGGATAACATTGTCGGCCCAGCCCGTGGACTGGCTCATGAACTGCGTGGTGACCCTTTCTCCGAAGAGGGCAAGTAGGCTGGGTGCGATGCAGGGTCAGCATGCAGCAACGCCATGGAGGCTGCGATACATACGGGGCCAGGTCGGAGAACAAGTTATTGGAGAAGTCATCTCCGGCGTCTGCGGCCACACTGGTGACGAGGCAGACTCCGACGAGAAGCATGAGCGGTTCGACCATCCACATGTCGAGGCGAGGCTGAAATGAGCAGATCAAGCGTCGAGGTTCAGGTCGGTTGCTTTCCTGTTGTTTGTTGACGACGAAGCGAAAGTAGCTGTAAGAAGTAGTTGGCGCCCAAGACAGCTAAAGTGAGGGGTCAGAAGTCTCCCGCCACCTCGCATTTTCCCAGCCACCGACATTTTAAACACCAAGATACATCTGACGATATCTTTTTACAGGAAAGGGTTGCGGCGAATCAGATAGTATTAGGCAGATCGTCAGGTACCGAGCTACAATATTTTTGTGTACCAACCCCTGGCTTTCTTGACACAGCGCGCAGCCGGCGCGGCATTCCCCTGATCAGCCCGTCAATCCAGGCCTGGTCTATAGCCTACCACGCCTCCCGCAATCTGGTGAATTCTTCGACATCCAGCTCGTTCTTTTTTAATCCCCAGACGTCAGGGAATATCCCTTTTGTAAGGAAAGGTGGCCCGTACGCCTAGTTGCCTTCTTGCGCTGTAGACGCATATCCAATATCTTCTCCTTCTTCATGTTGGAAAGCCAACAGCCACGAATGTACCGTACCGTAGTAATTGGGCACCAAAGGATGGGTAACCACTCAATTGATGATGATGCTGCTGTCCGTGTTGTTCCAAAAGTTACCCCGTTTCCTCCTGATCCTGAGAATCGTGGTGCCAAGCCATTAATCACCACCAAACTGCCCTCCCTGACCACCTGCCAAATCCAACACCAGATCACCTCGGCGAGTTTGTTCATCCTGTTTATTACTGTTCTTCATAGCTCTCGGTCTATACGCGTTTTTGGCATCCGGTTGGCATTCAAAGACATTCAAAGCTGTTGAGCTGAACTGGCTCCTTGGCACCTGGATTCAGGGGCTGGGCACTGTTGCCCAATGCAGTAAGCGTGGAAGACTCGTCACCCACCCCAACGCAGAGTTTGGCGAGGGTCCCCTCGGTTCTTTCAAGCAACACACACACATGACGCATGGTTCAGACAGCCAATTCAAGCTTCATCTTGTGCCTCAATTGATGCAGTGTCACCTGATTGGTCTATGCCCATTCGAGCCTGTAACTGTTGCTGTCCAACAAAACCTCCATTCAGATCAAGCTGGCCCAGCCTAGGCTAATTAGTTTGATTAGCTGTGCTCTTGGTTTTCCGTTTACTATGGTAGCCGAAGTGTAAGGTGACATACACAGGTTCACCAAGGAAGATGCACCGAATCCACAACGAGAAACAGGCAAGACGACTGTATTATACGTGCACCATTGACTAACTGACTGATCCTTTGAGAGAGGATAGTTCCAAGTTCCAATTTCTGTCTCCCGCTCTTCAGATATTGTCAGGAAGTGGGGCCGTTCCCAGGACTGCCAGGCCGAAAGTGGTGCCAAGCCGGGAGTGGGACTCTGAATACGAGTGCATCGTGTTGGATTTGGCAGGTGGTCAGCGAGGGCAGTTCGGAGGTGATTAATGGCTTGGCACCACGATTCTCAGGATCGGTAGAAACCCGGTAAACTTGGAGGCAGCGGCAAGACCGTGGAATAGGTCAATCAGAAGATCAACCTCCGTGTCACGAATATGGCCGTATGCAGAAATCTGGTGGGGGCGCGAGGGGAGCGTCCCGAGCCAATCATTTAGAACATGGGTATAGCCAATCACGACGGGAGCGCGAAGTCAAGCATTCGCTCCATGGAAGGAGCGATGGGAGCGACGAGCGCTCCCAGCGGACCAGGAGCGACAGGAGCGAACTTCGCTCCTTACGCTCCTAAGGACAGTAGGAGGGGAAGTTGTATATAGTTCACGATCCCCAGAGCCTACGGGCATCACAGTAGCTTCCTCAGTAAGCAATACAAGCAGTCAGCCATATCTACTGCTGAGACAATTGCTTGTGCACTTGTTGTGAACCCTTTGGCTTCACCGAACCTCACCCCGTTGTCAATATAACCTTCAGGAGTCCCTTTCAGAAGTGGGGCTTTGAGATTCATCACACGTTGCTTACTCCCTTTGGTTCTGTCACGGACTTGACTGAAGGTCACCGATCGCCGTGGCACCCAACACCCCCGAACACCCCCGCTCTGCAGGCCCAGGCCGCAGGAGGCAACACCACGGCAACTGCCCAGGCACTCGAGCAGGCCAATGCCCGCAACGCTCAACTCGAACGAGAGCTCGCCTACTTGCGTGGACAGACCGCCGAAGCCAAGATGGAGGCACCGCCTAAATATGGAGGATACAAGGATGAACTCGCTGGATGGCTATCCAGATGATGGCCTACTTCCTCTACTACGCGGAGCGATTCGTCAACGAAGCTCAGAAGGTCGGCTACGCCGCATCCCGTCTCGAAGACAAAGCACTTGGATGGTTCGAACCGACCTTGGCCGATTACCTGAAGCACACCGGCGATGAAGAAGAGCAGGAGGATTTTACCCAGGAGGTGTTCAGCAGCTACGCCAAATTCGAGGAAGAGATCTGCAAGATGTTCGGAAACCGAGATGAGAAACTGCACGCTCAGCAGCGACTCGCACGACTTCGGCAGACCAAATCGGCAGCAGCCTATGCCACCCAGTTCCGGCAGGACTCGCTGCGTTCCGAAATCAACGACGAAGGACTGATGCAGTTGTTCTACGATGGCCTCAAGGAAGAAGTCAAGGATGAACTGTACAAGGTGGACCGACCCGACACCCTCGACAGGTACATGGCAATGGCGATTCGGATCGATGATCGCCTATACGCGCGTAAGCAGCAGCGTAAAGGCAAGGGCGGAGTGGCCCCGACGTACCAGGCGAACGACAAGCAGAAGCGCCAGTACAAGAGCACGTCTTACGGCACGCACGCAGGTGCGATGGACGTGGACGCCACCCACACCCAGAAGGAAGGAAGAAGGGGCGCTGCCAGGGACAAGGCAGGCGTCACCTGTTTCAATTGCGGCAAGAAGGGACACTTCAAGCGTGACTGCTGCAGCGCCAAGAAAGATTAGAAACCGGTTCTAGGAAAGGAAACAGCCACCATCGACAAGCACGTCAGGATCGTGGAAGTTGCAGCCGCCAGCTACGCTCAGAACAACCTTCAGTACGACATTGAGCGAGCCAACGCCTACGAACAGGCACTCGCCGACGCAGAGATAAGCACCAAAGATGGAAACCTGGAAACCGACGACAGAGGCGAAGTTGCACCACCCAGCCGAGCGCTCGAAACGGCTCGACTGTGGGGACGCACCCTGGCCCAGGATAACACGGTCAGTGGAGAACTCGGATCGCGGGAGAACAAGAGGGACCGAACGTCGCCTATTTCCAGAAGCGCGTGATCGAGCCGCGGGAAGAAAACGTCGGACTCGATGAGCGACTTCACAAATCCAAGCAACCCTTGGATTATAGCTAGTATATTAGCATCGGCAGGGCCACCCGACTGAAGGGTATACCCTAATTCAAGATCCAGAAGAAGAGGACATCGGACTCTTAGTGGGAACTTAGGAGCAGACAATAGCTCTGAGAGTGTCAGGCGCTGGCCGTAGATGATATAGAGTCTGAAAGGGACGCCTCTCTAGCACTTAAGACGGAGTTGGGAAACGGCTCTGGGCCCTCCAAGGGGCCCGTCGACGCTTAACGCTACAACAAAAGCGACAAGCCGCGCAGTGCAGGAAGAACGGGCGCAGACGACAGGCTTACTACGACCTCCTAGCAGATGAACGCGAAACAGCTGCTGTTCAGGACGAACGACCAGACAACAGACTCTGGGTCACCGCGCGCTGGAAAGGATTCCAGGCACTGGCGTTGGTAGACGGAGGGTCGCAGCTCGACCTCATCTCGCCAGCATTCGTTAATCAACTACGAATTCCACGGAAGTTCAAGAACGAATCATATACCGTCAAAGGACCGTTCGAGACGCAATAGGTCCGACGAGAGACCGAGCTACTCGACATTGAGGTGGAAGGAAAGACCACCCAAGTGGTATTTGACATCGTGGACATGGGGCCGAAGAAGGACATGATTCTTAGACGCCCATGGCACGAGGATTACGACCCTGACATCAGTTGGAAGGGAGGTGGCCACCTGCGACCGAGAGATACTCCGTCCCATCCGACCGACTCGATGGGAAAACACGCGCAAGAGGAGCCACGCATGAGCGGTACGTACGACGACGCGTTGCCAACGGGCCTACTGCAGGACGCGAGCAGTGGCAGGGAGACCACGACGCGATCCGGAAGAAGCGGCAAACGACACAACCAGAACGGACGAGCAAGCAAGGAAGTAGCCGTCATCGCGATAGACGAGCACGGGACACTGGATTCGAGGCGGCATTCATCACTGCCGGTGATGACAAATTCTCGTACTACGAAGGTGCGAAGAAGGACGACAAGAGGGGGCAGATCCCGGACGAATACCGAGGACACCCAGCGTTCGAAGCGAAACACATGGAAGGGTTGCCAAATCATGGTCCTTGGGACCACGAGATCAAGCTCAAGGATGGCGCCCAGTTGAAGTTCTTCAAGGTACACCACACCAACGAGAAGCAGGACGCGGAGCTACGAAGATACCTCGAGCAGAACCTACAACGAGGACATATCCGACCATCGACATCGCCAGCAGGCTACCCAGTCCTTTTTGTTCCAAAGAAGGATGGGAAGCTACGAATGTGCGTGGACTACCGACAGTTAAACGATCAGATAGTGAAGAACCAATACCCACTGCCCTTGATCTCCAGACTTCGGGATCAACTGGCAGGGGCGCAGTGGTTCACACGTCTTGATCTACCGACGGCATACGCATATATCAGGATCAAGGAAGGCGATGAGTGGAAAACGGCGTTCAGAACACCTTACGGGCACTATGAGTACCTCATTATGCCATGTCACGGGTCGTGGCAGTGTGAGGTTCATGTGCGCACTCCTGGTTTGACTGGACAGTTCGAACCACGGTCCCTCTTTTGAGAGTGTTACGCAGTGGTCAGTTGCGTCCACCCGTGACATGCCATTCGGGTTGACCAACGCTCCAGCGACATTCCAAGCGGTCGTTGACCACGTAATACGACCATTCCTCGACAAATTTGCAGTCTGTTACTTGGACGACATCCTCATCTTCTCGAAAACGCTCGAAGAACATAAGCGACATGTGAAGCAGGTGCTCGACGCACTGCACAACCAGAAGCTCTCAGTCAACAAGGACAAGAGCGAATTCCACGTCAAAAATACAGTCTTCCTGGGCTTCGAAATTTCGCCAGGAGAGAGACGGATGGAACCTACGAAGATTGAAGCCATCGGGACTTGGCCAAGGCCGAACAACACGATAGAGGTCCGAGGATTCATCGGATTCGCCAACTTCTACCGAATGTTCATCAAGAACTCCGTCGACATCGCACGACCTCTGCACAGCTTGACGAAGAAGGACGCCGAGTTCTAGTGGAAGGAAGAACACGAGCAAGCATTTCAACAGATCCGCGACGCGATCGCCGCAGATCCAGTGCTCGTATTACCAGATCCGAGGAAGCCATTTGAGGTCGAACCGACGCGTCAGACTACGCGGTCGGCGGGCAACTGAGTCAGAGGGACGAGAACGGCAAGCTACACCTAGTTGCGTTCTTCTCCAAGAAGCTCGCAGGACCACAGCTCAACTACCCGATCCACGACAAGGCGCTGTTGGCCATCATCGAAGCTTTCAAAGAATGGAGACCCTACCTCAGCGGCACGACGTACCTAGTTCAGGTATATACGGATCACAAAAACCTTCGATACTTCACCTCCACTAAGGAACTGAACGGACGACAGACTCAATGGTCAGAGTTTCTGTCAGAATTCAACTTCGCCATTCACTACAAGAAAGGCTTAGAAAACGCACGGGCAGACGCGTTGAGCAGACGGCCAGATCACTTCGGAAACGACACTGAAGAGTTAACACCTCTATTCCTAGAACAACAGGACGAATCACTCCGATATGCTTCCCAACCGGTGGAAGATTGCGACGCACTACACTTCACCAACTTGAGAAGATCTCGACACGCAGAGCCACGCCTCCAAACCGCAGAGCAGCCGTTACGACGAGAGCAGCTCTCAACCGTGTGAGGATCGCCGCGTGGATACCCCTTACGCTCGGGAGAAATTGGGGCAGTCTTCAGGGAGCAGCGGCCAGAGGCTGCCGACTGCACGACAAAGGACGAGCAAGAGAGACTCATCAAGATGATCCACGAGTCAAAACTAGGAGGATATATGGGAATCGCCAAAACCATTGCGAAGGTCAGACAAAACTACGACTTCCCAGGATTAACTACGCGAAAGAGTCACTGGTATTATTAGCAAGTGCAACCTCTGCAACCGAAGCAAGTCGGCGCGGTATAAACCGCGCGGACTCTTGCAGTCATTGCCAGTTGCGAAATGACGACAAGCAGCTCAAAACGATGCGTCAGCCGCGAATCGAACGCGGGGCCCATCGATGGCAACGATGGATTTTACCACTAAACCACTGACGCTGTTCTCTGATTTGATGAAAAGAGTTTCGGGATCTGATGAATATGCGACTACACCGGTCGTCGGGAGCCGTCGATCTCAGCCTTCTGAACTGCACCGTCTGGTTTTTACCAATCGGCGTCAAGAATCAAATCCCACATAGCATTTGGACCTTGACAACGGGCTACTCCTCGACACCCGCACAAATCCCAGGTCCCGCCCAGAGGATCCGCAAATACAGCCATCGGCACATCTCTTCTCGGCCTTGTCGGCGGCATCTGCCTCCCAGCAAGCTCGACGGCCATAACACTCAGCGGTGGCCTGGCCCGGTATGATGTGGTGGATCAGCTCCGGGTCGACAGCAAGCAGAGGGAGGTCCGTTTGGTCGGTCAGCCCCGGCATGGACCAAAGCGTGGGATTACGCACGGTGCGTAGGACGGGGGCAAAGTAACTGTCGCGGGCGTCGGCGAGTGTCTCAGCAAAACTCGAGCCGGAGGCACTTTTGACGGGGGCTTGAGGACGAGTAGTCATCGGCCCGACTATACGGTGACATTGCGATTCCCGCTGAGATCCCCTTGGGAGTCTGCGTGGGCGGCATCGCTGCGGGCAACCGGATGGTCAATTCCAGGGGAGCGTCCGCTTGTGGCGATTCCTAAAAGGAGGAGGTAGATCTGTACCTCGGGTTCAGCTTCTGCGTAAGTGTGCCAGGGCTTGGCAGCGGGTTGATGCAGTCCAGGAACACGATCTCGGTCTGAGAACGTGCCGCTTGCAGGGCTCTCTTCCCTTCCCTCTGGGACCACCACGTCGGCACTGAGGGCGTGGGGGATCCGTATTCGCATCTCGCTCCACCGTGATAGCTCCCGGAGCAAAGCCGTCCCACGTCCAGTCCCTGTTGATGGAGAGTCTGGTTGCTGTAATCCAGCGCAGGCCCAGAGTCGCCTTGGCCGAGAGGGACAGAGACGCACCATCTGGTCCGAGTTGGTGAGGGAGGAGTGCGGCACACGCAAAGATTATTCGGCTACCTCTTTGGGCCCGGAGCGTGTGGCCGCTCACCCTAAGCCGCAAAGCCGTGGCAAGGCGGGAGAGTGTGTCTGGGACGGCGTCGCCTGGGACTTGGAGGTCGGGTTGGAGGAAGTAGGCGCTGAACTGGTCATTGGAAGGTCGGACTGGTATAGATTGCGCTCGTCGTCGGCGTTCTTGCGGACTCGGACATACGTGGGTGGGTCCAGGTGTACATCGTCACCGCCAAAGTACCTGGGAGGCACGCTATCCTCCCTGCACATCGAGGAGATTTGAAGCTGGATGTCGCGTGCCGTGGGAAGAACCAGAGGGCGGCTACCACTATCGGGGCAGCAGACTGCGGACGTCTGAGACGTCGATCCATGCAAGAGGGAGCGCCAAGTTAGCGGCCACGTCCCAGGGGAACGGGCGAGTCGCGATGAACAACGGCAGGTAGCGGCTAGCCACGGCGGGATTCTGCGGAAAGGTTCGGGCCTCGACCAATATGTGAAAATACTGCACGTTTGGTTCCGACAGGCCTGGCTCATGTCCTTCGGCCTTGGTTGCCGACGCGTCCTCAACAAGAAGCGCGGCGACATCGTGGCCCGAGGAATGGTAGTACGGGTGGCAGGCAGCCGCCGGGTAATGGAGGAGCGGCCGGCAAACCGACGGAGACATTCTATCTTTGTCAAAGAAGATTGTGAGCAGCTTGCATGGTACCCTGTACCGTTTCGATAGACAGCTGCCACACCTATGACAAGACCATGTAGCGGCCCGTGTCAGGGGGATCATTGTTCGTAGGGGTTTCAAGATCCATCTACAAAGGAATGACAGCCACAGAGTCATCAAGACAAGTCGCTTGCAGATAGAAGTTCGCGATATTAGAGCAGTGTGAGAATTAGAGGACTTGTTTAGATAGAGAGTTTCAATGGAGGATAAAAATCACCCTTCCCTTCGAGACAGTCCTATTCTGTCCCTTGTGCTTGACGAGACACCCAAACAGCAACGCTATCATTGTCAGCTTTGTGAGTTCACAGATTGAGTCATGGTCATGAGCCCGCCGAGTCCCAGCTCTCAAGATGACTCCAGGATGCAATCCGGCCTATCGAGCCTGTCCTCAAGTTGGGAAACTGTTTTGAGCAAATTCGAAAGATATTGCAAGAGACTCCAAAGTCTCTGTGCATCAGTCCCGGACCTGTCAGAGGTGCCAGCCGCAGAGTCTGTTGTGAGTTGCCCCTTTACTCATACTGCCTGGCTCGCACGCCGGCTGACTTCTTGGCCAACAGTACCCCTGCAGCAACCTGAACAAACACCTAAAAGGCCAGATTCCAGAATTCGGCAAAAAGCGTCCGGTGTCAGGTCCAAACATCACAGAGGTTGACGGGGTCCGGCGGCCTTTCCACCTATCCAAAGCTGATACGGAAAAGAGCCGTATGCTGGGAAAAAAGGGCAAATGCCATTATTCGGGGAAAAGTCAGGTTGTCGTCCTCTGGTAGTTGCAAGCAGCAACTGCAGTGGTGGGAGATATCCCACGATCCAGAGTGGGGCAGCGTTATCTTATCTACATACAAACAACCACCCCACCAATGGTGGGGTATAACACCTAGCCCTAACCCTGCGCGATACCTTCCGGTATCAAAAGCTCTATTTAAAGTTGAACATACAGCCGGATGCTACAAATTAAAGGCTAGGCCGACTGTCCGCATCGTCGCTGTCAATGGCCTTTACTGTGCCAAGCTCCCTTTACACCCAGCCCCGCCATTCGTGTTGTTGAGAATGGGGAACTCGAACCAGGGAGGAAGAAATGCGACATTGTATACCAAGATGATGATGACTTGTCTACCAAGGCTGTCTACCGACCGGCAGCATTTCACACCCGGAAGGCCAGTTTCAGTAGCTCTTACAGCAGCCGACCAAACTGACACAGCGGAGCGGGCCCCACAGACCCAAAGCTGCGTCCTGGAATCTGGAACGGGGAGCGTTTAATACTGCTGGACACCACCGGCTATGGGCGTCGCCTGTCGTCATAATGACGAGCGAATACGGCGGGTTGAGCGCTTCTTCCAAGCGAAACAGAGCTTGGCTTAGTGCGTTTCAAATGCAAGGCTTATATCCTGGCTTTTTTTTAGCGACTGGAAGGCAACGTTGACTGGGATCGTCAGCAGTGCAGGGGGAGCTTGTACGAAAGTTCGGTGCTGTGGTATGTACGGCAAGCCCGGCCATACTGCACGTACATGCCAGGAGGCCGTAGAATTATCTGACTTAGCTGTTTCTGATATAATTATAGTTGGTTCCTAGTGTTGATGTCTTACAATTGAAGTCAGTTGTTGTTAGGTGGTGGAAGGGTGGCCGGCTCGCTTATCATGTACGTTAAGGAAAGGAAGGAAAAGAGAGGGAGAGAGAAAGTTAACGTTATAACTAACTACACTAGTCAACGTTAACTATCTGTAGTTTAATAGTTACAAGATATGACCCTAACCTGTGTTACCTACCTAATGTCACGGCGATTGCGCCGTGCCTGCTAGGACCCACGGGTGGAACCCGGCATGTGGAAAGCACGGGCCCCTGTGGGTTAAATATTCTGCACCTCGCTGCCGCGAGATCTGTTCGTAGCTCCTCGAGCTACGTCTTGACAATCAAGCCTGCCCGTACCTGACGGAATAGAGCCCAGATTGTAGCTTAGCACGAATACAACTGCCATTGGACTATCAGCCTGTCCCGCCCGTGACACCTAATATAGGCTTATCGATAGTATGTTTTTAGCTGAACAGCCTGTATTTGGAACAGCTTTGCACATCATGTAGCGAAGACACTCTGTATAGCGTTTCCATAGTGTCCATGTCCAGTGGATGTTACATCAAGGTGCAGTTTTGACGGTGTTTTCGCCAACACTCTGTTGCGCCCTGGCAAGGCTTCCCGCAACCCGGTTCTCAAACCCCCACCTTTCTCTATGGTGCAGGGACTGTGGAGCAAGCTAGTTCCGCCTGAGGGCTTATGTTCTGGATCTATTTCGGAGTATGTGATCCTGAAAAACTCGAGTGGAGGTTCGGGAGTAAGGATGGGTACTGTACTTCCTTTTATATGATCTCCAGGGTCCCTTCTGGCTCCGTGTAAAATGCCAAATACGATCTTGACAACGATGGCGTGGCTCAAGCTGCGCCAATTGGCAGGTTGGCTTCAATGTTGATGCCAGGTTCGTTCTGGCCCTCTGGGCATATGATGGCTTGCCTCATTAGGATAAAGACAAGTTTGCAGAAGCGTGTCATTGTGGCCTTGTTGAGATTTTGTGCGGGCACCTGAATCCAGCTTCAATGCTGACTCGCTGTCATCATTGCAGAGGTCATGAGGTCATGTCACCGGAGCCAGGCAGTTCAAAATCACCACTAGGAGTAACTAAATGACGAGGAAAAGGGGGACGCATCTCGCCATATACGACCTCAGCGGCATCATTGCGGTAACGACCTTGTCGGCTTCATTCTTGATATGGTACGTTGATTCAAGTACACGCTAAAATCGAAACTTTTTCAAGCGCAAACATGAAGCAAGCTTGCAGAGGAAAAGAAAGCTCCGGACTGTCCTTGGACGTAAAGTCGTTGAATGGAGCTTAGTGGGTGGACCACAGGGTAATTGGTGGACCACATGGTAATTAGTGGCCTAAACTCATTCGGGATAGCGTCTCTAGCCTGGCCCAAGCTCCTCGTTCGCGTTCCTTCACGTTCAGTTGTTGTCGGGCACCCTGCGAATTCTACATTGCGTGTTCAGACCTCCCAACTCAAATCCGGATCATTGCAACCGCCAAATTTGCTACTCCATTTGAGCTTCAGTTTACGGCAGTACGAGCTGCGCCCACCGTCGGCATTTGATTCTGTGATTCCGATTCCTACGCGACCACAGTCTGAGACTGCGAGCTGCCGCATCGTCTTCTCACACCCCGCCATTGCGGCCATGGAGCTTGCTCCTAGAACGCGGCGCACGTCGCAAAATACACAGCACACGTAAGCCCTCTGCTGCACCATTCCTGAGATGGATCGTCTGGCTGACTATCTCGGGTGACACGATAGATACTCGCTTGACCGCCGCATACACGATGTCAAGACATACCCAGTCCAGTCGTCTCAGGGAGCGACCATCCTCATCTACGGCCACGAGAATGGCATCACAGTTGTTTGGCGCGGCGGCAGAAGACTGAAGCCCCTAAATCAACCAACCAGCGACAAGCGCAATGGCGCAACCTCCGAAGACGCCGTTATGGTGATTGACTCGGACGATGAAGCTCCAGGATCCGCTTCTGCCTTCGACAATAAGCCCGAGTTTCAAGACAACACGACCGCCGAAGACTCCGTACCCGAAATCGTCCAGACCCTTGATCTCGCACTAGGAACAGCCGTTCTGAATCTCGCGGTACTACCCATGCCGTCGTGTGCTGCGGAAGATGCCGCGTGGAACGGCGCAAACATTCTCAGAACCAAGATGGTCTTCGCTGTCACCTGCGCAACTACCGACGTCTACGTGGTCACACTGCCCTTGACTCCTCCTTCACACGAGAGCAAAGCGAGACCAGAACTGCGGAAGAGCTTATTGGCCGGTAATGCAGGCACAGGTGTCTGGGGAGAAACACTTACCTTGCTCGCCGGTCAGAGCCATCCTTGCGGCGGTCTTGCCCTCACGTTGGTGAAGCAACGGGCTGGGTCTCGGAGTCGGTCGCTGGAGCGCTCAGTTGCGCAGGCCTCTTCTGTTACACGAGCGATTGTTGCCGCGCATTCCCGGGAGGCAAGCGGCACGTTGCGCCTCTGGGATGTGGCCTTAGACGCCAAACCCGGAACTATCAACCGACTCGAGCCGTTCCAAACGGAATACCTCCCTTCCCCGTTGAGCGCCATGTCTTTCAACCCGACTCATCTTACTCAACTCCTTACCGTTACCTCGGCGCATGCCGTCCGCATCTACGATTATGCTACCGCAGCGCTTCCTTCCGACGATGCTTCTGAGGGCCCCTTTCCCGCACAGGGCTCCTGGCTGTTATCGCTCTACCCTCCGTTTGTCAGGGGACCTTCAATGTCAACTGCCCGGAAACCTATCGTGGGTGCTGAGTGGATTGCTCACGGCCGCGCCATTTTGACCCTTCTTGCGGACGGTCAGTGGGGCATTTGGGATATTGACGGTGCCAGCCCATCCTCGAGCGGCTCTGGCGGCCTCTTTAGCAAGGCGAATGCAGGTCTCCGCGGGTCAGCCATCACGACCTTTTGTGTGTGTGGCCACCTTGAAGGAACCAGTCCACTACGGAACCCTGCGACGCAGAAGCTGCCGGCCCCGGGGTCAGCGGGCGAATTTGTCCCCATGACGCCCCACACGAGACGAGACGCGATCGTATCGGCCATCACCAGCGGACCGGAGAGATTGGCCGCCGTACGTGGTGGCATTGTGGTCGCTCGGCTCACACCCCAAGCAACCGGACCCGGGGAAGAGAGCGCTGTGCTGTGGTTGGGCGGTGCGGATCCCGTTGTCTCCGTCATTCCAGTGATTTCTCGGTTTTGGGATTCCCAGCTCCGGCGTGCAGTCGGCGGCGGCGTCAACCTCTGGAGCGGCGCCCAGCCCACCCGCATGCTTCGTCTCACCGACCTTGGGACTGGTCTCTTCGGCGAGCGGTGTATCGGCGCAGCCGCCCTGCCCAAGCGCAACCGAACCGCGAGGACAAACGGCTCATCGCCAGCAAAGGAGAACAGCCCGAAGCCCACCGAGGGCCTCCCAATCGAGGTTCTCCTTCAGGGCGAAAGCCGCCTGGTCATTGTTCACGAGAGCGAGGACGCCACGTCGCTCACGACCCGCCTCCTCGGCGTCCGCAAACAGCCCCGTGCCGAGCTCCGCGCAGCCAGGGCCATCGTAACCTACCCTCGTCCGGAGAAGTCGACCAACCTCTCCTTCAACCTCGGCATGATGCAACGCCCAGGCCAGACGGGCGGCGGCTTGTTCCGGCCGCGGCCGACCGTGACAGCGGCAGGATCGTTTGACCAACCCCTGGACGTTCTGCCGTCGACCGAGACCGTCGGAGAGACGCAGTCCGCTCCGTCCAGCCAGCAGGGTCTCATGTTCATTAACGATCTCGCTGCTGCAGCAGACCAACCCGACGACGAGGTCGAGGTTGAGGGCCGCGATATTGAGCAGGAGCTGATGGATATCATGGAGATCGACCGCGAGCTGGAGCAGCTGGAGCACGAGCGCGAGAGGGGGACCAAGAGGGTATTCTTCGAGAAGGGCTAGAAGCTCGCCTCGAAAGGTGGCACCAAGCGGACTTGGACGCCGCAGGAGCTGATTGCGCCGCGGGCTGAACTAGTGGATACGGAACATTCTCGGACTCACCTGGCAGGGCGTACCCCGCCTCCCGGGTCACGGTTGCTGAGAGAGGCGATGGCCCGGAGGAGGTTGTCGCGTCAAGGACGTTGACTAGAGGTCGTCGATCCCTGGATGACCAAAACCCTAACGAGGCTGCAGGATACCAGCGAGTGTCTACTGATGTATCTAGCACGATCACGAGCGGAAAATGAAGGATTTTGCGGCAGCCGGGGCATGGCCCTGCGATATCTCCCCCCCCTTTTTTTCTTATGTCATTATTCCCTACCGCCGAACATGGCGATTCCGCACGACTTGGTGGAGCACAAGGCGAGATCCATCCTTGATCCAGCTCTGTATTCTGAGCGGTAGAGCAAATTTGGCCTGGCTTTGGCTGCCACGGCGGCGGGTCGGGTTTGCCGGCATCAGTTGAGCGGCTGCTCCGGCAGTGCGCTGAATGCATTTTTGACCAAATGTTCTGCCCGGCTTCGCAAGTCCACGAGGTCGGGGGGTCGTGGTGTCGGTACATTCTCTGTTGCGGTTGGACGTTGGTTGTTGGGAGACGATGTCAAGGTTCCACGTCCAATTTGTCCACCCGATGTGACCCCGTATCCACTTCTGACGGCCCATGCTTTCGACTTGGTAAGCGATGCAAATCCGGCAGCTTTTCCGCGTCGGCAATGCCTGAAACCAGTACCGTACACCGAGACAAAATAATCCACCTGACGCTCCTCCACCACCTGACACTCCTCAACTGGTATCATTTTCTCAGCTCCTTAGACCTGATCCCCTCTTCCTCCAAACCGCGTCCTGCTCCCGGTGCAGGAACCATCAAGACATCTTCTCCTCCACAGTTCCCTTTACCTCCTTCGCTTTCCCCTTCGCCTCCCCAGCCATCCCCTTGGCCTCGCCCATCATCTCGCTGGTCTTGCCCTTGGCTTCACCCGCCAACTCACTCGCCTTGCCCTTGGCCTCGCCCGCGACCTCGCTTGCCTTGCCCTGCACCTCGCCGCGCAACTCGGCCGCCTTGCCCGTGACCTTGCCCGCGCTGACCTCGGAGGTGGCTTCCTTGATCTTGCTGGCGACTGCGGACGCCTTGCCCTCGGTGGTCTGGGTGGCGGCTTCTTTAACCTTGCTGGCGTATGCGGCTGTTGTCGTTGTAAGCAAGCTAGTTAGGTTCGGGGTCGTCATTCAATTCGACCATTTGAGAGGGGCTCTGGGGAAAAGGGGGGTAGAAAGGAGGAGGGGAGGCTGGTACTGACTTCCAATGTCGATGCCGTCTACCAGCTTGTCTGCGACCTTGCGGTCGACGGTTTTGAGCGTGTCCTTGGCGGACTCGACGGCGGATTTTTGGTAGCGGGTGGCCGTCGTGAAGGCGGCCCGGGTGAGGTTGGATGTGGCGGTGGTGGTTGCCAGGCACCGGGTGAGGGCGGCGATTCTTGATGTGAGTGCTGACATTGTGATTTTGATGTGGTTGTGATATGCCTTGCTCCTGCGGTCTGTTTCCTTCAGAGATTTTGGGGTTGTCTGAATTTTTCTGAAGTACTGGATTGGATTGCAATAGTTCGGAGTGGTTGAGTTGGGTTGCCGTTCTTTTTAGTATTCCCATCTGAGATGGCCACGAGGGGTGTTCGATGATGTCATAGGTAGCCCTCCTGCTTGTCGCAAGCAACGACGATAGCAGGCGTGCCTGGCTAGCCAATGACGCTCCCCACCAACTCACAGCAGGTGTGGGCCGGGAAGCAAGTCGGGGCCAGGCCCCGGGGAAGGGGGGGTTCAACCCCGGACAACTGCAACAACAATCCGAGCCGCGAGCTACAGCGTACTTGCATCGCCTTAGTATACCCTACATCTCAATATTTACATAGCAGCAGCTTGGAAGTGCGAGTGAGCCTGAAGTTGCTCCGAATCCTGGGTACCGCCCGGTATGATGTTCCGGTCATTTCGGCATGCCGGGCGAAGTCCCCGTCGAAGCTGGTGTCAGGCCGGATCTGGGCGAACGCCTCGGCCAGAAGACTGCCGCTGCTTGGACTCAATTTGACGGGCGAACTTCTTACCTGTGCCGCGCCATATGAAGTATTCCCCTTTTCTTTCGTCTCACTCCTCCTTTTGGCCCTCCCTGCTACGCTTCGCCTCCTCCCTCGCCCTCATCCTCATCTCCCTCGTATGCAAAACCCAATACGTCGCCAACAATCCACTCGACATGGCAAACCTCCACAGCTCCTGCACCCCCTCCCCCCTCGCCAATCGCCCCCAGACAGCCCACGCGTCCGCCGCAATCCCAATGCCCAACTGCGCCTCTCCCGTCCAAAGTAACACCTCCCTCACCCCCGACCAACCCCCAAAATAAGCATACATCAAGGCGTGATGCGCCGCGTTGGCCGCGGCAAACCACTTCCACCCCTCACACACCTTACCGTGATGGGGAAGCACCCGCACAAACGTCAGCCACGGTGTCGTGAGGTGGTGGAAGCCGAAGTGCAGGTGGACCTCCCCACCTGAGGCAGTGACGCTCAGGATGTCGAGGTATTCGTAGAACTTGGAGAGGTGGTAGACATATCGGGCCGGTGTGTCGTGTTGCGGGAAGGGGGAGAGGATGAGCAGGAGAAGGAGGAAGGAAAGGAGGGAGTAAGAGCGGTTGTGGAACTTAACCAGGTGTGGTGCGATGGCAGTCGAAGGGCCGCGGTGCCGGACGAGGAGGGTTGTTGCGAGCCAGACGGAGATGAAGGCGAGGGATTGGAGGACCATCGTGGTTGGGGTGAATGTTGAAGCCATTGTTGGCACCTTGTCGTTTTGTTGGCAAGAAATATGTGAAGGTTAAGTTCCCTTACCAATATCAAGAAAATTTAAGCGTGTATGGGATACTCATGTGCGGTTGAGCTGGACCAGGGCGAATATATGCGAATCCTGAAGTGGAAATCGGACACACTCCGATGAGTCACCTTTTATCCTGTGAGCGGGACGTACCTGGTTGGTATTCCGTCTTACATGCCCCTGCAGCGTCGGAGAAGCCTGTTATGGAACGCCGAGACTGGCCGTGGTGACGCTGCTTCGCGACTTTGCATACCGGGCAATCATTACATAAGAGCTAGGAAATTCTCCGTCTGCTAGAAGAAACTATGCCACTACCTCATAGTAACGACTCCTGCATGTGTCCGAAGCCCGTTCGATTTCTCTTGCCTCGTCTCCCTCTCTGCTCCATGGCGCTCCGCTACATGTAACACACACCGCCCTGAGAGCATTACGAACAATACGAATTAGCTGAGACGCCCGGACAGGATAGACCTTGAAAACCTTTACAAGCATGTCAGCATGTTTCCAGAGCACGTGCGGTTATGTGAGTGTTGGGCAGACGCTCTCGGACATCGCCAGATACGCCACGGTGCCACCAAACACGACCGGAATTAGATGATAACAGTGAAGGACTGTTGATTCAGATTCGAACCGGGGCCATAGGCCTTTGGGCTTTCTTATTTGAAAGGAGAGTCCCAGAGGTTCTGACGCCTATATGCGAGTGTGGAGAGGGGCGAGAGACTGTCGAACACCTTGTGATGTGGTGCTTGGGCCCACCGTTGACTCGAAGAAGGGAGAGAGCCGAGGTCAGAACGCGAAGGGACTTTTATTCTGTCCTACAGGGAATCAGCCCCAAAGCTGCACGGCTAACGGAGAGGATCCTGGACTGGCTGATGGACTCGGGGAAACTGCCGATGTACAGTCTGGCCAGGAGGCTGGAGCTGGAGCTCGCAGTCTGATATCCCTTTCCTTCGAAGGCCAAGAGGCCTTCTCACTTCGTATTTGCAGGATCATACACTGATCGGTTCCTTGATTGTCGATATGGTTTTTCACCCGGCACGCCCTAGGGCACAGCGGTGTAGGAATAATAATAATAATTTGCTATACCGCAGTAACTATGGAACAACTCTAGTCTAGCACCGTCTATGTATACCCCCGTCTATAACCATCTATAACCATCCCACAAGCACGCAGTGATCATAACTTCCACCTCAATGCAACGAAAACCGACTCTCCCCTCGCCAAAACCTCCCCATCTTCCCCTCTGACCTCTGCCTCGAGCAGGTACTTCCTTCCCTCGACCTTCACCAACCGTCCCGTAACCAGGACGACATTCGCGCTCTGCGCCATGCCCGTCCGCACCGGTTTCAGAAACCTCGTCTCCAGCCGACTCGTCACCATCGGTCCTCCGTCCACCCCCAACAACCCCCTCTCGTTGTTCAGCACCACCACCTGCCCCATCATGTCGTCCAGCAACATAGCGACCACCCCTCCGTGGCACACTCCCGCCCAGCCGTTGAGCATGGGCCCTAGGGCGACGAGCGCACTCAACTCGCAGATGATGGAGTCTGGTGTGGGCGGGGCGGTGTAAAAGAGGATGTAAGCGGGTATGGCGCCGGGGGTGTTTAGCATGCGGCATATAAGGGCGTGTTCGGGTGTGGTCCTCAAGCGGCGCGTGACGGGCTGGGCGATGATGAGTCTCGCATGGCCCGGGGGAGAGGAAAGGAGGGTGGCGCACCAGGGGATGGCGCGGAAGTAGGCGATTTGAGCGGCTGTGGCGTCTTGGTTGGCGCGCTGCAGGTCTATAGCCTTTTTGGTCTCATAGCGGGTTTCAGGACCAGGTTCTGATGTGTGCTCTAGTTGTTGTTTTGTGGACATGGTTTTGCTAGTTGATTGGCCATGCGAGGATGGCGAGACAAGACGAAAGATCAGGATTCCGAGGGTTATAAACAGTTCATACGTACCCAGCCTGCCGGCTTCTTTGATATGGCGGCGGAGACAGAACCTCTTTGTTTAGAGAAAAGATTTTAAGAGAAGAAAACAATATGTATTTGACCGCGTCTGCTCACGCATGAGCGCTTCGGGCCCTCTCGAGATACCCAATGCTAGGCCAAGGGTATATCGGAATGGCAAGCATCTCCGAGCCTCGGACGGAGATAGATGGATTCAAGTTTGTTAGTTCGAATGAGGTAGTTCCGTACAGTACCATGCATGCGCTGCGGCTGCCAGAGCCAGGGTTGAGCCGGCGGCCTCGCAGCTCAGTGATGGAACTGTAAATTGGTGACAAAGTGAACTTGCTTCACTGGGACGCCGCCACGTCTCATGAAGTTTTTCTCTTGCTAGTGCAATATACCGCTGAATGCGAAATTCACTCCTGTTCAAGTGGATAGAACTCAACTGCATGGAACTTCAACGAGTACACGTCGGCTCTCCGTGTGCCCGCTTGGCAGGCAATAGTACCCCCGCCCAGTTACCCGAATGGTGCTAGATTCACTGCAGCTCAGCAGCTGAACTGTACGTTGAAGGATGCGGATTTGTTCTGCTTGTGTGGCTGTGGTTTGGAACGTTCTGGGCTGAGACATACATCCGCAGCGCTGTGTTCTGCTGGCTGTTATCGGTTCCGTTTGCACTTTTTTCGACTGCTACTCCGAAGTCGAAGCGAATCAGGCGATAATATTCCATATTCATCCGTTGGTCATTGGCTCCTCATCTTCTCAGCAGCTGGGCATCAACCTCGCAGCAGCTGAAACATACGTGCTTGGCGAGAAGTTGACCCAACGAGAGGGAGCTCACGAAAATACGAGAGTATCCGAGAAAACCTCGCATTGCGTGCTACTCATGCCATCCCAACATAAGTCCATTGCTTGTCCTGGAAGTTCTCGGACTCCACCTGGGCATCTTATGGTTCTTCCCGTTTCATCATTATTCTCTCTACCTTTGACCAGATACGAACAGGGTCTCACATCGAAGCGTCCGAGATGCTGTCTCCAGCAGCCCTCGTTGACGGCCTTGCCGCCCACACTCCTCAGGGAGTTTGGGTCAAGGCCAACCTGTTATCCGAAAAAGGGGAGCTCACATGGCAGGACATCGCTTGGCCGCAGCTCAGGAGGGCTGTTGACTTTGTGGCCCGTCAGATGGAAAACGAACTGGGCCCAGGAGCCGTTGACGAACCGGTGGCCTTTATCGGGGGAAACGACATCCGGTATGCCGTCGTTCTCATGGCGGCACTCAAGTGTGGGTACAAGGTAGGCATGTCCCGCGTCTGGCCTGCATTCCAACCTTCCGGGGCCGTTGTCTGACGCTCGTGTAGGCCCTGTTGTTGTCACCACGAAACTCGCGCGAGGGCAACGTCTCTCTCCTGAAGAATACAAGGTGCAGCAAGCTCGCTTTCACCGCCGAGCTCAGGAGCATGGTCACGGAGCTGGTGGAGGAGACCCCTGGGTTGAAGGTCTCTCAGCTGCCTGGGCTGCATGACCTTCTCACCGCTCCAGACACCACGCATTACGAGAGCCTGGCCGATGGCCATATGCAAGACGATGAAACCGTCGCGATCCTCCACTCGAGCGGCACGACAGGCCTACCAAAACCCATTTACGTCAAAGCCGGCGTCTTGCGAGTCGGCGCTAAGCTTACCTCGCTGCCGGCACCTGAGGGCCGCCGAAACATAATCGACGAATTGTATCTCACGGAGCTCATGATCTCAACGCTCCCGTTCTTTCACATCTTCGGCATCATGCTTCTCGTCCGCACCGTCCATTACCAGCGACCACTGGTGCTGTTGCCTTTCGGGAAACCGCCAACTGCAGAGCTGGTGATGGAGGCAATAGCCAAGACCAAGCCGACGGGAGTAGTCTGCCCTCCCTCAATCCTCGAAGACCTCTGCAAACTGCCTGGCGGACTGAAGGCCCTCTCGACATTGAATACGGTGGTGTACGGAGGCGCTCCCCTGGCGCGCTCATGCGGCGAAGAGATCTCCAAACTCACCAACCTGTACAACGGGATTGGGAGCACAGAAGCATGGCTCATCCCGAACCTCGTCGCGGCCGACCAAGCCGACTGGGACCACCACGAGTGGAATCCCAACGTGGGTATCGTGATGGAGCCTGCCGGAGACGATCAGCTCGCAGAGCTAGTGATCCGTCGTCAACCCGATAACGACTTTCAGACAGTGTTTCATAACTTTCCCGGTCTCGACGAATGGCGCACCAATGACCTGTTTGAGCGGCATCCGACCAAGCCTGCTTTATGGAAATACGTTGGACGGGTCGACGACATCCTGGTATTGAGCAACGGCGAGAAGTTGAACCCTGTGTCGTTCGAGAAGACCGTCGAGGGGCATCCGTGGGTCAGCGGCGTGCTGGTGGTTGGGGCCGGGCATTTCCAGGCCGGGCTGCTCATCGAGGCGTACCCCGAACGAGCCAAGGCTGGAGCGGAAGCATTTATCGATGAGCTCTGGCCGACCGTGGAGGAAGCAAACATGCAGTCTCCAGCCCATGCGCGGGTGTGGCGGTCAATGGTGATGTTGGCGTCGCCAGAGAAACCGTTCAAGCGCACCGCCAAAGGATCCGTCATGCGACATGCTACGTATCGGTTGTATGAAGAGGAGCTCAAGGGCTTGTATGACAAGCAGCAGTTCCTCACAAACGGCGTTCAGGTGAACGGGGAGCTGGGCAGCAGCCAAGTCAAGGTTGCGATCCGCTCGGCGGTGAAATCTGTCCTTGGGGCTCAGGCCGAGCACCTCGCCGACGACTCGAACATCTTTGATTTCGGCATGGACTCGCTTCAAGTCCTACAGCTGCTCCAAATCCTGGGCTCGTCCCACGTCATTTGTACCACACGGATGGTGTACGAGAACCCGAGCATCGATTCTCTCTTCCGCGCAGTGACCAACGGACAGGCCAACGACAGCGCAGGCAACAACGTGTCCCGCGAAGAGAAGATGTCGGCCATGATCCACCGGTACTCCAAGTTTGTTCCCAGAAAGTACATCAGCGACATACCCACCGTCTTGTCAGGCCAAACAGTACTACTCGTCGGGTCAACCGGCGCTCTCGGGACTCATCTCCTGCACGAATTACTCAGCAATCCTGAAGTCGATCGTGTGTATTGTCTCAACCGTTCTGCCGATGCGGCCGAGAGACAGACGCAAAGCTTCTCGGACCGCGGTCTTGGGACCATCGACTTCAACGCCCACCCCAGGGTCCGATTCCTCCACGGAGAGACACACCAAGAGAACTTTGGTCTCGAGCCCGACGCCTACGCCGAGCTGGGGCGGAATGTCGATATGATCATCTCCAACGCCTGGCCGGTCAACTTCAACAGTAGCCTGGAAAGCTTCGAGGGTGTCATCGCAGGTACCAAGCGGTGCGTCGACTTTGCAGCTTCGTCGCCACGCCAGGCACATATTGCGTTTGTATCGTCTGTCGCAAGCGTTCTAAACTTCCCCGCGGTGCGTCGGGGTGACGACGAGGCAGAGGAGGTTGTCATGGTCCCGGAGGAGTTTGATCCTGATAACAGCTTGCCTGCCAAACAAGGGTACGGCGAGTCGAAGCATGTTGCGAGCTGTATCCTTGAGAGAGCAGCAAGGCAGGGTTTGATCGGTGCCACGATCTTGCGGGTTGGCCAGCTTGCTGGGACCGCGGAAGGGAAGGGGCTCTGGAACCGACACGGTAAGCCTGCGCCAGTACACGCCCATTAGCAATGGCTGACAGAAGCGGCAGAGTGGGTGCCCTCGCTCGTTAAGACCTCCAAGTCTCTCGGCAAAATACCGCGGTCCCTCGGCCCTGCAAATGATGGTATTGTCTGGGTGCCCCTGGACATTGCCGCCAAGGTGATCGTTGATTTCGTCCCGCTGAGTGCTCAGGGAACGTCGGAGTCGGGCACGCTGAGATGCTTCAACGTCGTCAATCCCCAGGTTAGGCCGTGGAACGAGTTGGCTGCGGTCGTACAGCAGCATTACTCTGACTCTGAGTCGGGACAACAGCTGGGTGTAGTCGAATTTGACGAGTGGTTGAATGAACTGAGAGCAGTCGGTGTCAACAACGGGGCGGAGGAAGCCGAACTATTCCCTGCGCTCAAGTTGTTGGACTTCTTCGAGGGATTGAAGGCTGACGGAGGAAAGGGGCGTTGGGGGTTTGCAACCGAGAAGGGAGTAATTTCGAGTCCAACCATGGCTAATATGGGTGCTGTGAGCGGGAAGTTAATGCAGAAGTGGTTGGATGAGTGGGATTTTTGATGGCTACCCCCAGATACTTCTTGGAAGCTTCAAGCCGCCTTGAGCACGTAGGACTGTAATAGAAAAGAAGAGGTAAAGAAGAACAAGGGGGCCAGCATCGCAACGGAAGCTTCTGGCATCCATGGTCGATGAACTTTGGACCGTACTCAAGCCACCGAAGAACGACACAGTGGCCTTGCAACCGTCAAGTCGCAAATAAGTCGCCTGTTGCATGCGACTCGGTTGTGGAAACGGTGGTTGTCAGGCACGGATCAACTGAAGAACGGGCTGGTGGCGAAATAAAGTTGAGATTGCGGCAGAGTTCCGTGGGCCTTACTGAGCAAAGAGACAAAAGTGATCATGACCCAACTAATCGATGCAGTTTCCACCACCTGGAAACCTTATGATAGCAAAAGCAAGATTCATGGGCCAAGACAACAACACGAGAATGCTGACTTCGATCGAGCTGAGGCAGATGCCTGAACTTTCATCCGCCAAAATCCCCTAAACTTCAGACCTGGTCAGCATGATGGAAAGGCTCTCGGCCGCATCGCGTCAAGCCGGGAATGATGCTTCCCATTGCGATACCTCCGTCCAATATGCTAGACATTCAGCAAGTTGAAGGGACCACTGTTCAACTTTCGGGGACCACAGTTCTTCTTGTGGACACTCTAGAGGCTCCGCTGACAATCCTGCAGAAGAGTGAGTGAGCACAATGATAATCCCGTAGATAGCGGCTCGATGACCTACCTTGTCGCAAAACCAGGCCTCTCTGCCTTGATGCATCCACTGCACTTCAAGAGGACCTTGTCAGTGTCTTGCCTCGACTTCCCACAGGCGTGAAAACTAGGCTCATTGAATTTGCGAGGCGTTCCGGGTCGATAATTGTCGCGCGCAACAAGAACAACTGCTTCTTCCAGGGCCGCGGAAACCTCTATCGCCGATGGGGAGGACATGGTTTTCATGGGAGACAACCTCACAAGCAAGCTGATGAAGATGTTGAAAGTCGTCGTCGCTGATCCTCGCGCGGGTTGACATGATGAGCGTGCTTAGGAAGATCACCTCATATTTGCGCTCGTTTCTCGTCCAGTCATCCTCGGCTGATATCACGAAGTTGCACGGCTTCCGGAAGAGCTCGTCGCCAAAACCAGCATCGAGTCTCTGGCGAAGACCTGCCGAAGCCTCCGTGTCCCCAGCTTCGTTGTGTTCCTTGGGATGGAGTGTGACGTAACCGAAGAAATTTCAGCACGTCGCGGTCAGGTACAACTTCATCCGGCGATCTCCACGGACAGAGACCATGCAGCATCAGCATCGGTATCGCCTTCACAGAGACCTGTGAAGACGTTAATCAGTTTCTAAGTACATGCCTTACTGTCCTAGAGGAACACCAACGTGATCCTGACTTACAGTGACCCCATCGACCCATTTTCAGAGTTTCCGAGATGGTGTCTGGGAGATGAAATGTGAGAACCTTGAAATCGGTGGATGCAGATCCAAGCCTGCGTGCCGTGGTTCTGGAAGAAATTGGTCGAACAAGCAGAACAGAATTGGTCGAACTGAGCGTGTTATGGGAGAAGCGAAAGCAGAATTTCAGGAAGAAAGGAATCAAGGTCAAGAAGTCAAACCTGGGAACGGGATGTGGTGGCAAAGTCATACGGTGAAACTGCATGAGGATCGAGGTGCGCTTTTCCCCCGTCTCATATGCCAGCAATCAGGCACCAGCCAGGAGATTCGCGGACAAGCTGCTAAAGCAACGTAGCATAGAGGCTTTTCCTTCCTCGCCAGAAAGGTCCCCTTCCATGACAGTTCCCATCAGCTTCCTGGCAGCTGTCTATTAACCGACACCGTTCCGAACTAAGGTATCGGATTTAGGCATCAACGCGCACCGACCTGATGGAGAAGGCGTCATGAAGTCGAAGCAGCAGGTGCTCGAACGACCGAATAGGGGACAGGAAGAGACAAAGGACGCCGAAACTGGTGACAGTTCGAAACTGCAGGTTCCACCCCAGGTTCCAGGTTGAGATGTCGGGTGCAATGGCCTCTTTTAATTTGCAACCTGGATGGAAGCCTCTGAGATGATTCGTCTTGCCACCCTGGACCCCGTTTTATCGAGGCAGCCTGATGCCTCAGATAAGCCTCAGTTGCGGTAAGAGACTCTTTGATTCCCACCGGGAACCGCAGATGACACCAAGTTCCTGTTCATGGCTGCCTTCTGTTGCTCACCTGGGCACAACTTAAGCCATGGAAAGCAAAGTATTAAACCAAGTTGAGCTGCTTGCCAGGCTGACACGGAATGTTAGGCATTGTACTTTTAACATATAATGTGCACATCCAGTCGATCACCAATCAGATGGAAGGATGTAAGCCGATAAACTTCAGTGTTCAGATCCGAACATGACATGATCCAAGGACAGAAATCAATGCTGCTATAGATCGTTGGCCATGAGCGGGCCCCCATCCCCCCTCCCTGCCGCCCTTCCATCTTCTTCATGAAGAGTGCGTACGGACCAGGTTACCGTCCGCCAGATGACTTTTCCCGTCACCTCATCCGTCATACTCGTACGACTCAAAGTCTCGGGAACGCTGTCCATCCTACCATAAGTAAGGTACCTTATGGTACTCAGAGCTTCTTCCAGGATGTCAGGATCCGCGAGCTCCCTTCGGAGACATCAGTTTAAGGTTGCCAAGGGCACAGATGATCCAAAGGGTAACCCGGCTACAGACCTGGATTGATTGAACAGCTTCTGTGAGCAATGTAGTTCTGCCGATTGGATAACGCACGATATTAGATGCCCAATTCCTGTGCTTCTGCCGGCCAGCCACCATCCAATCGGGTGTCTGCCGAGATATTGATTCCTCCATCAGAACTTGCACATGGCCTCGATGGGTTCTCTACAATCTTGAAGTCCCGGCTATCGCCTGGAAGCGTGTCATCGTCGTGTCAACGATTCAGCACACCCATATTGGACTTGTATATTTTCCTGAGGTGTGTGGTGCGGCGTGGTAGTCGATCAGATTGCCAGTATGACCGACCCTACGGGCGCCAGTGCTCGCTACTTAAGACCTTCGGACTGCTCAACTGCCCTCTCGGATACCCCTTCCCTACCTTATCCACATCCACATTGCCTACCTTGACACTCTGAGTATCTTTGCATAGCTGTCAGTCTTACCGTCGCACTCCATGTTCTGGTCGGCACTCCTCTTTGTGGCCCTGGCCGACGCCCAGGGATTCATGAATGGGCTGAACCACCTTCGATTTGGATGCTCCCAGATCACGATTGAGCGCCTCGACCCTCTCGTCGAGCCGGGCAGGATGCCAACCTCCCACATGCACCAGGTTGTCGGAGGCAATGCCTTCAACGTCACCATGCCGACAACAGACATCGCGCAGGTGGCGACATGCACCACTTGTGGTCCGGCCGATGACTTCAGCAACTACTGGACAGCCAATCTCTACTTCAGAGCCCCGAACGGAAGCCACAAGCGCGTGCCGCAGATCCCTAACCGCTTCCTGTTCAACGACAGGTTTACCACGCAGACAAATGGCGGAGTCACCGTCTACTACATATCCCCCGGCAAGTGGAAGGTGACTGCCTTCAAACCTGTATGTCTCGCTTTCCCTTGGTCCCCGTGCGCTCGTTGTTCCCATCAGTGCCTAACCCAACCCCGCAGGGCTTCCGCATGTTCGTGGGTGATGTCGCACGCCGCACGCCGCTGTACAAATCGCAAAGCTGTTTCCGCTGCTTCAGCGGCCCCAACTTTGGCGGAGACGACCTTGCTCCCTGCACCGACAGCCGGCGAGACTTCGAGGGGTTCCCTCCCCAGCCGTGCCCAGGAGGCATCCGTTCAAATATCCTTTACCCAACCTGCTGGGACGGCAAGAACCTCGACAGCCCCAACCACAAGGACCATGTGGCCTACCCGGTCAGCGGGCCATCGACATTCCTCTCAACCGGGGACTGTCCGGCCTCCCACCCGGTCAAAATCCCGCAACTCATGCTCGAAATTGTGTGGGACACGACGGCGTTCAACGATAGGGCCCTCTGGCCGGCCACGGGCCAGCCGTTTGTCCTCAGCACCGGCGACACAACCGGCTTCGGTCAGCATGGCGACTACATCTTTGGCTGGAAGGGCGACGCCCTCCAGCGGGCCATGGACGTGCCCAACGGCTGCTTTGCCGCCGACTGTGGTAACCAGAAGACGCAGAATATCGAGAGTGCCAACAGGTGTCAGATCGCCAAGAAGGTGAAGGAGGAAGTTGATGGATGTGAGCCATCTCCCCAGGGCCACTGGTATTTACGTCAGTATGATAGAAGCTGACGCACGCTTTAGGGTTTGATATGCTCCCTGGAATGGCGATGGAGTAGTAAGTGCCTGTTTTTGAGCGTAACGAGGAGTTAGCGGATTTATGAGGGATACACAAACATGGGCTTTTACCAAGCGCAGCAGAGACGATCAGCACGAGTAACTATGCAAGAATTGTGTTTTTGAAGCCGAGGAAAGTGATGGCCTTCCTGTTCATGGCCATGTTTGGAATCCCGGTAGCTGTGTTGTATCTAAGAGTCAGACTGTGGGAGTGAGCGAAATCGTATCACATTCCGTCCGCTGTGGCACCGAGCGGCGGAACTGTGTGGAAAGACCATGAAACAAGACGCCGGAATGTCACAGCGAGCATCCATGTTTGATGTTGGCGTTATCCGAGCCTGAGTGAGATCTGGATGATCTGTAAGGGGGCAGAAGAGGTCACAGTAAAATTGACGCGCAAAATCACTTGGGTGACCAAACGGAAAAATGAAGGAGACTTGGTGCAGCAGAAACGACCAGCAAGAGCTCACCGGCTAACCCTCTTCGCCGGTCGAAGAGAGGTAGCCGGCTGCAAAGCCCAAGGGAGGGTTGCTACGCGGGGGAGTGGCGCATTCAGAAGATTCTTCCCACTTCCACCGTCACTCCAAGCCGACGGGACCTGACGCCTGAATCCCTCAATTACTGATATCCCCTACCAACTCGATCATTACCGCCCCTTAAAAACAGGTTTCCTCTTCTCCGCAAACGCCTTCAGCGCCTCGTCCCGATCCTCTGTCCTGACCACTCGCTCATACATGCTATTCTCCACCGTCTCTCTCGGCTCCTCGACCGCCTTAATCGCCGCCCTGACCGCCACAGGCCCACCCTCGCAGATCTCACTTGCCAACCTGATCGCCTCGCTCAGCGCTGACCGCCTCGCCAGGTCCAGCACCATCTTCTCCCGCTCCTTGTCCTCCATCGCCTCCCACTCTTTCGCTTGTTCTTCGCTCTCGGGCGCAACCTCGACCAACCTGTCCGCAATCCCCAAGAAATATGCCTCGGGCGCCGACACGCGCCGGCCCGTGAGTATGAGGTCCCGAGCGCGCGGGATGCCGATCAATGCGGGCAACCGGTAGGTGCCGCCTGCGCCGGGGATAATGCCCAGCCGGGTTTCCGGCAGCCCGACGACAGCGTTGGACGAGAGCACGCGGAAGTGGGTGGCTAGCGCCAGCTCAAGGCCTCCGCCGAGAGCGAGGGAGGAGATGGCTGAAATTGTGGGAATCGGGAGGGTTGAGAGGGCGGTGAAGGTTGTGCGGAGGTTGAGGAGGAACGCGGCGGTCCTGCGCAGAGGGAATGGTTAGTTGCGGTGTGGGAAGCTCAGGGAGAGACGTACTCGTCCTGAGTAAAGGTCTTGCGCTCTTTGAGATCTGCGCCCGCGCAAAAGGACGTGTCAACTGCCGAGGCCAGGATCAGGGCGCGCGTTGGGCCCTTCTGGTCGTCGCCTGCAATGCCACCGAATCTCTTGTTCCATGAGGGCGTCGGAAGCTCCTCGCCTGTTGCGGCGTCGTACTGCGCGTGGATGGCGTCGATCTTGTCACGTAGGGATGACAGCAGTGCGCGTGAGATGGCATTGCGGGCTGCTGGGCGGTTGAGCTCAAGGATGCGGATGTGACCCGAGCTGGGCGCGGGCAGGTCTGTTACCCGAATCAAAGGCCCGGTGTTGGCCTCGGTCGAAAATGCCAGTCGTGCGGCGAGTTGGCAATTGCGCAAGGCAGCGGAGGGGTTGAAGGCTGAAGTCAATCTCGCAGGCATTTTGAATCACGACCGTCGGGGTTATTAAGCATAATCCCGTGACATAAAGCGGAGAGAGGAGGGCAGATAACTGCGTAAGCTTAATTGCAGTGGTGTATGTCGGTGCGGGATGACGTCCTTGTGCCAATCACGGCTAACGTCGGCCATTCCATCTTGGCGCTACGTTGCGGTGACAACGGTCCAGATCGGCTTGGACAAGAATCCCTGAAGAGCTGAGACAGAAAATCGCTCCCTTATCCTGAGTGTACCTGTTGGAAGACCAACAGCCACGATACCACGGCGTTACACCGACGAGAGGTCACGACAGTGGGTTGGGTGCTCCAGAGCACCAAGAAATGTATTTTTTCTTAAAAGGTTCCTCCATCCTCCTTTTTGCAGTGGTGGCCATCGCCCTGATCCTGTTAAATACTGTAATTATGTTCCCAGCCCCTGTTGCTCCTCAACAGTAGAGCATCGGCAACTCAGCTTCCGAGTTCCAAGTTCCATGAGTCCCAGCAACAAGCGTTTCAGGGTACCGAGACTTTCCAACAGTACGTCCGTACTGTCAATGGTCAATACTTGAGCGCTCTGCAAGAAATGTTGACATAATAAATCAAAAGCTGTGCTGATTTAGATGAGAGCAACACGACTGGGACGAACATGCGCACGTACTGGTCAGTGACAACCACAAACAGTACAAGTTTTCAAAAGCGGAGAGTTGCCCGGGGACAATGGATTGGCCATGTTGGGGTATCGGAGAACTTCATGCTTCTCCAGGTATTTGTAGTGAACATGCTTTCATGAGGACAAAATACCTGACTTGAACTGTCGGTTAAGCACGGCACACTCACACCGGCCATTGAATCAACGATAAGCTATCTTTACAGTACCTTGGTAGCTGGCGACTCTCTTAACGGCGGGCCGGAACAGGACACTCCTTGTTTCAAGTTTGGACATACAACTTACGGATGTGCGGTGTTGACAAAGAGCACGGGACGGTCTTGGGCTTCAGCCCGCAATAGCTAGCTACATAGCCCCAAACCCTGACTTTTGTTTCCTCCATCACCACAACGCTCGCGGTGTGCCACATCAATGACGCGTCTTACTGGGTAAGTCATTTATCCGTTTTTCTACAGGTCTGTTCGACCTGCAAGCCTCAGACCAGTCTCAAAAGAAAATTCAAAAGCAAATAAGCGTTAGCCTTGGGCGCCGTGTCTGCCGGGGCCCAACCAGTCAAAAAATCACAGCGTACTGGTGCTTCTGCCATCTGCTACCAAATTTCTCCGCCGCAACACTCGACTTCTGAAACACTGCATTTACATTCTACTCGGCTCGGAAATCCATCCAGTACGCTCGAATACCATCCCAAATCTCTCAGGCCAAGAGTAACACCGTTGAGTACTGACTTCGGCTTCTTCGCAGTTCCCTGTCCCTCACAGTATGGGCCGTGTTTGCGCCGATTGCGGGCGCAATCTGCCCCAAACATCCTATACGGCCAACCAGTGGTCGAAAGGCCAAGGCAATTCCAGATGTGCGGGTTGCGTTCACGGGCATCACTCGGACTTACCAGCGGCGCAGCCATCTGACAGCGGCCGTTACAATGACGCCAATAAAGCTCTGATCCCCAACTATGACCTCAGAAACCCATTTGCTTCGGGTGCCTTCCGCTGGGTCGCCAAGGGAAAATACACCAGCGGTAGCCGTGCAGGCCAGGCTTGTGTTGTGAAGTGGTTCAAGACGGGGGCAGTCTTCGACGGGGACTACTTCACTCTCGACATCAAGGCTGTCGACAAAGCATTGGAGATCGTCAATCGATTCAACCAATTGGCCATTGTGGATAAAGCCGTCATGATCAATGTGCCCTCCGTCTGGACGTTCGATGAAGACTGTTCTGATGATTGGGCTGGAAAAAAGGTGCTTTGCGAACCGTTCATCCAGAACTACCAGAAGTTCAACAGCAATTCCGGCTGGAACGACGATTCGAGGGCATGGGCAAGGGTCATGCAGGCATTGAGCCGTGAGTCTAACCATCCGCAACGGCTTGCTCCGCCCTTGCTTATGTATCCTTGATTTCCTGATGGCTGATCTTCATGTAGACTTCAGCTACCATGTCTCGGGAGGCAACTTTGTCCTGTGCGACCTTCAGGGCGGCATCTACCAGCACGAGATTGTTCTATCCGACCCGGTTATACTGTCCCGGACCCGGCAGTATGGCGTCACCGATCTTGGCCCGGAGGGCATCAGCTCTTTCTTCAGTCAACATCGATGAAACAATTACTGCCGGCCCCATTGGACCCAACCTGTCAACCCCCGACAGTACTACAACCCGGTGCCGGGAACCACCATGATAAGTCACACGGTGTCTACCGCTGTATCGAGGCCCGCCTACACTGGTTTCTACTATTGATGAATGAAGGATGATCGGTACCTAAGCTGTTTGGTGGTGGGAAGAAGCCCGGTCGGCGACAAGAGGAGCAGGGAGACCGACATCCATCATGTTGGGCAGTGATTTGAGTCATGTCATTTCCAAGTCAGATGAGAATATACCTGGTGTGTTTCTCAATCCTTCTCCGCTCCCATGATCTCATCTGGACAGTGGTTGGGCACGGATGGTTACTGAAACGTGGGCGAAATCTGCAATCCAACATGGCGGCAGTTTGCCCAGGTCTGCGGTAAGCCGTTTGCAATCCGCGTATCAGAACGGCAACGAGTTGATGTCCTGGGCCGCTCAACAGCATATGGGCTCTACGGAAAATTTCCTCTCTGCGTTAACCACTGTTCACTTATTTCCGGTTTCTTCAGTTCCCGGGCAAAGATACCATCGGCTGCCCACCTGCAATCATCCCAGCTGTGGATTACTTACCTTATACTTGGGCTCCCGAAGGGACTCTGAGCGAAGGTTACCGCTCGGAGAGCCGTTGTAACAACGAGGCATGGATCGACAGACTGTCAGGCATTTAATAACGATGACGTCACGCGCTGTCTTGCTTCATTTCGCGGCTGGGAAATTTTCAGCAGTTCGTGTCAACGCTACAACACAAGTTCATGTTCGGACTCGGAACACGCCGATTGGAGACGTGTAGACAGCCCCAAAGTCCCTTCAGTCAAGCAAACAGCTACAATGACCCTGACCCCGTTAATCCTTGCCGGCGGCAGGTCAACGCGCATGCAGTCGCCTAAACACCTCCTTCCCATGCCTGACGGCCGGCCGCTGTACCAGCACCAGCTCGACCTCCTCGCCGCGGCCTGCCCAAACGCCCCGGCTATTTACATCTCCCTCGCCCAAGACTCCATTCTAGATGACTTTCTCCGCTCCCTCCCCGTGGCTAACAATACCGCAGCAACCGCCACGACCACCAACACATCCGCACCGCTGGGGCAATCCAGCCAACCGCCCACATCACTACCCGCGTCCTCACCTCCACGCGACTCAGGCGCGAAACCCCAAGTTCTGATCCTCCGGGACCTACCGGCCAACCCCTCCCCCTCCCGTTCCGCCGGCCCCGCGACAGGCCTGCTAACAGCCCACTGCTTCTTCCCCTCGACGACCTGGTTCACCATCCCCTGTGATCACCCCTTTCTCACACCAAGCCTCCTGCAGCATCTGTGCGAGCAGTACCAGCCGCCGGTGACGTGCTTTCGGAACGGCGACGGGTTCTTGGAGCCGCTCGTTGCTGTTTGGGGACCACAGGCCTTGGCGAGAATGTCGGCCCTGACTGGTGAGCGGAAGAGGGAGGGGAAGGGCGTCGGGCCGGCGGGGGTTGTAAGGGAGGTTGGAGGGAGGGTTATTCCCATTGATGGGGTTAGGTGGAACGATGGGGAGGGAAGGGGAAGGTGTGGTGCGCTAGGGAGGGAGCTAGTCGGGGTGAATACCAGGGAAGAGTGGGAGGCAGTTCTGCGGGTGTGGAGCGGCGGAAGGGGGGTAAAGGAGGGGACTTGGTGAGCACACATTGGGGGTTAGGAGCCAGGCTGTGAGCGAGAGTCCTGCGCTAGTTGCACAGATTCGGCGACAGGAGGACACCGCCAGTCGGCGAGGCGGGGTAACACTCCACGAGGCCCGACCCGCCGGGTCCGGGGATTGTTGCTGAGGACTCCGGCCGGAAATGGATCCAACAGTTGGCGGCTTTGAAGGGACTCAACTTGGAAGGGCTCTGCTCCGCACTGGCCTCGACCATCAACTGGCCGGCGGCGGATGTGGATAAGATGCCGTGCCGGAAACAGTCTGTGTCCTGGTTCGCGCTACAGCTGTGCTTCTCCCCGGACGTGCCGGGCCGCCGGAGCAATTTAGCTAGCACCGGCAGCTCCCTTGCTTGCCCCTGAAACTCCCTCAGATAAGGGACCGTCAGGAACCTAAAGCATGCCGCAGCCGCCCCGGGATTTCCGGGAAGGCCGAAAAACGCAGTCTTTCCTCCTTTGCCAGGTAGCATGGCAAACAGCACAGGGTGCCCGGGGCGTATGGACAGGCCGTGGAAGACGGCTTCGCCCCCCATCTCATCCACCGCAGCTCTGACGTGGTCGAATCGGCCCTTGGACACGCCGCCGCTTGTCAAAAGAACGTCGTATTGCCCAGAAGCCGCCGCCATCTCAACATGGCGGCGAAGGCTGGCCGGTTCATCGTCCAGGACGCCGAGGAAATGAGCCGGCAATCCCATATATCGCACAGCTGCAGTAAGGTACGGCCCGTTGGCGTCGCGGGTGCTCCCGTTGCCGTTCACCATCTCGTTACCGGTAGACCAGATGCCCACGCGCGGTTTCCGCTCCAGCGGAATCGCGCCCAGCCCCAGCGAGGCCAGCGGCAGCATGTGCGACAGCTGGATTGTGTCCCCTTTCTCAACGACGACGTCTCCTTTGAGGATGTCGCTTCCAGCGGATCGCCTGTTGGCGTTTGGTGGCACAGGCCTTGTGACAAGAATGTGGGCGCCGCGCCGCCTTGTCGGTTCAAACACTGGGACAGTGTCTTCCACTTTGACACAAGCGTCGTATTCGTCAGGAAATATGGCACCCGTCATAATCTCGACACAAGTCTGCAACCCGCCGTCCCGGTCATATTCGACGTGTGCTCCTGCGGTACGGGCCACACAGGGGTCGTCGCCCGCGGCGATGGTACCTGTAACCAAGAACATGACGGGCGAATTGGGCGATGCGGTTACCGTGGCCTGAGACCGGATGGCATACCCATCCATGGCCGAGGTATCATGCTCCGGGATCGATTTGGGGCTCAGGACGTCCTGTGCCGCGGTACCCCCGATGGCGTCCTGCAGCGGGACATTTGCTTTCCACTCCTGGCGGCTGCGTCGTTGCCACTGGGCTGCTTCCAGCACTTTGGCAAGCGCCGCCGTGTATGAAATCGTCATGTTGAAGTAATGCACCGCCTTCTGTCCGGGTCAAGTCGATGCGGGAACGATAATATCTTGGAGTACGTTGCATAAGGGTGCCATGTACTGGTTAGACTTTGATAGATGCTTGCAGCTGGGCAAGCAAATCCATCTTGAGTAAAGCTAAGGTATGATTCGTCCGGTTTGGTATGTAATACGGATAGGGCATCCGGAGATATGATGGCACTTGCACTTTACCCGCCTAAGCCGCCTTGTTTTCCGTGGTTGGGAATCCAAGTTTGTTCGAATCTCAACACGTAATGATGACATAACTGTTTTGAGCTTCTCCATTTTCCCCGTTAGTCTCATCACTACCAGCTAAATTTGGCATCTCGACCTTACTGGAACACTATGATAACGGAAGCTCCTACAATGAGTGCGAGTGAATAACCTGCATATCGGTGTACAGTGATGTAAGCTAGGGGGTACTAGACGACACCAGTCACAGTTGCCCAGCACTTCATGTTGTAATTCTCATTTCCCATGAAAGGACTTGACTCCTGAATACCCAACCCCAGCCCCTGAGTCGAAGCCAGGGCCCCGACCCATCCATACCTTCACTCCCCTCCTCACTCCGTCGTAACTGGCACCAACAGTGTCTGCGAACTGCGCACGTTGATCTGCTGCCCGACCCAGCTCTGCATGCGTCCCACCGCCTTGAGCCCCTTGCCCACAGCCTCGACAAACTCCTCGTCCCAAAGAGCCTGCGCCGCGGGCTGCAGCGCCGTCAGCGACGCAAGCAGATGGCTCAGATACACCTGCAGCGCCTGCAGCGTCTCAAGCACCTCGACCGGGCTACGGAGGCTCTCACTCCCTGACGACGGCCCGGCCTCGGCTTCCTCCCTTGGAAACAGCGCGTCGCGCAGCACGTGCGCCCGCCCTCGCGACGAGATGCGCCCGCCGCCGTGGTAGCGCTGCACGTGCGGGTGCAGCGCCGAGCGCATTTCCTCGCCGATGCGGTGCAACACGCGCAGGCCGCCCTCGACCTCCGGGTTGCGCACCAGCGACGGGAGCAGCGTGGCGTAGAGCTCCTGCAGCTGGACCATCGTCTCGTACGTCTCGCCCAGCCAGAGCTCCAGCTTGCGCTCGCGGTGGGCGGCTAGGTCGGCGGCGCTCGTGGTGTCGGACGCGGATTTAGTGCCCGCTTGGCAGACTGCGGCTGACTGCTGCTCGCGGATGTGCGGGCTGTTGGGGAGCGTGGAGTTGTTGTTACTGCTTGAGGATGGTGAAGATGGGACCTTCTCGATGCGGACTGTGCCTGATTTGAAGTAGGGCTGCTTGGAGATGGGGTCCCACCGGGCTAGGACGGATCAGTAAGAGGGTTCACATGCTAGCAGGCTAGGGAAAGAGACGGTCTGGGAGCGCGAATACTTACTGAAGGTGAGCTCGTTGGCTGCTCGAGCCCGGCCGTCGGTAGAGTCCCAATATCCAAAGTGGAAAGGCATGAACACATGGCCCTCAGCGATGCCGCCTACGCGGCACTTCAATTCTACCGCGCCGCGCCTAGACCGCACAATCACCACCTCGCCGTCACAGACCCCAACGCTTGCGGCGTCCTTTTCCGAGACCGTAACCTCCGGTTCAGGGCACGCTTTCTGCAGCGCGGTGCGCCCCGTCTTGGTCCTCGTATGGAAGTGGTGTACCTTTCGCCCCGTGGAGAGCCGGAGCGGAAACTCATCGTTTGGTTCCTCTGGCGGCGGGGAGTAGTGGCATGATTTGAGGATGGCGCGCCCGGCCGGGTTCATAGACTGGTACTCGGACCTTGTATAGGACGCCCCAGTCTCAGGGTCGTGGCCAAAGCTTTCGCAGTCATCGATTCCGGTTGGGAAGATGCCGTCAGAATACAACCTCTCCGTGCCGTGCGGGTTTTTGTCGTTGCACGGCCACTGAATTCCTGACCCGCCCGTCAGGCGCTCGTAGGTCAGCCCCATGTAGTCGCACGGCCTACCGGCCGACACCTTCTTCCACGCCTCGAACACCTCCTCAGGCGTCCTCCAGGGGAGCAGGTCGTTGCCGTCCTTGTCCTTGAATCCCATCCGCTTGGCGTAGTCGAGGAAAATGTCCAGGTCAGACCGGCACTCGCCGGGCGGCTCCACCGCCTTGTGCGAGATGTGCACGGTGCGGTCCGCGTTGGTGAAGGTACCCGTCTTTTCTCCCCATTGGGCGGCGGGCAGAATGACATCAGCGATGGCGGCTGTTTCCGTCATGTAAATGTCCTGGCAGACAACAAACAAGCCGGGCTGCGTCAGCAGCCTCCGCACGCGGGGCAGGTCCGGTAGGCTGACAAGGGGGTTCGTGCAGCTGATCCAGAACATGCGGATGGAGCCGCTCTCGATATAGCTGAGCTGGTTCTCGACGTGGGTCGGCTCGTTCCAGTGCGGGACTTGGATGGGGTCGATGTTCCACAGCGTCGCCAGCTCTTGCATGTGAGTCGGGTTCTGGTGGTTGCGGAAGCCGGGAAACTCGCCGTTGCAGCCCGCTTCCCGGTTGTTCTGGGCCGTCGGCTGACCGTTCATCTGAAGGACGCCGCAGCCGGGCTTGCCAATCATTCCGCGCAAGAGGTTGATGTTGTTGATCTGGCACGCGCTGGCGCACGCTTGGTTTGACTGGTACACACCCTGCAGGGCGGTCGAGACCAGGCTCTTGGACGTGCCAATGATCCGAGCTGCCTCTTCCAGCTGCATGGCCGGAACCCCCGTGATGCGTTCGACCGTCTCGGGGTCATACTTGGCTACCACCTTTTCCAGGTCGTCCCGACCGAAAACATGAGCTGATACATAGTCCTCGTTGATCCATCTGTTCTTGAACATGAGGTGCTGGATGCCATTCAGCAGGGCCAAGTTGGTGCCCGCCCGCGGAGCCAGGTGCACAGTTGCCTTGCGAGCCGTCTCGGACAGTCTCGGGTCCACGACGATGAGCTTGGGCGGAAGTGGTCCCTCGAGGCGGTCCAGGATTCTCGCCCACAGCACAGTTTGCGTGGCTGCCACGTTGTGCCCTACCATGAACAGGCAGTCGGTGTAATCGATGTCGCTATAGGAGCCCGGTTGACCATCACAGCCGAACGACTCCCGCATCGCCGCGGCCGCAGTAGCGGTACAGAGTCGTGTGTTTCCATCCCTGCAACGACATGCCATGATGCCGCATCAGCTAACCACCACCACCATCCACGGGTGCGTGATTGTGTTCTTACATGTGGAGCGTGTGAAGCCCCGCCTTTCCCACCATGGCCAGGGCATAGTATTCTTCCAGAAAGAGCTGACCACTGGTGTAGAAGGCGATGCTGTGATTGGTGAGGTGTTTCTGCAGCTCCTTGGACTTGGCAACGATGAGGTCCATGGCCTCGTCCCATGAAACGCGCTCCAGACGGCCGTTCTTGCGCACCATGGGATATGTTATGCGGTCCTCGCTGTGCATGGCCTTCCACCTAGTTTGTCTCAGCGATTGGCCTGCTGACAGGCTTCTGAATGGAGAAGAAGACCGGAGTGCCCTACCCTGTCAGGCCCTTTGGGCCAAGACGGCCCTTATTGACGCGGTCGGTTGCCCTGCCCCGTACTCCGACCACCTTTCCGTCCTTGACGCCAATGTCGAGCCCACATCCGTTGCTGCACAAGATGCACGCGCTTTGAACCCATGTCTCCGGCTCCTCATCGCAGGCGGAATCCACCCTCGTCGGCCATTCGTCCTTGAACGGCGTCCGAGGTCCCCAGATGTCTTCGATGGCGTCCCGAGTACGAATCGCCGGAGGCTCGAAAGTATTCATCGTTTCTAGTGCGATGGTGCTGTATACGTGCGCACTCAAAACTGTGCCAAGCGGGCCATAATTAACGGACACAAACGAAGCTATCCTTTTGTGCATGCGATTCCATGCCCACATCGCAGCAGACAAGAACTGTGAATAACTCTGACGTCACTGCCAACTCTCGGCTCAGTTCCTGGATCTCCGCGGCCATTTCCGAATGCATCGCCCAAGCAATGGTAGAAGGGTTTTGTGATGAAGGCCACTGTATGTGCTGCTCTGCATGCAGGCAGTCAACCAACTCAGGGACGTTGACGGCTGTTGCCAGTATCATTCTGTTTCGAAGGACTCGACGTCTGCCGGACTGCTTTGGAGCCATGCGGCGCCGATGGAGAATCATTGTGTTCCGGTAAGCCCTTTCTTTATCTCGGTGCTGCGCCCTCGCTCGCATCAAACAAGCTTCAGGGTACCTTGTACTCGGTAGCTGCAGGATGTCCAGAAATCTCCCAGGTTGTAAGAGTTCCAGGATTTTATCTTTGGGTGAATGTAGTTGAGAAAAGTGCAGCGGTTTGAATGGACAGGAGCAAATCGTTATAAGTTCCAAGCCTGGGTTTTCGACGGTGCCATCAAGGTGACCAGGATCAGGTAAGAGCGCGCGGCAAGAATGATGGCGCATCGGGACACAAAGTGCTTAAGCTGTCGCAAGAAATGGCAGAATGGACGAAATTATTTGCAATCTTGGACGGCTGAAACTGTCGGCTGAAGCGCTTGTTGACGAATGCGACCCAGTCAGGCACCGGTGGATCCAGCTCCTGAATGACGTCTGACAGGAAGGAAGCGCCAAGAACCCACCAGCCGTGTGCGCCCCAATGAAAAGCAGTGAAACTTAACGGACCCACTCCGCTGCCCATGGCAACGCCTTGCGCCGGCGCATGTAAACAGAAATGTGCTACAACGATCAGGGTTTTGGCTCATGTCTCCATACCTGACATTCGATATCACTGCCTGCTGGTACCCATTTCCTCATTTTGCCAGACTCGAGAAAACCCCAGTATCAATTGGTATCATCACCAAATCATTCCAGCCAGCCCTGCATTCTCTCGCAAAGGCAACTTTCTCATCCGATCCAATAACTGAGCGTCCAGGGAAGTCGACTGCTCGCAGATATTTCGTCTATCGCAGCGATTACTATAAGACTGAAACCCTGACTTCGAGTCTTTCCGTAAATTTCTCATCGACTGACGACAAAGACGGGACTCGGGGCCCGGCTGCCTGGCTTTGTACTGTGTGGTGTGCGGCGATTCCCTTCGTGGCGGCGGGAAGGAGTATGAACTGACGAGGCAATCCATACAGTGTTTGGACATTATATCTCAGCACGTTTTTGGATACAGCAACACCGCGATATTGACGACAACGGACGGTTCCTCCAACTCGACTCTGCAATACCATGCTCTCCAATCCGCCCCACATGAGCGGGCTTCACTCTCGCCAGCGCCAACACCGGCGGCAGAACTCGACGCCTTCGGCCTTCGATGTGGTAAAGATCGCACCACTCCCCAGTCCTCAAAAACGCCGCCCAACATCACACCGCCGCGGCCTCAGCCTAGACACACGGGGGGAACACCTCCCTCCTGCACCGACAACGACCAGGCAGGAATACGTCTCGGTAAGTATGCCTCCACCTAATACAGGGCCACCATCAACACCGCGGCATGAACTGCGAGACACGCAGCAACAACACACAGCACGCCCGAGCCACGTCCAGCACACCTCCATAGCCCAAGACATCAGCGAGGGCTTTATCCACTCGCCACAAGTTACACCACAAAGCCGGCGATTTGCGAATGGAGAAGCCAGCCATGACCATCAGGCCGACTTACACGACCTCCCGTTCGACCCATTTTCAGCGTCTCTTAGTCTGTGCGATCGCTCAGTGTTCGATCGCTCAGTGAACCGCCTGAATGAGAACGGCATTGACGTTTCAGTTGACATGGAGTTCTATGGGCGAGAGAACACCATTTCCACGCCGTCTTTCATGACCTTCCCCGACTCAAGCCCAGCGGACACATGTCCAGGGTGGGTTTCGGAGACCGACACGGCAAGCAGTCACTCGCAGCGTTCATCCAGGCGGATCAGCAACGGGATTATGGACAAGGTCGCCAAGTTCGAGGTTCTGGGGAGTGAACTGAATCCCTCGCGGCCCTGCACGCCCATTCATCAGACCACGAACGGTATGCGACTGGTTCTCGACATATGTTTTTTGCAGTTCACCAGCTGACTAGGACCAGATCGTTTTCCTCAGACCCCAGTTGGGACGGTCATAAAACAGGAGCCAGCATCTGTTCTGCCTCCAAACAGATTCTCCGAGGGTTACGACGAGTCCATGGAAGAGACACTGAAACCTGTCCGCAACAATAGGACTGACAACCGTACGTCGGGCACATTTCAAGACTTGCGCCGGCAGGCTGAAGCCATGGTTCATACGCCACCTCGGGCGAACACGATCCCGATGGCTCTGACGAACCAAGGGCTCAGGACACCCGAATTCATGAACATGCGTACCATCAGTGCCGAGTTCCGCAAGCTTGAGCGCGAGTTTAGCAGCATTCCAACAAGCCCGGTGGAGATACCGGCTATATACTTGTCCACGAAGTCGAACCCCGTCTTCCCCAATAAGCCCGAGCTCCAGCCATTGGACCGCGACTTCAAGACAGTCCCTGGCTCGCCATCACTGAGCAGTAGAACTGCTTCACGGCGCAGCTCGCCGCATCGCCGAACTGAATCCATCGCGTCGCTCACAAGTGCAGCCAGCATTGCGGACATCAACATCGAGGAGACCAAGACGGAAACCGGTGTCACGTTGGAGGATATTGCAGCTTTCATCCAGGGCCCCGATCCATCCGACGGGAAGTGGCGATGCCTGTACGAAGGGTGCAATAAGCCCTTCGGCCGCAAGGAGAATATCAAGAGCCACGTCCAGACACACCTGAACGACAGGCAGTACCAGTGCCCGACATGCAAGAAGTGCTTCGTCCGGCAGCACGACCTCAAGCGCCACGCGAAGATCCACACCGGCATCAAGCCCTACCCATGCGAGTGTGGCAACAGCTTTGCGCGCCACGACGCCCTCACCCGTCATCGCCAGCGAGGCATGTGCATCGGCGCATTCGACGGCATCGTGCGCAAGGTCGTAAAACGTGGGCGGCCCAAGAAGATCCGACCGGACATGGACGAGCGGCGGGACAAGGCCGAGCGGACCAGGCGCAAGAACAAGGTTAGCTCGGCCAACTCGACCAGCAGCCAGTCCGGATACTCCGACGTCTCGGCTGCCAACTCACCCTACAACGACTTCGATGGCCTCCTCGACGACGACCAGTTCGCCAACATCCTCTCCGCCATCCCCAACCCGACCTCAAGCACCATGAATCCAACAAGTCTCGCCGTCTCGACCGCCGCAATGCCGGCCACCATACCAGGCAGCATGGCCGAAGTTCTCTCCGCCCTCTCTCCTTCCACAATAAGCACCTACAGCCACGCCAGCACATCCGAACCGCAAGCCATGACCACCAGCATGACTACCCCCGACCCTTTAACGCTCCCTGCGCCCCGATCACCAAGCGCGACAGTAACAGAGTACAACAGCCCACCCTCCCCCACAAAATCCGTCGCCAGCCAATACACACAAACGACAACAACCCACCTCCCGGGCTCCCCGCCAGATCTCTCCTCCCCGCAGTCCCCTCCGCCTTTGCTCACCTCTTCATCTGACGGCGACGCCGATCCGGATGCCCAGTTCTTCGATCTCGACCAGCTTGACCGGAACAACAGCAGCGTCTTATCCGACGCGAGTATCGGGCTGGGCACAACCGTCGCTGCCCATGCTGCCGCTGCTGCTGCTGGTGGGGTTGGCGGTATCCCGGGGATTGATGCTGGTGGTGTTAGCGGGAATGGTTGTCTGGAGGGCTTAGATAGCGCCGAGATGCTGTTGGGGTTCCATATGGGCGCGGCGTCGGTGTGTGGCGGTGATGGGGAGGGGTTTGTGCTGGCTGATGCTGGCCATCATGGGTTGCACTGTCATGCTCACCTTGGGCAGGGAGGGGTGATGAAGTTTGAGGACGACTTTGATCCGGTTAGCATGTTCACTGGTGGGGAGGATGTGTTCTTTGGAACGGCTTAGGGAACCTGAGGTGACATTTTTTTTGTTGTTGGATTGCCTGTGGGATCTTGCTCTGGGGGGGAATGGAAGGGTTGCTATTTCTTGGGTATTTGATGTTGTTCTTTCCGCAGCATATAGACGACGGGACGATGGATCTGCGTTGGACATTCTTACGTTGGGGTACGGCCCGCCGTGCAGTGGCCATGCCCACTTCAATGTTGCCGTTGTTTGCAAGGTTATGGAGGCTGGGGTAGCCCGTGTACTCGTATGGGGCTTGTCTGATTGCTGTGTACGAGTAGGGATGAGCTACTGTACTTCTCTTCGGTGTTGTGTCGGTCAATGGGACAGGATCAGGAAGTTCGGAGGGCCGGGGTTCGTGGACGTTTCCTTTGTGCTTTCACGAGATATTAGCGTTTTCTCTCTTAGGCTACTTGACCCCATAAGCGCATGATGGGATTACTAAGAAAACTGGCGTTCTGGATGCTGGCCTCTGTCTCATCCACCAGCCTAGGGGTGTGGCATTCGCATCTCTGCTGTTTGGAAAGAAAGTACAAATATTATTGGGCTTCTGTTCTCATCAGCTTGCCTCGCCCTGATGCTCTTTGATTCCCAATCCTGTCCACGCAATTGGGAAGTACAGACTCAAACCAAGCACCATCACTGATCAGTATTACCTGCAACGAGCATTGAACAGTCAGGTCTTTCACCCCAGGCTTATGTATTAAAGTTATAGGTTATAGGTTAGGGGAACTCCCCGGCACAAGGTGTTTCTATAGCTTTATTCGCAGTTGACCCCATATTAGCATGATTCTCATGAATCTCGCCTTGCCTTAGAAAAACTTCTTAAGGAAGGTTTAACCAACTAGCTGGGGCACATGAGCCAGACAGCGGTGCGTGATGAAGAGCAAGGTGATCAGTACAGTATGTAGCCTCACAGCGCACACCGTGTGGATCACTTCGTCACCTGCCCTGCCAGGTAGTTTGAGTTGCGTTGGTCATTTCACGGGTTGGCTGGAGTCAACGACTCAAGCTGCCCGATGAAGCCGCGATTCAAACTAGAACGGCACAAACAATTTCAAATGCATGAATTCCATTCAGCTTAGGCCTGCCAATCATTGCGATACTGTATATCTCATCTCAAGCTCGTCCGCAGAGAAAAGACATGCATACTCCGCGGTATTTGGAAACGCCTGAGCGGTTGCATGTCGGCAGCTTTGACCCGGCAGTGAGTCTCACCGAAGACCTACCTCAGGGTGTCGATGCAGATATCCTGCTTCTTGGATGCGGAGATGCTCGCCACATTCTCTACACCTTGTTTTTTGACAAAGGGCTCCCGGAACGCAAGCTCGACATTACCGCCTGCGACGTCGATGAGCATGTTATCGGTGAGTACATGCTATCCTTTGAGGGTCTGGTTACTGACACCTGACAGCCCGCAACATCCTGCTTTTCACCCTGCTTCTAGACAACCACAAAAATGTCTCGTCGCGCCAGATATGGAACATCTACTACCACTTCTACCTCGACGACCCCGACATCCAGCTGGTTGGCAGTCATGCAGAGAGTCTGGTCAACATCTCCCAGACTCTGCAAGACTGGCACACAAGTCCGTACGGAACCACTCTCCGTTTCTGCGACGAGACAACTTTTTCGCTTGTTCACAACATCTGGGCAAAGTACTCGGAAGCAGCAAAGCGGCGAGGCCCATACCGTGGGCGAGACCATTGGACGCACTTCAATGACAGCTTGTATGACGCAAGAATCAAGAAGCTATGCACCAGGCCCACCTCGAAACAGGATGTCTCGCGGTCATGCGCTCCCTTGGCCATGGAATTCGCCCAGGAGCTTGTCTTTACTACCGAACAGCACTGGAAGAGGAGCATGGCTGCTTCTGTCGCGCTCCCGGCGCCTCGCAAGAACGAATCACCAGTAGTTCCGAACCCTATCTTTGCTGTGCCTCTCACAGCGTCCTCAGCACTCAATTTCCCAACCAACCCTCTGCTTAGCTTTCACCTTGCGGCGGCTCATGCCAACCTGGCAGAGTTGTCACCACTTCGGCTGGAAGAAAAGCGTGGAACTCATCTCGGCGCCCAGGACAGACTGCTCGAGATGGCCTTGATGCAGTTTGCGGATTGGACTGATGCCTTCGTTCAGGCCGCCCCGAGGACAACCATCCGCTTCACCGCAGCCGAATGCTTTGCTCTGTGCTACACGCTGCGGTACAACCTGGAGAGTGGAAAGACCTGCGCACAGCACTATCGCGGGAAACTCGGGCTCGACGTCTTGAAGCTCGCCGAATCCGATTACGGCATCGGCGGCAAAGCGCCCAAGCAATTTGATGTGATAGACACCTCCACGCTCTCGGACGACGTGAGCGTCCTGAACTTGGTCGTGTCGGCTGGGCCATTGCTGAAAGACCACCCGTCTTCGACACTCTACACAACAGACATTCACCACTTGAACGTCGTCCATGACGGCGACGATGAGAAGGCGCTGTCTTGGAACGCCAAGGCTAACCTGATTTTCTGCGGGTTGATACCAGCAGAGTACTGGACCAACGCCACTGCATCAGCAACGGCCGACCAGATCTTGACGGCTTGGTCTGATGAGAACGCAACGGCAGAATCTAGGGATACACTCTTTGGATTTCGCCTCTCGTGGAAGCAGATCAAGCACCTGGTTGGACAGAACCACCCCGCCCCGCTCCACGTTGATATAGACGCGTTGGTGGCGTTGGCTCTCTGGGTCTACGAATTCATGATCTCGTCACCGCCTGGAACCCAATTCCCTTCCCGTGATCAACTGAAGAAGATGTTCCCCAGGCCTTCTCGACTTCGACATCACCATCCAGGAAATATGGCCGCTTTCCTCTGGTCCATCGCCGACCATGCTCAGGTCGATTCGCGCCAGCTCTTCGAGAGGTTTTTGAAATCAGCTGCCGAGTACAGGGACACAACAAAGGCTCTTCGCAGATTCCTAGCAGCCTTCACCGTTGAGACACCCACGCCTGGTCTTCGTTTGGCCGAGTCCTGGGGTTGGCGGAACTTTGAGCAGGAACTGAGACCTCCGTTCAAAAAGTGGAGTTCCGTCCCTCCTTCCGTTGCTATCACTGTTATCGTTCCCACGGAGATCTGGAAGAACAGTGGCCTTTTCACGAGAGCTGAGGATGAATGGGGGGTATCCGCTGTTGAGGTCATTGGCCATCTGAGCATTCCCGACAGATGGGATGATTCGGGGAATGAGCTGGTCAGCGCTTTCCCAGACGTGCAGTTCTCCTTCGGCACGATCAAAACCGAGGGCTCCCGCGATGACGACGACTTCATGATCCATGTACAGGAGGACAAAGCTGGCTGGAAGGGATCCTCGCCCATGATTATTACGTACTTTGCCCCTACGGAATATGTCGAGACCATGTTCACCGAGGCCGTTGTTAGTTTCTACCTCCTGGTACGGCCGCTCGATTCCGACACATACCAGAAAAAGATCAATGTTGGTGAGGTCTTTGAGAGTCCCATTTCGGACGAGGAGCACGTCTTTATCACGAAGTATCGACCTGGCGCGACGGGCTACCCCGTCACCGAAGCCGCGCTCCTGGACTTAAAGCAGTCAAGGCGCCCGAGAGACACCGCGTCCCCGAATCAAACCTTTACCGTCGCACTCGACAAGACTACGGCTAGGATCACCACCATCACCGGCCGCGTCAATATTAGTTCTCCAGAGGGCCTGAAGCTGCTCGTCGACAGAGCAACCATCAAGGTGGAACAGCCATCCCCATTCACGCTCGACATCGTCTTCGGTAAGGACAGGGCCCTCGTTCTTCCCCTGACCTTTCCCGCCCCGGTTCTTAAGGAGGGCAGCAAAACTCGCATCGCCCGCACGTCGCACTACATTGAAATCAGGGCCCCCTTCGCACAGCCACTCACCTTCCCCCGCCTTCTCGACGACTTCCTCTTCCCCACGACGCTCACGCCGTCCTCGGGCATTCCGGCAACGTTCAACATCCCCCACCTCAACCTCGACACCCTCCCTATCCTCTCCGTCACCCATAAGTCCCGCACCCGCTTCCTTACCACCCTCACCTCGCTCATGTTCTCCACCAGAGAACGCCGCCTGCGCGAGGAGACGGCCGCTAACAACACCTCCGGCCTGTCGCCCTCGCCACGCCTCAACTTCAAGGAGTCACTCTTCACCATCTTCATGCTCGCTTCGGGCTTGCAGGGAGGCCAGACGGGCCTCTTCGCCCTGGCAAACCCCCAGCGCGGCGGGATCCATATGCTATTGTTCGTGAGCGCCATCCGCCTGGACGGGCCGCACGGGAGCGTGGTGCTGGACGCGGCGGTGCTGCCTTTTACGAAGGCGCTGGTGGAGTCCAAGGAGTTGGAGGGGTTCCTGCTTTTCCTGAGGACGCTTGAGTGCTGTACGCTTACTGTGGACGATGCCGAGTTGGTGTTGTGGAAGAGGGCGCTGCCTGCGCTTGCGGAGAGGTGTAGGACGTGGATGCATGGGGAGGGGTGCGAGTATGTCGAGGCGGGGAGGGTGCCGGTTAGCGTGGCTGAGGGAGAGCAGGTGCTGTGTGGGTGTGGGATGGGCAAGCTGCCGGGGGAGTTCATCTCGCTGCCGGAGTGGGAGACAACGGCTCAGTATGCTACGCGCGTGGCCATCAGTCCCGTGTATGCGTCGCCGCTGGTGGAGGAGCTGATTTCCCCCGACTTGGCGAAGGCGGTGGCGGAGGAGATGACGGGGAAGGTTGTGCCGAAGTGCAGGAATTGTGGGAATTCCGAATCGGAAGAAGTCAAGCTGAAGAAATGCTTGAGATGTTTGGAGGCAATGTACTGTTCGACGGAGTGCCAGAAGAAGGACTGGAAGAAGCATCGGATGGAGTGTGAGGAGTCGGAGGTGTATCACAGCAAGTGAAAGGAAGGTATATCTTTTGCCATCGGGGTCGTAACTGGTTCTAGCGTTTGGCTAACGATGTTTGTAGCCCTTCAATGGAAGCACACGATATGCCTGGCCCGAAGGAACTCAAGGGTGCAACGGTTCGTCTGTCATCGTCCAGTGTCTGACGTGGCAAGTCCGTTGCGACACCTTTCAACCGAGAATCGGGAGGGCTAAAGGTAGCTCACTTATTGTGAGATTCTGTAGTCCACCGCTTAACCATTACCGTGTGATGGATCTAAAGGTCCATGGAATGAAGGGGAAGAAAGCACAGAATGCCGCTCCTCTGAGCGGATACCGAAACCAAGAAGGTATCGCCAGTTCTGCGCAGAGCCAGGCTCTCCAGGAACGGATGCTTCCGGGAACCGTTTTTCGCACTGGGGCTGTGCATATGCAGCCACCCCACCGTGGAACACGACGCGGGATCTTCGGAGGAGTCAGGTGCGAATTGTATCTCGTGCCGCTTCGTATTTCTCACCACCATGAAAAGTGTTCTCAACCTTGAGCAACACACTGAGCAAATGGCGAGAAGCACACAAAAAGCCCTGGACCAAACTGACAAAGTCAGCGGAACCGTCAGTCACTCGATCTACAGTCAGAACGGACGACAGCGAGAGTAGCGAACCCACTCCCCCATGTTTCTTGTTTCATGTTGAATGTGTCACATCCTGGTCAGGCTTTCTGCAACATCCACGAGGTCGACTCCGTTTTCGTGGCAAAAAAGCTTGAAGATAATCAGCACCAGATAATCGAACACAGCATGTTACGCCAGTCATATATCCGCTGTTGGCGAACATGAGGGCCGGTAACGCTGAAGAATGAATAACAACGGTTGGAGCTGTGGTCGACTGCAATGTTGAATGGTTGCGTTTCAGAATGGTTAGTAACTGATAGCGTGTGATAGTTAAACCGCGGATTCCATCGCATATGCATAACGGACAATACTCGCCGCTAACAATTTCTGCTGCACGAGTTCAGCTCCGTTTACCTGCAACGATCGACATGCCCCTGAAATTCGTGCGGGCTGGCGCGTCCCATTTGACCAATCACCGAGTGCCATGCACAGATTGGCAGATGTCCGACAGCTTGATTGGTCAATTTGCTCGTCAAGGCACCCACTCAACTAGGCCCAAAACACATTAGCGCCAGGGGTGGACAGGTTTCTGGCTGGCCAGGAACGGCCGAAAAGGCAAGGGTCTCGTGCAGGACGGCTCCAGCGTCATCCCGAGATGCCAGCGCAATTTCGTTTCGCTTCCCCTTGTGGCTCGGGGGAAACGAGGCCTTTGTGGGTTCCGTCTCCCTCCTCGCCCGAACTCGTTCTCTGCAACAAAACCACCTTCATTCCTTCCAGTCACTCATTCGAAGCCTTCGTGTACGTCCTCACTCCACCTTTCCCATCACGAGGACAGGCATTCTCAGTCCTGTCAACCTGCATCGACGCGTTTCAGTTCGCTGCGGGGAGATGCCTCTTCAGGAGTAGCCGTGGTCGCTGAAGGACGCAATCGCAAAGAACACCGACCATTACCACCGACCAAGACACTCGTTCAATCAAACACCTTCGATTCATTCCACAAGGGGCACCTAACCCCTTCGCTCTTTGCGTCTGTTTTTCGCCTTCGACTGCAGGAACCCATTTGGAAGGTTCTGTGAGTCTTTAGTCCACGACAATCCGAAATACCCCCTTTACAATCGCCCAACGGAGATCGTCGACGAAGTAGAAGGACATCACATACCGCCGATTTTCCCTGGAACCCCTTCCGACCCCCGAGTCGAGCCTCATCGCAGATCCACAATGAAATCGCTTATGCTCGCTGCAGCTGCGCTCGCCGCGCTCGCCGACGCGCTGCCAGATACCGTCGGGGCCTCGAGGCAATGGCAACATCACAGTATACAAAGGAGGGGAGTACAACCGCCGGTTGAGAACCCCCGGCTGAACGCCCAAACTGTACAGGGTTGCTTCAAATCGGCAGGGAACCTCACAATGATATACGACAACGACATATACAACAGCATGGGCAAGTGCTCCTTGAATATCTGCTATGCGCAGAAGTATGCTGTTGGCGGCACGATGGGTGGGAGTCAATGCTATTGCGGTGATGCATACCCGCCGAAGGAGGACCTCGTAGACAACAGCAACTGCAATTACGATTGCACGGGTATTGACACGGAAGCATGTGAGTCTTACTCAGCCTGAGAACCCATGAAGACAGAAACTAACGGGGTCAACCAGGCGGTGGGATCAATTTCTGGACCATATATAACACGGGCGTCAAGCTCATTGTCCCGTACGCGGAGCCCAGCAGCAGCAGTGCAACGAGCTCCTCTACAACGTCGACGCCAACTGCGACCGGAACGGCGGCCGAGGTAACCGTCACGGCCACACAATCGTCCACGAGTGACTCGGGGAACAACAGCGGCGGAAAATCCAACGTGGCCGGCATCGCCGCAGGCGCTGTAGTGGGCGTTCTTGTTGTTGCCGGAGCACTTGGTGGCGGCTTCCTATACATGCGCCGCAAGCGGAACAAGGAGATCGAGGAGGAGCACCGCCGCAATGCTGCAGCCAACGACTTCTTCGGCAAGCCGCCCCGAAGTAGCGGGGGCACAAGCATGACAGATGCCCGCTTGGATCCGGTGCTAGTCAACAGGAGATTGAGCGACGGCAGCATCGCTGACAACCAAGACTACTCAAGGAGGATCCTTCGCGTAGGTCCGCCCTGGGCGTTTGCCTCAACCATCTCTCACTGACAGCAACCAGGTCACCAACGCATGATCGCACACCCCAAGTGATGACGACAAACGACACTCGCCCTGTATTTCAATTGTGATATTGGCAGCATAATCGGCGTTTTGGGGAGGGAGGGGGTTGGATATTCTGCGCAAGTCTTGATCGCACTCAGTGGTGTATCGATCAAGTCACGCGAACGGAACGTAGCCTTGGGGCGTCATCTCTCTTCGTTTGTCCGGTTTGGCGGCGGCATGTCCGGAAGGCTACAATGGGTTTGACCTACGACTTGAGTTGGCCGGTTTGCCATGCTGCCATCCGCTCTGTCCTTCGCTACAACATTTTAGACCAGTACCCGAGGGCCCGACGCCAATCCTTTCACGTTCGTCCCTCCAACTTCGCGATCTCTTCCACACGAGTCGCACACATGCAAAGTATCAGTGGGAAGTCAATCTTACTTCATCTTGGGGTTGTCCCAGTCCTCCTCAGTGTTTGAACGGTTTCCGGGTCGGGCGTTGCTGGCCGGACGGTACTGTTTCTGTCTTGCCGATTGGACGGTATTGCTGGCGGACGGGGCGCTGAATACCTCGCGCGATGAGCTCAAATCAGCTGAGCTCTTCTTCCAACACTGGCCGATGACTCTTGGGCAACGATCAATTCACTTCTCTGGCGGACAACGGTATTGGGCTGCTTTGGAATGACGAGCAAGGATTGGATTAGGATTAGACAGGAAACTTTGGATAACCCTTTTTGATTACTATCTTCCCTGCTGTTCCTCGCCCGAGTTCGTCCCCACCGGTATCGCTGGGCTGAATTATTCCTCCCCATCCCGTTCGGAGGTTCTTCGCCCTTAAGATGATCCGTCACCAGGTCAGTAAACCAGATAATCACCTCATCTCCCATCCCGTGTGGGGTTCTTTGCCCTTCGGTTCCGTCCTGACATCGAGAGAAGGGGAAATGCGAGTCCTGGCGATCATGATGCTTATGCGCTGTAACATGTCACCATCAGCTGGATTATCTATCATACAGTAACCTCTAGTCTTCCCTTGACACATCATCCAGAGCAGCTGGTCGACCTTATGGACTCTCAGAGGAAGCGCCGTAAGGGTGTTGCCCTACTCGCTTCCCTGTCTATTCACATCAGCGCTCATCCCCAGCCGCGGCTGGAGTGCCAGACCTTGCAGTTACTGGACAACCCTAGTCATGACGACGACAACCGAAAATGGGCCCTCTGTCGGCGCTTTTCGTCAACTGCAGCTCCCAGCTGTTGTCGAGTCGGTGGAAGATCCGAATAGCGCTCACAGACTCTATTGTCTCGTCCATCCTCATATAAATGACACCCTACGAGAAGTAAGTGATTATGACATGACTGGCGAATATCCTGAAACAGTGTCCAAGCTTCAAAATATAATTCAACATACATTATCAGCAAGTCGTGAGTCTCAGCGAGTCGTGCCTTTTCCACCACCGTACGAACATTATCTTCAATTACAATACAACAGAACTAGGAACTAACTGTAATCGCATTTAGAGCTGCTGAATCCGATAATTCTGCACTCCCCCGGTAAGTGCGGAAATTATGGCCAGGCTTGCGCGCACACACCACAGCATAAACTTTCGTACGATCCTCCCCTGCACCACTACCACTCGACCACATATCTTGCTTTATCTCCCCGCCTACGGCCTTCTAGTCTAGTAGGTCCTCTACATCTTATATAGCAAGTGATCCTCTAAGTGTACACGTAATCTCTTAGCTCTCTAGCGCTTGCTTAGCGCCTCGTTAGCCTTATCGAGCGAAGAGATTTCTGACTCAAGAAGACCTACCTAGTATATTACAGTCATGATACTTTTAGTAAGCTGGTCCACAGCAACCATCATTGAAGTCGGAAGCTTTTCTGATGATTGGCAAAATAAGTCTTAATAAGCATTGACTAGTCATAACCCAGCTTCTTAGAGGTTATATAGATCTAAAAGACCTAAATCTTATAGTGCTAAGCTGTAAGTTCTGGTATATGGCGTACGAAGCTTGATATCCAGCCTAGACAGTACTCTCTCTAGATTATACGGCATAAGACAAGGCTTCACAAAGCTACCCTTTTTCATTTCTCATAGTTGTATCTTCCTCTGATTCGGCTAGCTCGGCTAGCTGGGTAGGTTGGAGAAGCCGGGTAGGCTGGGTAGGTCGGGCTGTCTGACTTTGCTTGCCAACGCGTCGGCGTGCTAGTGCCACGGGTAGTGACAGTGTGAGGTTCATGTGCGCAACTCCTGGTTCGACTGGACAGTTCGAACCACGGTCCCTCTTTTGAGGGTGTTACGCAGTGGTCAGGTGCGCCCACCCGTGACAGCTAGAGTCTTACGTGGGACCCGGTAAATCTCAGCTGCGGTTCGTACGCTTAGATTTTTGTCATTTCAAAGAGCTTGAAGGGCAAAGACTATCTGGCCTTCTTAAAAGTAAGTGGTATCTTAGTTAACTAGTAATTCAGATGCACTTGGTGAGATTGCAACTCTTGTTGAGTTTGTTATTTCTCAGGACGCCGCTGATCGCAAGATCGATATCCCGGAGAACCGCCTGCGCGAAACATGTGGTTCAGCGAGTGGTGCTCCAGGAACAACGGAGGCAACAGAGATCCAGTTGAAGGAGAAGCGATGTACAAGCGAGCAAGCGACCATCGCACAAGGCACAGCCGGCACAGCCGGCACAACCCTGGGCCTCGTGCGCGGTAAAGGACGAGGATGACTTTCTCGAACTGGGCAAGGAAGGGGTTTTGCAGGGGATGAAGCTGGATATCAAGGAAGAGTTAGACGCGATAAGAAAGTGCTATTCATCGAGTTCATGCCCCGAGGCAGATTCGATGATTACATTGAGAAAGTGGCTATGGCAAAACAACGGTTTCCGGACCAAGTTCTGTGCCAAATGTTTGACTGCTGTAAGTCCTGGGAGGATCACAACCTAAATGGAAGGATCTTGGGTATTAACAAACAGGGCCAGTGTTCCGCGCCGTCATTGGTATGGCCTACCCTGATGCATTCCAGCCTGTTGGTCCCGACCCAAAAACGCAAAGCTTCCCGACGGTCAGCGAGAGCTGCACGAAATTTCCGCCCCTGACTTCGCACTGCCAAAGGGAGACAAATGTCCACGTCGACATTGACCCCTTGAATGGTGAGTGCCAGGCAGGTTTGGTCATCATCTTGGCTATTTATTGACCAACCCTCAGTACTTGTGGGCGAGTTTTATGAGAACGAGCGCAACATGGTCCCCATTCTCAAGGACTAATCGCAATCCGCAAGTGAAATACATAAAACTCCTGACTGACTCCATTTAGATAGCCGACCTGGGGCTCGCAACCGTCTTTGACGGCGGATACAGATCGACGACGTAAGACATCAATCAACCTTGCCGTCTAGACTCATACTAAAAATGAACAGTCAACTGGTCTGGGGAAAGCGAAACCACGGAAAGACAATTCTTCATTCCAGTAAGCCCCCATTTGAAGCATTATGCCCCTGAACGCCGCAGGGCCACTGACAGCATCTAACAAAGGAGCAATTCAGCGAAAAATGGGACTACGTCAACAGCACGCCCCAAGCTGCCCGGTACCGAACAGCCGGAAACTACAACTGGTGGACCTACGGCGGCTATGTCATGCACGAGCGCTTCACTGAGACCTAGGCCGAGCTGCGCAACCTGGTCGCCCTCTGCCTCGTCTCGAACCCGCTCCGCCGGCCAGACATGTTCACGCTACAGGAAACCATCCAAAAGCATGTTCTGGCGCAAGGGCCGGTGACTGACGAGGATCGGAAAGTGCAGCAATGGGTTGTGAAGATATCTGGGACGCCGGCGCCGCCGGGGCCGGTGCCGGAAGGACAGGCGCGGCCGGAGTTCAAGGGAAAAGATAAGCAAGGGATGGAAGGAGTGGTGGAGGAGGAAGGGCCGGCGGAGCAGGTCAGTTTGAAGGGCCGGGTGAGGGCTTGGCGAAATAGGCTGCAGAGTTGCTGGAGGTGATCGCCGAGGAAAAGGAGAAATTGGAGACGGTTCATCGGACGGCGGGCATACGGAGGGCGCCGAGGGTCATGGTCAATGGATTTGCTGTGGGATTTACGAAGGGCATGTTTGGTAAACTTCGTTAGAGATGGAGTTGGGACGAATGCAGGAGTCAAAGGTGTTTAGTCGACGTCAGTTACGATTTGTACTGTGCATCGAGATAGACGTAGCCAACACCAACCGCAACACCCAGGCTTGGTGGGCAGTCCCGGAAATGTTGACATGGCACAGTTAGCCAAATGGGCGACGCGTCTCTTGCGCCCAGCTCCGTTGACCCCTTTACGATTTCCCACTGACGTATTCAATGCTGGGCCCGCAATTGAAGTGCTGGAAGAAGAAATGTTGACGAGTTCAAGGCTGGCAATTACTGTCCCGTCAACATTGCAGATCTCTCTGCCTCCAACAAGTACGAGTCGTCGGCAAGCTCGTGCTTTGGGTCAATTTCGACGGTTTGGCTAGCACGAAATCTGCAGCACGTTCCCCTCTTCGGGCAAATCAAGAGTGGCAGTGTCAACTGATATGGAACTTCAGGAAACACGGTTTCGTTACCCTAAAGATCTTCGCGCGAGGTCATGGAGAGACATGCAGAGACGAATTCCAGACTTACGAGGCCATCGACAAGGCGACTCCCTTGCATCCTGGACACCGGCATGTGAGAACCGCCCTTGAGACGTTTACTATCGATCGTCCTGGGGGTGATCATCAGTGTTTGGTACAACGACCCATGTAAGATAGCTGGAAGGATCTGCTGCTGCGAAACCCCGCAGGGGCGCTTCTCTGAAGCCTGCTCAAAGGCGGCCTCCAACACCTCCTCTGCGCGCTTGACTACCTGCACACCGAGTGCAGACTGGTGCACACAGGTAAGTGGCACATAGTGTATACATACTGTCTGGAAGGATGGGTGGAGTCTGACATGCGAAAACATCAAGGCCGACAACATCCTGCATGCATCTAATGCAGACGAGGGCATGCTCAGAACCTTTGTTGAGGAGGAGCCGAAGACGCCGTTTCCCCGCAAGTACGTCGATGGTTCGCCAATGTACATGTCCCAGCGCTTCGGTCTACCTGAAGATTTCGGGAGGATCGTGCTCAGCGACTTCGGGGTCGCTGTGGGGGTTGACGTGAAGTGGAATCACGACGCGCAGCCTCGCGTGTACCGCTCGCCCAAGGACATGCTCATGGCGTCATGGAGCTAACCTTCCGACGTTTGAAATGTCGGGGTCATGATTCGGGACGTCTTTGAGAGCGGCCACTAGTTCTAGGCCGGGATCCGAACGGTCAAGGTTACACGACGCGGGCGCACCTCGCCGAGGTGGTCGGGCTGCTAGGGCCACTGCTCCTGGACCTGCTTGAGCGCCGGATTCGGAGCAAGGAGTTCTTCTCGGAGGATGGTAGAACTTGGTGTGGCGAGCTCGCTTGGAACTGAGCTGACTGATGCTACAGGGAGATGGATTACGGCCGTTCCGGTCTCGAAGGCAACAGTCTGGAGCAGGCGGAGCGCATCCTCCGTGGGAGAAAGAGGTCATGTTCTTGGACTTCGTGAAGGGAATGCTGGCTTGGCGACCCGAGGACCGCAAGACGGCACGAGAGCTGCTCGATGACCCGTGGTTAAACACCTGGAAGATCTCGGATTAGGCGGAAATCAGGACTGCACAGCATCTGAAGGTAAGACGAGACAATCGATGCTCCCTACGGGATGGTTTTCTGAGTAGGAAACATGATGCCAACCATCATGGGAACATACCAGGGGCATTCTTTTCCTGGGGTCAATCCGATCCAAAAGGTCTCCCCATTCCATATGGAATGCAGCAGAAGAACGTCCGCAAACCCAAGGGGCCCGGATCTGTGACTCGGGGCAACCCCTGCCGAAGATGAGTTACCATTCAGCCAGGTGGCGCTCCGTGACCCGGCAGATGCGGCGGGTCTTGGATGCCGTCCATCAGCAGCGAGCCTGCCCCAGCGCGACTGCCAGCAAAGTCATTCAAGTACTACTTCACTGCACTCTCAGCAAAAGGCAGTGACCACCTCAGGTTTTCATCTCTGGCACTCAGCCAATTCGAGGACGAGTCGGAGAATAGAATGCAGCTTCCTCCCCCGGACTTTACGTCGGGGGATGCCGCTGATGCCTGTCCGGTCTTTCCCCCTCTGTGCTCCGAGCTGGAAGCGGCGGACCACCGCCATGGAGCAGACTTTCCGTCGAATTTGTTGAGGGCTGAACAGATGTCGCAACCCTCGGACTTTGAGCTGGAATGAAACTGTCTCTAAAACTCCAATCCTTCTTCCTCCCACTTCAGATTTATCTCACTGAACAAGTGGTAGATCCGACTTTCGCAACGCTTGATTGCGCCGAACTGAACCAACCACAAACAACCACCGGCACATTAACAGCAAAATGGTCCTCGCAGTCCCCACCGCCAGCCTTGAGGGCAAGGTCGCTTTGATCACCGGCGCCGGTCGCGGAATTGGCAGGGGCGTTGCCCTCGAGCTCGCCCGCCGTGGTGCATCAATCGTCGTCAACTACGTCTCCTCGGCCGGTCCAGCCCAAGAAGTCGTCGATGAGATTCACTCGTACAACAACGGCGCCCGTGCCGTCGCCATCCAAGCCGACGTGTCCAAAGTTTCCGAGATCACGCGGCTCTTCGCCGAAGCCAAGCAAGCCTTGGGCCGCCTCGACATCGTCATGTCCAACAGCGGCACCGAGTCATGGGACAAGACGGAGGAGGTGACCGAGGAAAAGTACGATCACGTCTTCAACCTCAACGCGCGCGCTCAGTTCTTTGTCGGCCAGGCCGCCTTCAAAAACCTCGAGCAGAACGGCCGGCTGATCCTCATGACGAGCATCGCCGCGGGGCTCATGGGCGTCAGGAACCACGCGCTGTACAACGCCAGCAAGATGGCGGTCATTGGCATGGTCAAGGCGTTTGCCACCGACTTCGGCGTCAAGGGGATCACCGTCAACGGGGTCGCGCCCGGCGGCATCAAGAGCGACATGTTCACGCAGAACGCCTGGCACTACATCCCCGGCGGCACGCCCGATATGCCCGCGGAGACGATTGAGAAGCTGATGGCGGAGCACTGCCCGCTCGGCCGGTGTGCCGTGCCCGAGGATGTTGCCCGCGTGGTAGCCTTCTTGGCGAGCGAGGACGGTGGCTGGGTCAACGGTCAGTAATTGCTACGGTGTTGGGTTGTCGACAAGGGCTAACTCTCCGTTAGGTCAAGTCATTACCATCTCGGGCGGGTCTTCTCAGTAATCGGAAGGCGTGCTGAGGGAGACATTCTTCCAATACGGTTTCCACTCACGGCAAGGCAGACAGCCCGGGGGTATGAGACGGATAGACGAAACGAAAAAGTTCGAACAAGCACAGGGTTTGAGGTGGCGGCATGTCGTACTCACTCTGCACCTCCTGCTTTAATTCAGCTCCAGAACTGCTCGTTCAACCGACGTGGTTTGTTCAATTAGCTGCGTTTTCCGGCCGCTTATGCTATTCATCTCTGCGGAATGATAATAGGGTGGGCGAGGGCCAACAGGACGTTTAGAGGTGCGGTTGACGGTCGTTATCCGCTATTCAATCAGTTCCTAACACGAGTTATTCGTGAGAACTGCTTGTTTGTCGTTTCTTGCCCTTGTCTTCAGTGGCTTCAACAGTCATGGCCTCATCACCGATTGCCGGAGCATCTTGACCCTCCCATCGGCCTCACACAAGCCGTATATGACGTCGATCTCGTTACATATTCCTCTGACGGTCTGATGATTGTGCCATTTATTAGCACCCCTTCACGTCCCACGCAGGCAAACAAGCAAAATACACGTACCCAATTTACCACGGCTTGCACGGCCTACACGGCATCCAAACGCTCCAACATCTCCGTCTTCCCCTGCACCTCCTGGCTCGCGCTCGAAACACCCTCAACCTGATCATATCCCTTCGAACGTGTATCCTTGGCGGCCTGCAGCCCCCTCATCTTCCTGGCCAAGCGATGCACAGATGCCAATAAGTCAGCGCTCCGGCCTCGACGAAGGAGAGGTGTGTCTCGGACGCGACCTTGAGCACGTCTAAGCTGCGCTCAAGAAGGGCGATTTTTTACGCGAGGGTCGGGACCTCAGCGGCGGGGCCAGCGTTGGCGTCGCTGGGGTCGTTTTTGTGATGTCAAGCCGCAGGGTATTTTGCTCGGACGCCACTACTCGCAATGACTACTCGGCCGTTCGAAGGTTTGAGGCCGGCAACAGTGCGCTTGGATGTTGTCACTCCTGTGCTCGAGACTAGAAGGAGAACGGATGATGATACTGTGGACACCATGTCGTCTTATTGATATGTAACAAAATCCGCACCACATGATTTCAGGAAATCAATGGTCGGTTGAGTGAGATCAACAGACATGGCTGAGGCGACCCGGTCTCTCCAATGAAACTCGACCGTCTCGACCCCCTCTGGTCACTCGAGCTTCAGCTGCCTGAACTGCTCAATAGTGGTCTCAAAGCCCCTCGCCTCGCTCTCCATATCAGTAAGCTTCTTCCTCTCGAACTCCTGCGTTGCGACGGCCACCTTCTCGGCGTACTGCGGGTCATTGACAAGCTTCCGCTGCTTCTGGACCGCGGCGCGCGCTTTCTCCAACTTCTTTGTGGCTTTAGCAATCTCCTCGTCCAGGTCCACGCGACCCTTGACGTGGATGAACACAGAGACGGCGCTAGACACGGGGAACGCGACACAGCCGGCCGGGCGGGAATGGTCCGGCGAGATGATCTCAATGATCATGGCTCCCTTGCCGCTGAGGGAGCGGATCGACGACTTCTCCTCGGACACGGTCTTGTAGGACGCCTCATCATGGCCCTGGATGAAGATCTTGGCCTCAACGTCCTTGGTCGGTGCGTACTCGGCCATCAGGGACCGGATACCCTTGGAGCAGCCCAGGACAATGTCGTAAGCGGCTTCAGCTTCGGGCTTATCGAACTGCTGGTCCCATTCGGGGTACTTGGCCAGCATGATGCTCCTCGTTTCGTTACCGGGCCGTCTGGGCAGTCGCTGCCACAGTTCTTCAGTGATGAAGGGGAGGAAGGGGTGCGAGAGGACTAGAGCCCCGTCCAGAGCCGAGTAAAGGGTCTGAAGTGCAGAGTGAATTTGAGTTTCAGTGCCTTCCTGGATCAGAGCCTTGGAGTTCTCGATGAAGACATCGCACCTAACAGATTTCCAGGTGTCAGTCTAGCGTCGAGGTTGTTTGTTCTGGGGAACGTCTTACAGTTGATAGTACCAAAAGGCGTAAATAAGATTGGCACTCTTCATGAAATCTCTTTGCTCCAGAGCGTCGGAGACGCCCTTGACAGCCGCATTCATCTTGTGGAGGATCCAGAGCTCGGCCAGGGACTCGTTTCCGCCAAGCGCCCGCTGCTTCGCAGGCACAAAGCCTTGGGCAGTCCCAAGCTTGGCGAGGACATACTTGCTGGCATTCCATATCTTGTTGCAGAAGCGCCGGTAGCCGTGGATGACCTTGACATCGAAGTTGATGTCACCGCCGCCCGTGGTGTAGGCGATGAGAGAGAATCGAAGAGCGTCTGCGCCGCATTCCGGAATGCCCTGCGGGAAAGCAGTCTTTTGGTACCTGGTGGCCTTTTCGACTTCAGCGGAAGCGAGGTTACCGGTGAGCAGCTTGTTGTGGAGGGAATGGAGCTCAATGCCGCGAATGACGTCCAACGGATCGATGACATTGCCAAGGGATTTACTCATCTTTCGTCCGTCCGAGTCACGAACTTCAAGATAAGGTTTAGCATTTTGGGTGAGAGTAGGTTGAGTTAGAGCTGGGCACTTACTCAAAGAATGACAGAAAACCTCGGAAAATGGCACCTTGCCCTGCTCACCCAGTCAATATCGTTCGTTGTATGGAATGCGGTGCACGTACAGTGAGTTTCAGGCTGAGGAAGATCATGCGGGCAACCCAGAAGGGACTGTTGAAGCCGAGTCAGCATGACCTTTTTAAAGTGAGGTTCACAAGGTAGACCGTACATGATATCCCATCCAGTTTCAAGGAGGCTGGTCGGGAACAGACGAGACAGGTCAGGGGCGTCCATGGGCCAGCCAAGGGTTGCGAATGGCCAGAGGCCCGCGCTGAACCAGGTATCGAGGACATCCTCGTCTCGAACCTAAACGTGTGTGAGTCTCAATATACTAGAGAAACAAGGCCGAGCGTTGACTAACCAGCTTGAACTTCCTGTCCGGGAATGCGTTCCTTGCTTTGGTGAGTGCTGTGTCCAAATCAGTCCGGAATTCCACCTAAGCAAGCGTGGAACTGCCAAACCTTCTTCTTCAGTTCGTCCCGCAAACCACCTGTCGTTCGCCTCAGGATGGGTGTCCCCCTCTCCTTCAAAGCGAACTTGGTACACAGGACACTGATGTCCCCACCACAGCTGTCTCGAGATGCACCAGTCGTTAATGCCCGCCATCCAGTGAAGATAGCTCTTCTCGGCCGATTCGGGCTTGATCTTGATATCACCATTTTGAACCGCCCTGATGGCGGGCTCGGCAAGGTCCGCCATCTTAACCCACCACTGCGGCTTCATGATGGGCTCGATAATGTCCCTCGTTCTCTCTGACCTCGGCACCTTCATGGGGTTGTCCTTCTTGTCCACATAGAGGCCGAGTTTCTTCAGATCCTCCTGGATCGCGTACCGGACGTCAAATCGCTTCTGGCCCTGGTACGGACCGCCGTTCTCGTTGATGAGGCCTTCATCGGTGAAGATGTTGATGAATTCGAGCTGGTGGGCCATGCCCACGTTGAAGTCATTGGGGTCATGCGCCGGGGTCAGCTTGACGGCGCCTGTACCGAACTCGCGCTTGGCGTATGTGTCCGCGACAATTCGGAGTCTCCGGCCTTCGATGAATGGATGAACAGCGAACTTTCCCACGAGATGGGTGTACCTGGGATCGTTGGGGTGCACGGCGATGCCGGTGTCCCCCAGCATGGTTTCGGGGCGGGTTGTGGCAACCTCAATCGTCTCATCTGAATCCTCGATGGGGTACTTGAAATGCACAATGATACCGAACTCCACCTTTCTGTCATAGCCCGGGACATCAAGGAGTGTCCGTCCCGTCAAGGGCTCGTTGTCGACCTCGAGATTGCTGAGGGCGGTCATCAAGGTGGAGTCCCAGTTGACGAGACGATTTGCTCTGTAGATGATGCCCTCTTCGTGGAATCTGACGAAAACCTCGGTGACAGCTGCTGAGAAGTTCTCATCCTGTGCCAGGACAATCAGTCAATGTCATCTGGCAATGGCACCCCCAAAACCAAGAAGTTGGATAGATCACAAACCATTGTAAACGCCTCTCGGGTCCAATCAAGACTGGACCCCATTCTTCTGAATGCATTGTTGATCTTCTGATGATATTCCTCCTTCCAGTCCTGTGCGAGGGCGACGAACTTTTCGCGGCCAAGATCACGTCTGGTCTGTTTCTTCCGCTTCATCAGCATCTTCTCAACCACGCTCTGGGTCGCAATGCCAGCATGGTCGCAGCCGGGTAACCACAATGCGGTTTTGCCTTTTTGCCGGTTGTAGCGGATCAAGAGGTCTTGCAGTGAGTTGCCCAAGGCGTGGCCCATGCTGTATCCGATGTGTTAGTCGTTTTGGAAGCTGACAACCAGCGAGTGGGCTTACTGCAAGGCACCAGTGACGTTTGGAGGCGGCACCATAATGACGAAGCTGCCCTCGGGCTTGACGTTCCCCTCCGGCGTGAATTGTGGCTGGAAGAAACCCTCCTTCTCCCACCACGCATACCATGCCGACTCCACAGCGACAGGGTGGTACGAGGCATAATACGGGTCGTCGAACGGCTTAAGCCGCTTCTTCTCTCCTGCTGGCGTGTCCTCAAAGAAAGGGGGCAGCACCTCTGCCTCAACCTTTTGTTTCTCCTTCTTGTCTTTTGTCGTGTTCGCATTGGCGGCGGCTTCCTGAGCTTCCAGCTGGGCGGCTTTCTTCAGATGGAACTTGGCCAGTTTCGCTGCCTTCTTGCGCTCCTTTTCCAGTTCCTTTTCCGTCATCATAGGGTGCGTTTTCGAGTGTTGGGAGGGGGCATTGGGGTGCGCTGGCGACACAATTGTGCCAACGGCCTCTTGCGGGCTGCCGGCCGAGGTGGCTGTCCCTTAATGATGCTGTCAGCTCGAGTCGTCGAGAGGGTGACAACAGTGTAACGATAACACTGATTACCGGTACGCATACCACAACTCCCTTGTGGACTGTTAGCAGCCATTGCAATTGAGGATAAGACTCGTTGGAAGAGCGGTGGATGCGCTGCAGAGCGCATGAGGGTGGGCTCAGAAACGGTTGCGGCGCTTGATGTGGGAGAAGTTGCAGGATTCTGAGATTCGCATCCTGCAGGCGCTGAAATATGGTTGGTCTTGAGTGAGTCACGGATACTAAGTCACGGCAGGACGGGAGGCGCAGTCTAGAAAAAAGTGGACGTCCGTTGTTACTTTGACAACTCTAAAACTGTATCTGACAGGACTTGGTGCCGACTGCAACCACCTGAGTCATTGCAACGTTAAGACCTTCGTGTTTTTAATTCTAGCAGACCTTGCTACTTTGTTCCTGGCCCAGAGTTTCTTGGGGTTCTCGCCAGTTCCAATAATCCAGGGTTAGGGTCAACCTCCATCTGCCTTTCGGATTTTCACTCTCAGCTGTACTGTTGCTTCAGCGAAAGATAGGCCTGAGGAAACACTAAACACACTGCTTCTTTGCTTAAAAAGTATTAAAATCGCACCAATGCTTGGCACGCACATTTTTTATTATTATCGTGATTACTTATTACCAGAACAAGCAGACAATCTAGGGTTGACCTTCAAGGCAGATAGATGATACCCCACGAATTCCAACATGAACCTACCATGCCCAGTGTTAGCAGCTTTTTTCTGAAGCCAAGGTTCTCGCAAAGTATCCAATCTTTTCCCCAGCCTTCGGGCCACACTGCTTCCCCCCCCTTCGACTCAATAACTACCCCATATCAACAGCTGATTCACCCTCTCCTCCTCCTCACAGTCCCCATCCTCTCCAGCAACCCCAGATCCCACCACCCTTCAATCAACCCCCACACCGTCCTCCTCTTGGACCTTCCCTTTTCCGCGCCGGCAGCAGCAGCAGCAGCATTAGCAGCAGTCAACCCAACGGGACTTCCACCCGCACTCACGGGACTGGGCACAATCGACCCCTTGACCGACGCAACTGCAGGACTCTTCAAAACCTCCCTGAACCCCCACGTCTCCCTCGGCGGGTGCACGACCACAATCGGCGCCGGCACGGGTTTTCTCCGCCCCCGCCAGCTCCTCCTACCTTTATTGGGGGACAAGCTTGTCAGGCCCAGGCCTAGGCCGCCTAGCATGCTCTCCTTGAGAGGGGAGAGTGGCGAGCGGGGGATCAGGCCAGGGATGCGTTTGTGTTCCGGGGGGATTGTGTCGCCGAAGGCTGAGTTGGGGGTGATTGGTGAGGGTTTATTAGGGGCGGGGTCGCTGCTGACGGTGATGGCGGTGATGGTGCTGGTGGAAAGAAGAGGTGGACCGCGGGACAGGAGGGGGGAGATGCCATCTTCGTCGGTCTTTTCTTGTTTTAAGTTGTCAGGGTTGGTGTTCACTGTTAGCGAACCGCGCAGCCTGGCCGGGCGGGTGTGAATTGGTGGTGGCGGGCGCAGACCGCGGGGTTGGGCTGGGCTGCCGGCGTCGTGGTCGGGGTTGTACGTGGCGGAGGACGCGTCCGAGTCGGAACTGAACCTGGGCGGGGTGACCGCTGCGCGAGAATTGGGCGGGAGGCCGGCATGGCCGCGCCCTCGGTCGCGGATGGGCGCCAGCGGGGGAGGCGGGAAGTAAGGAGGGGCGACAGCAGCGCTTCTGTTCCACGGCTCCTGTTTCAAGTTCGTCCCCCCGATGGCGCCCGCGAGTTCCTAACCCTCAATATCTTTGGGGTTGTTTGCGGCGCCATCGCGCCGGATGCGGTGCCACAGGCCGATGCAGACCAGAGATGAGAAGGCAAAGAGCACGCAGAGCGCGATGGACAGGCCCCACACGGCCTTGATTCCGAAGCATGTTGGCTGGTCCAGCTCCACAAAGGTGTTATAGGACAGAGTTCTGGTGATAACGGCTGCTCGGATGGAGGCGCCGGTTGAGGAGAAAAAAGTAGCACTTGTCAAGCTGAACGAAGCAGGAAGGGCGGCGCAGTTGAGCATCGAGAGAGGCTTGCCAACCAGCGAGGCTACCACGATGGATGCGATGAGAAGGAGGCCGTCGAGGCAGCCGGTGGCCAGCAGCGGGAGCATGTTGTCGTAGTAAAGAATGTAGGTAATGACAACGTAGATGACTGATGTGACTGCCTGCGTTCAATTAGAATCCTGCCTTGAGGCAGAAACGGATCAGCGAACGTACCACTGTCAGAGTGCCAATGAGCTCGGCAGGAGAGTTGTGCTCGGCAGTGGCGATCTCGTTGATGAAGTTGGCACACAATCCAATGACAGCAATAAGCGAGCCGAACTGGCAAGCCCGCATGATGCTGAAGGTCACCCCAAGGGCGCCGAGCTGCGGTGCCTGGAACCGCATTTTCAGGGGCTGAGCTGGGTCGAAGTCGGTTACAAGCTGCAGAGAGGGCCGCTCTTTGCTGGCTGTGCGCAGGTGAAACCGCGGTTTGGGAAACGGCACCGTCGGCGGAGGCGGGAAGGAAGTGTTGGCCGAAATGTTGGGCAATCGTATTGGAAGGGACCGGAGTGGTTTGCTGCTCACACCGGAGGGTGTGAAGACTCGTGTAGGATGTGAGACAGATCAACTGCCTTGAAGACCAAGACTGAAAAATGCGTTTGTTTGGTGATATCAAAGGAACAGGTTTGGTGAGTCGTGACCGGGAACTTCAAGTCGGTCAACTACCTGGTAAGGTAAGGAAACAGCAAGGAAATTGAAAGCCCAGACCGGAATCCTCTATCAAGACCCAAGGAAAGAAGAGAGACGAGATATGAGAGTTACCAAACTGGAAAAAAGAGATAAGGAAAAAAGGAAAAGAAAAGACCTAAGAAAATCGGATCTTGATGAACGCGGTTGTTTGGTAAGAGAACATCTCGAATCCAGCTCGGGTCCGGGACATGCGTTTTTATGTCCTTCACCTGCAAGGTCTGGCCATCTCGATACACCAAACAATCGGATCTCCACAGCGGCGATCCGTGGCAATCTCAAACAAGCGCGTCTCTCATTAGCGCCTTAGCCAGATGCTGCACAACATGGCTTCAGCAATACGATTGCACGACGGCAATCGATGTTTTGTTCCTAATTATTGCCCAATGGCCGATGAGTCAAAACTCGCGACGTTGGCGGACTTCAGTAGGCGCCCTATGCACCAATCGGAAGCCTGCGTCGACACCTTCTGTGGGTTCGCTGTCCCCACCACCCTCAGCGGCTCTTTAGCAACGCGGCGCCCAACCAGATCCGAGATCGATCATTTTGCGACTTTGTGTCTCTCTGTCGCGGCTGTTGTGGGACTGCCACAACCATGCCACTCGCGGTTGATTGGAGAGGCAGGAAGATGGATGGAACGGGACCGAGAATTGGGGAATTAAGGGACCGGCCCTGGCGCACGGTTTCGTGCAGCGTTTTCAGGTTACCTAGTGCCGAACTGGGAAGTATTGGAACCTGCAGGGCGATGACCGCCGAGATATGCGCTGGATGAAGCTATTCCGAGTCAAAGCAGTGGATTGAGCAGAGTGAGCAAGTCCTTTTGAAAGGTGGTAACAGTGCTTGATTGACCATGCTGTTGATGGGCATGGGAGAGGACTAGATACAGTAGGCATGGAAGAGGGGTGTTGCAGTGCTGGCACCAATCAGCCACCGAAGTCCGTTGAATGCAGCCATCAACGCGGCTTCGTTCCGACAAGAAGTTGTGGCTGGAGCGACGAAACGGCGGGTCCAGCGCCGGAGCGTCAGGGTCATTTACCCGTTTTCGCAATGGATAACTACCACACCTTTGGGAGTGAATCTGCAGTGGGATGGTGTGCCCGGGGTCTCCACGAGGTTGTGTAGAGAGCGTTGTTGAAGTAGCGGCCTTGCGCGTTGACGTCCGCTTCCCTGGCGATGAGATTCCGTGCAGGTGCTACGAGTCTAACAAAGCAGCGCAAGCAGTTATAGGTAGTAGAGGCTGGAGCCTTCTGGATGACCTGGGTAATGATCCCAAGCCCTATCAGGCTGATACAATCAAGCCTATCCTGGGAACGTCACTTCGTGTTGTACCTCGAGGTAGGTTCTTCCTCACTGTCGCTCGAACTATATCTTCTGAAGCCTGGGCCAGCGCAAACTACGCAACGTGGCCCGCCCAGGCTTTTGCCACATATCTTGCCATGGGAAAATCCTGGTTCGGGTGAGTTGATTGACTAACAAACAAACCGCGGATCTGGCTGCCTTATGAGCGCACCGTTGGGCGACTCACACTAATCACAGAGCACAAAGTGAGGGGACACGTTCCCTGTTCTTCCTCAGAAGGCCCCTTCCGTATCTCGAGAGTTTCTGGACTGAAGCTTCAATCCTTCAGCTCTTTGACACTTCGGCAAACACCGACACTTCGAGTTTGCTCAGTAGCCTAGCATTCTTCAACTTCCGTGCACATTAGTTAGATAGCTTCTTGTTTTCTACAGACATGCCTTTCCACTCTGATGCCTCTCAGCATCTGGACTTCCGAATGCCGATCAGGGCCGAAGTCATTTCCCAATAAATCTATCTCATCGCTTTCGTTCATCCACAAAGCCCGTTTCAAGCCTAGGTAGGCAACATACAGAATGATGACTCCTCAAAACCTTCTCAATGTAAGGTAGGTACTGAAGCCGGCCGCTTTGATCAGTGATCGCCGAGCTCGTCAGCAACAAGATCTTCGGCTCGACTGAAGCTGTTCGCGGGGGGTTTTACGCCTGGCGGACAAGGGACGGGGCGCTGGGCGCAATCGGAGGGTTCGCTGGCAATTCGGAGCAACATGTTGGAATTGCTGAGTGCCTGGCGGAAGAAGTATGTACATCTGGTCCGGCGCTGTGGTGACCAGGAGCAGGAAAATTCCCCACGCCCGAAGAGGTGGCCACACTGATGCGCTTTCATCTCCCTGACCCCCGCCGATGGTTGAATTGCACCGCGGTAAAAGTGCATGGCCTGGCAAATCGAAGACTCAGTGCTTGTTCGACTTCGTCGGGAAGGTGACTGTCTACCTAATCTGCCTTGGACAGCACTGCCCCCTTGCTTAGCAATCTCAGAAGCTGCACCGCCCCTTTTGCCAGGCCCCACGCAAGGCGTGTACAGACCGGCAGACCCAGACAAACTGTCATCAACCGATCTGCTGGCCAAATCATGGCACAACCTAGGTGTCGTTGTCGAGACCTTCATCTAATCACGCACCCAACCTCTGCAGTCTACAACCGGTTACTGCGAGTCCCACCTGAGACCTTGACCCTCCAATTCCAAAGGGTCTTGCCAGCGGGCTCTTGCTTGCGCCATCAACCGACCACCCGTTTCCCTATCTGCCATTCCCACTTCGCCCGAGCGCAGATTGTGCAACATCCCCAGATGGCATCTATAACGCAAACATACGATTACGGGGCCACCAGGATGGAGGAGACCGAGCCGCTCATGTCGGATAGGATTCAGCACATTCTCGAACGACGGATGCCCTCCGAACAGGAGAGGGAAGCGCTTGCGCGAGCGGCAGAGGAGTTTTATCGCAGGGCGGAGGAAATAGAGCGGCAGCGGCGACGCCGGCTATTCGTGGTCGTGGCTGCACTGACGGGGTTGGGAGTCTTGGGACTGGTGGCTTGGGAGGTTTGGCGGGGCCGCCGGTGAACTCACAGGTGTCGATTCACGTGGAAAACGGATGGCGATGGCATTTCTGCAGCTTGCATTCGTGGCAAAGAACCGAAAGTCAGCAACTTGAACCCCCCAAAAAAAATTGATCAGATCCAGATTCATGTTTTCGCCCTCCTATTACAATAACGACAGCTCTTGTTCCTCGTTGTTATTCAGAGGGCGCGGCTTTCTATCTTCACAGCTACCAGTTCTGGGTGCTTCCGAGCAGCCAGTGAACTTTTATGCGTAATCGCTCGTTTATGCTGTGTAAGCAGGATTTCGGGAATCACACCACACGTTGGTACGTCTAGAAACGCAACCCGACCCAAGTCAACAACATGTCAAACTCCTCAAAGGTAAACGTAGCAGAGCGGTGTGCCGCCAACCGTGTTCATAAGGGTCTTGATCTTGACTGGCCCGGCTATTGGGCTCAGGTCGATGAGATCCTCGACCGTGGTGTTGGCGCTTGGCGGCATATTGAGCAACGTGTTGGTTCCAAATACACCCTGTGAAGCGTCAGTCCCGATACGTACCAGCCATGACGGAGGAACCAAGCGGACGTACCTGACGGTTCTCAAGGTCGAGCATCTGCCAAATCCAGTAAACCCGGTCGATCTGGGCGTGGTGGAGGTAGAAGGCTGGATCACCGGGCGAGATGAAGGCGTCAGAGCCGGGGTCGCCACTGATGATGAAGTGGCCGCCACCGTGGACCCCGAGCGAGTTGGGGATGTAGCCGGGGTCGGCCTCCATCGTAGTCCGGAAGATCTCAATGTTCGGCGAGTTGACAATCAGGTCGGTCGTGTTGCGGAAGCTGGCGAACCTCTTGCCGGCATCGGCGTTGAGGTCACGCTTCAGGCAGCGGGGGTTGTCCTGCGTGGGATCCGGCTGCGTGATGGGGCCCAGGTGGACCGTCATGTTTTTGAAAGGCCCGGAGAAAACGCAGCCGCCTCCAGTGCCCTTGGCAAGCACGATCGGCTCGGCAGTCCCGGGAATGAGGATCTCAAGAGGCCCGCCCGGGACGAACTCACCGTCGCTGCCCATTGAGGTATCTGAACCGTCGAAAACGGGAGAGGCGCGCGGGTTGTCGACGTCGAAGCCCCAATCCCAGTAAGGGAGAGCACCTGGGCTACATTAGCACAAGTGCCGGTTGGTGCATGCGGAGCATACGTTACCATTGTAGCCACAGGCATTGAGCTTCAGCTCATACTGATGGATGTACCAGCGATGCCAGATGAGAAAATTACCCTGGCCACGGTCAGGGTTCGTCTTTACCTGGCAGTATGGGCGTTGTGGGAAGTACTAGACTCACGGTGAAATGAATGGTGGTCGTCTGCAGCAGATGTACAAACACGAAGTCGTCAAAAAGAGACTTCGACCCTGGTACGCCTGGATTCAAAATGCTGGGTGTGTTCTGGACGCACTGGACGGCCTGGATGTAGCTCTTGCGCTGGGCTTTGGGGAGAGTTCTCCTGATGTCGAGGTCAGCACAACAAGTTGCAGAACAGCTTGTCAATGGAAGGCTGGTAGACATACCATTCCCGGCGGATCTTGACATTGCCGACATTGCATGATCCGCCGTACTTTGTGGCCGAGTTCAGCAGGGCGATGCCGTTCAACCCAGAAAGAGCCAGGCCAGAGTCGATGGCGAACTGCTCAAACGAGGGGATGCTGAAGATGGCAGATGCTTTTATGGCCGCAGCCAGCGTGATGGACGCCGAGAGCCTCATGGCGGTTGGAGAGATTAGAGTGGTTGAGGGGCTCCGCCTCTTCGTTGCCTTTGCTTTCGGAGAGAACAAGATCTTATATTTGTTACAGTTCTCTGGATGAGGGACTAAACCACTTACCGTGAGCGCCCCTGCTTCGGCCCCCATGGCGTTCGGCAAGGGTGCATGCAATCAACTCGCCGGCGAGGTTCCGCTACGTGTACGGTTGAGCCGGGCTAGTTGCTGCAGAGTCCTGCAGAGCGTTGTAACCATTACATGCGGGCCGCTGTCCGAGCCAGGGGTGTTCGAGCGACAGGGTCCAAAAGGCCCCCAAGAGCCTGACCTCAGGAAGCATTGAAGTTCGACCAGGGTTACTAAGGCAACCGAAATGCTTGTCGCTTTCTCCGTTCAAAACGGGTCGGGGTCATCGGGCCAACCTTCGCCAGACCTAGAGGAGGACGAGCTTTGAGCGGTCTTCTTAAGCGCGTATTCGAGCAAACAGCAGGTTGTCGTTGGCGTAGAGGCAGGCTGCTTGTCCAAGACCAGACAGACCTCGGTGGTATGTCGCATAATGCTCGCTCCCGGATACTGCGGTGGTGGATACCTTACCTTAGCCAATGGGTGTGAGCCTGCCGGTTCCGTTCAACCGGACAGGGACAGCAGCTTGATCCCACTCTGTCGGGCCTGAGCCGTTCTTTCACCTCGGATTTGAACCTGTTGCTGCAGTATGCGAGGGGTACGGTTTTGGGTAACAGTTCACGTACCGTCCATTCATGGATAGTTGACTCCATTACTTCAGCTTGTCGCCCTAGATTTGCGTGTTTTATGTCCACTTTCTCCCTCAGCTGTGCCACTGGCCGAAGCCATTGGCCTCTCAATCTTAAGCGAGGGCACGTTTCCTCGACAGCTAGGTCGAAAGTAAAACCCCGAGAGGAAGGCCGATGCATTCGAAGGAAGAGCCAAGGAACAACCCCATGTCGGAACAGCGGGCATGCAGCTGTCAGCACATCCATACATATATCTAGAGCAATTATTTACCTGGATGAGTTCTAGCACCAACAGACTCTCCCTGGGCTGGTAGGCCAAGACGTTGTGGACCATGGATCAAGCCGGTGGGCTGATGCCGGCCGCGGCCTTCCGTGAAGTCAATGTAACGAAGACCGGGGGACGAGGGTAATATGCAAGGGGTCTGCTCGTTTATGCCCACTGGACACCAATCCACGAATAGCACGGCTGCCCTCGACGCATTTCCTGTCGAAATCTGCAGCCTCGGGTCAATAGTCACCTGCATCACCCGGGGCCATATTGATTAGCCGCCAGGCCGGCTGAAGAAGACGGTTGGGTTGACCGCAGCTCGCAGACACAACGTGATCCATCCTGCCGGGAACAAGAATTTCCGAACCGACTGCCACGCTTACTTTATAAGACTCAACTACCGTACCTTACCTTAAACACGCAAGACAGAAATACACCTGATGCACTACAAACAACGCCTTACCACTCCCGGCCACTCGCCGCCTCAGGCTGGCCAGTCCTCTTTGTCTGTCTGCTCAGTTAGCCTTGCAAGTGCTCCCCTCAAGACTCCTTGCTCGCTGTAGGAAAACGGCAACACGTCAACAACTGCCGCACACTTCCAGCCTGCGAGATGCATTACTTGTTAGGGAACCACTCCCCTACCAAGCTTTGTCTCGTGGGGAGACGTAAGACCTCACTTAACGATCCCAACCCTCACTTCACGCCAGTCCCCGGCGAGTCGGCCTGCATCCCTTTATCCCGAGGACCGTGAGACATGTTACTGTTGTGAATCAAGGCCAACCTGTCGGAGTAATCTTCAACCAGACGGGATGAGGGACTCTAGAGAACTCGGTAATAGGGTAGGCGGACGTATTCGGGTCACGATCAAATGGGTTCGGTACTCCGAACAAAGAGCAACAAGAACGAGTTACTGGTCATTATGTGTCGCGGAAGACCTAATCCACCTAAGGAGTACCTCAAGAATACGACGACCCACGAGTAGCTCTGGATCCCGATTACACCGCGCGGGGGGACACAGCCCGCTCCTGCAGCGGCTCGGGGTGCTCCGTCCATGATTCCTCGACCGTCCGCTTTGATCCTGCCCTGATGGTGTTGCCACGCTCTTCACCAGCTCGAAGCTCGATGAATCTTGTGGGCCTTGAGCCAGAGTCCCGTTGGATGAGGACGCGCAGCATTGGGATGGAGGCGGCCATGATTGCGGTGGCAGGCTCGGCAGTCCCAAAGATCTGTAGATCCACGGTAGTTGCTTTGAAAAAGGCATTGTCAGTACCTTGGTTATCCCACAGCTGTTGTGCAGGTTGGGGCTTGGGAGGGAGGTCAAGGAGAGGTATCAAGGGATCAAGCGGGGACCCGAGACGGCTAAGTTGAAGAGGAGCAGAACTCCGAGGCGCTCACCATTGGCATTTCCAATCACATACATGGTTCGTATCTTCAAGAAGGCCATGACGCCGGTGCTGTGCGGAAGTCAGGCCGAGTACAACAACAGGCAACGGGGTTTCTTTAACTCACATCACACCGGCACTCATCGCCACCAGAGCGCCCAGCCTCTCCCGTTTGTTGATAGAAATGGTCCAAATAATCTTCCAGGGAAGGAGCGCGAGCACAATATCCATAACGCCCGAGAACACTGGGTAGTATCGTCATGTTAGCCCTCTTACTTGCCTTCCCGGGCCTTGAGCCAAGGTGCGAAGGTCGAGTTACACATACCAGCAACGGCAGTATTATAGTACCGAACAACGTCGGCTGGGAAGCATGAGCCGGGCATGTAGTAGTGCCAGGTCTTCTCGACTGGCCAGCACTGTACCCAGTGAATGACCCCGTTAGAGGCCAGAACCACGTTGACGGAGATGATGATACTCCAGATGAAGTGGCGCATCCCGCCCTCTGAGATGCGCAACAGAGTAATCGCAAACGATGTCTTGCTCCAGCACGTGGCGAGAATGGTGCCAAAGCCAGCGGCCATTGAGTACATGCCGAGCATCGAGATGTTTTCGTCGCTGATGTCCTCATAGGGCATCCCGAGTCCGTAGTGGACGGCGACCGTCTGAAGAGCGATCGAGTACACAACGGCGATCTGAAACGGTTAGAGCGGCACTACGAGGCATAAGTGTGGAGTGTATCTACCCAGCTGGCCAGAAGGAAATAGTCGTCCCAAAACAGGCGGTGCCGTCGCGACAGCTTGCAGTACAGTCGTAGCCCCAGGAAGAGAGTCGAGAGCGCGGCCAAGGGCCATATTACGCGGAGAAGATACGGCCCATGGTTTTGATGTTCTGTCTGGTGGTCCCGTCCAACGTGCTGGGCCAAGATCTGTGGATGAGGCATCCTCGGCCGTGGGTTTGATCGCCCCGACGAACGGCCCGCGACGGGACGCAACGGAAAAAGCAATTGAAGCTCAATGCCGCGGTGAAAGCGGGGAACAAGCTTTGCTTGCAGGTTCTTCTCGGTCGGGCTGGAGAAAGCGGACTGACATCGCGGACTGAATGGACTGGCCGGCAGCGTTGCTAGATCATGGCAAGAATGCGAAATCGTTGGACACAGCTGAGGTGAGAGGGCTTTGGGAAGGCTCAGATTCTATGGCGGGCGCCGCCTCGTGTGAATCTGGGCGATAGTGAGGAGGGCACCGACAATCTGATGCGTAGCGGAGGGTCTCGGTTGCACCAATAGGAGGACGAGTGTAAAAGCCAAGCGTCAATTCTGCAGCCGTTCATTCAAAATCAGATGGGAGATCGTCCCGAGTCTACCATCCACAATGTGTTGGGACGAGGATCTCGCTTACACAGTTTGCGCAAACGAGTGGGTCCAATGTGACCCCCGCAGATTTTGCGCCTCTCCTCTCCAGGTCCCAAAGTTCCTTCAGGAAACTTACCTGTATTTGGACGTCGCGGCTCTGGAGGTGAGCATGAGGGGCTTTTGTACTGTAAGAGCTAACGTTGAAATAAACATGCGCTCGAATCGGAGTAGCGGCATGTGCACAGCGTTGGTAACGGGTTGCCTTTTTGAAGCTGCCTGGCTTTCTTGGAGAGCCTGAGCTCAAAAACACAAGCTCAAGGAAGCCGATGTCGCCGCCAGTTCCCTGTCAAGTTGGTAGCGACCGCTCGAGCCCTCGTCGATCACGGTGATTAAGGTTACATTACCCTACCTTTGTTCCTGTCAAACTCGCGGGAGCTCGGACCAAGGTGCCGAAGTCCAGTGGACGGGAACCGAGCCAAAGCGACGTCCCCGCTGTCGCTAAAGCGACTTACTCAGAAAGCCCGTTTTGGCTGCAACCCTCTCATGAATATTGAAGGCGAGTGCACAACACAATTTCAGCATCACAAACATCGCCATAGACAAAACCTGAAATGCTCTAACATCTCTGACGCATTAGGAGAAGGTACGACGTCTCTCTAGCTGTATGCTAATCAACAGAACAACGTGGTTATGACAAATCTTAGGTGGAGGTTAGGTATGGAGAGCTTGTATGGTTGTTGATAATGGCAGCTGGCACCAGTTGGTGTTACGCCTGCCGCGGCCGACTCCACATCAAAAGTGGCTAGATCAAGCCGTTCTAGCCTCAATGCACCTGTCGCTTTAGCGACCTTTGCTTCAACGCGCGGTCTCTGTAACGGTGTAACCCACCCAAAGCCTCCCGGCCCGGCAACGCGGGGTCAAGTGCCGATCAACGGACTCTGCAACTGAATGGTTCCATCCCACCCATCTGGCTCATCCGAACGCAACAAGATCAGGGCAGCGGTCATCTAGAAGACGATCAGCGCATCGAAGTAGCCGGGTCAACGACGATGGCGCCGCGCCGTCGCATGGCTTGCGCAGGCGCGCGGCGCACGGCTGTCCGAGACAGTAGGTACCTTATGACTGCCATTGTCGTCCAAGTGCGCGGCGGTAGCCGCAATGCCAATGATCAGGTCGGTGCTGCCATCAGGGGAACCGGCGCTGAGAGGCGCGCACTAGTCTCCTTGATGATGGAGACTTCGAAATGGGTGAGCTCGGGTGCGATGTCGTAGCGCCGCTAGAGCTCGCCGTGTCGAGCACGCCTTCGAACGGTTATGTCGATGTCGTGTGGTTTGCTTGAACCGTGGCGAGCGTGCTGACACAGGCAGATGTGCCCGGCCCGCACCCTACGTTGAGGAGCGTATTCAGCTGGCGGCCGGTGACTTGTGGTGGCCGAGGGTAGCCGAGGACAGTCCGGCACGGCCGAGGATGGTAGTTACCGTGGTGTTTGCCCCGTACTAACGGCTGAAGAAGCGGGATGTCGTTTCACTGGCGGCCTTCTTGGATGCCTGGCTTGTCAGAGATGCCTTGTCGAAAGTCCCTTATCAAATTCCCTGGGGAGAACCGGAACAGGAGACGGGAGAGTAGGCGATGATGGAGGAGGTCAAGGTTCTTTCTCCGCTTCCGTCCGACTCTCAGACCAATAGGTAATTAAGGGAACGTCCTCAAGTTGCATCGTGCATATACCTACAGTTCAGTTCATCACCTAGGGAACAAGAGTTTCTTCCCTCTCCGGCCTTCCCCTTGATGTTCTCCTCGGGCGAGCTGTATTCAACAAGGTAGCTGGCCGCGGTCAACTCCACCCTATCCCGGGCGTTCCCGTTCGGGAAGCAAACATCTCTCAGCAGACGACCACTGATCAGACTGAACTGACTGGCTTCGTTAGTCTCGTTTTGGACTTGTCCGATTCACCGGTCAACCTTGGGAAGCTTAGATCCTATTAGCTTGACCTTCCAGTAATCGCTGACTGCGCTGGCCACCAACCTGAGCCCCCGAAGTTTGGGATGGGTACGGCTCTCTATGATTTAGGCTCCCTGTTTCCATTGGGAATTGCACAAGTGTACTGCAGGAAATAAGGTAAGGTAGGGTATCTCGCAACTCCCACGCCCCTAGAATATTCATGTCTCCCAGTAAATTGTGCGGCACCAAGCTTTAGAGAGGGGAGGCCATTCCAGCTGAGAAGTTACATCAAGTCCACCTGCAGACTCCTGATCTACACCAGATCTTGCCTCAGACAACTCTGAGTCTCAATACCGCCGGATCACCAACGGTTCGTGCTGTCCAATAATCGCGATGGCATACCCCAGGGCCATTGATCCAGAGTGACGAGCGCCGGAGGCGGAACAATCATCGAGTTGCAGGCCGGATGAACCCATATGCCATCAAAATGACCGAAAAAGCCGGAGCATAAGATGGCTCCTAGTATGGTAGCAGTACAGGAAAGAATTATCCAGGTAAGGGTGCTTTTTGCTGGCAGGACAGAGACATGTCCAACGAACTCAGGTTTACAACTATAGTCCATGTCGGTGTCAATGGATATAACAGAAATTTCAATCCCAATATGAAGTTCAAGCTGCTGATTGGGGCCGAGGGGATCAGGTAAGTGGGAGCAATAACTATAGAAGCAGAGAGCAAGGGGGTTGTCTTCATGACGAGCTCTTGTCCATGAGCAGATAGAGTATCCATAACGCATACACCTCCGTCTAGTGACTGGCCATAGCACGATTCTCGCTTCAACTTGATCGCCTTCTCTACAGTTCTGAGACCACTAAGTCAGCCGAAGGTGCCACTGAGCCCCTCACTCAGTACTTGCTTGACTTAATTCGCCTAAGGGCATCACCCAATGTCGCCGGGTGACAGTTGACATCGCGTTGGGTCTCCATCCTGCCTGATCCACACTACATATTATTAGCCTTGGGTTAGGCCGAATGACACGCCTAACATGGAGGAGTGCTGACCAAGGCAGACGGTGACATGTCGGCCAAGCGCATGGATGTTGAGCCCGGAATATGTCCCGCGGCTCATCTCAAATCTACATTGACACAACCTGAATACAATGACTGCCAACTATTCAGTTTACATGCATGCCTGCCAATAAACAAAGAAGAATATATACGGCAAAAGAATAGACACCAAGCGCGAAGCCCACGATCGGAGGGGCAAATGCCAATTCTGCCCAAGCCATGGAACACAACACGAGGCGCTATGCTGATAGATCAAAGAAGAGAAGCGAAACCCCCAGCTCCTTCCATCCCTCCATCGAGCCACTCACCTACAAGCCCCCGTCATCGCCTATAACATCCCAATCCAGCCATCGGAACAACCCCATCCTATCGCCTGCAGGGCCAAGACCGTCCCCCAAGCCAAGCCGCACTTTAAACTCAGCGTTCATAGTGTATCGAGGTGCATTTTGTGTTGCGTCTGCCAAGCGCCAAGCGCCAGAGGTAGAAAAGGGGGGAAGCGCGGCACTAGCCCGCCGGGCAATGACACTGACACGCAGCCGGTGGTCATAGGCGCGGGTCGAAACAGACCAAGTGGGCGGAAGCTCGAACTGTAGCGAATGTGACGCGGGCAAACCTTATCTGCCTAAATCTCGAGCAAGACGTCTTGGCTTGTGTGCAGGTTGCGCTGCTTTGCCGTCGATTCGTCTTGACGGGGTATGCCGCGCTTGGCGTGGAAAGGGGGCAGGAGCATTCGGGAGACCGTTTAGAGTCGGACCGGGTGAAGGGATTCCCTCTTGTTTTATTTTGGGACGGGTGGTGTTCGATGTTTGTGGCTCCGTCTTGGCTCTGTGCGTGGATCTCAAGAGGTGTTGGTGGTCGCTGACGTTGAGCCTTTGGGGCTGTCCTGCTGTTTATGCGGCCGTGGGTTTGTTTGGCGTGAAGTGTCGACTCGTCGGATAAACACTTCGCTTGACCGGCCAGCCGGTGTTTGCTGCGCAGTGTCCTCTTATGGAACCCGCTCAAAACGGTTCAGACGAGGAGCGAGTTCCCAGGAAATGGTGAGCGCCGCTTGGGGTTTCTGGACCTGCGGCTTGAATGGTTGCGCGCACGTGTGCTTGCGATATAGGTTGGCCATTTCAAAGTGGTTGACGACCGGAGTCTCGATGATGAGAGCCTTCTCCGGGACATGAATGGAGGCGGTCTCAGCGGGTTCCTCCATCCGTTTCCTATCATCCTTCGGATAAGGCGTGGGCGTGCGGTAGCGAATTGGCTGGTGGGTGAATGTCTGTGGCCGCCATCTAGTCGGTGGAATGAGCCAGTTTGGCTGTCTGTCGAGGATCTTCTGCCCGATGTCCGAGAAGCCGGATCCGGCAGCGCCAGAGTTTCTCGATGTACACCTGGAGAAAGCAGAACCCATTGTGAGAGTGTCTGAGAGGTGACGTTCGGTATGTTGCAGGGTGAGGAATGAAGGGTGAGCAGGCGTCGAGGTGTATACTCTGATTGTGTATTTTGCGGGGTAAAAGACGGAGGAACCTTGGTGGTGATGACCTGATACCCATACACTTGGGTTCTGGCGCGGAGAAAATAGCGCAAAACCGGTTTGTTGGGAGTGGTTGGAGAAGGTGGAATCTGCCGATGTGGGCGATTCCAGAGACTGTGAATCGTGATCCAGTGCAGAACAACAGGACACCTGCACAACAGAGAGAGATATCGCGAACACCGACATGCAGCGGAGAGCGAGTTGGGGATCATGATATTTATGATTCCATGAGTCTATGACATGCGTAAGAACTGTTCGGTACCCGAGGGTACCTAACCTCGTGGTCGCACTGACATCGTACTGACCATGCGGACCAGATGACGCCTGCCCCCACTACCAGAGTGCACCGCAGTCCGCAGGCCCTCTTGGCGGGCATTTAACTACCGCCAAAACGAGAAAGTGGCAGCAATGTAGATCAGATTGGACTACGCTTGGCGCCAGTTTTCTGGTCCGACGTGTGAGGGTGAAACGGCTGTACGTCAGCCTGGCTCGACGCTTGCAAAAAGCACGTCGTCGATCCTAAGTTTGCTGCTAATAAGATGCCCTCGAGAGCACTTTCCGAGCTTTCATGGATGTTACCGCAGTATGAGCGGCAGGCCTACCCCACGCTGTTGATAGCGCGAGGTGAATGGAGTCGAACGGCACTCTCCTACTCTAGAATCGGTTCCATCAATGATAGAGCGGCAGATTCCGCTCAAGTTTCAACAACGCGACGGGAAACCATGTCAGGCTTGAGTTTCCCTCCGTCATTTTCCTGTCCAAAATCACCTGCCAGCCGCGATATCACAAAGTCTTGGCTCCTTTGCCAAGCCGCCCATCCTCGCCGCAGATCGTCTCGGCATCGTGGATCGCGGCCCGATTCGGCAAGTGCACCACGCGTTACAACAACACGGACACAACAGCGACTTCAAACCGCAAACCAGCACACGTCCTGCAGTGCTGAAATTAACATAGTGTTGACTTTGCTCCTACGATTCAACCGCTCCCCGAACATTTTTCTGTCAAGATTGAGTGCTCGCTAACCAGAGGCAATGCCGGTAGACGTCTCGGGCGAATTCTGCAACTTCCCATCAACTCTCTCCTGTCGCAGTTGGCCAAGCTTCCGCACAGCGCCTCCCGCCATGGCATTTTCGACGCAATACGTACGTTGGCGGCCATGGCAGCTTGGCTGTGCGCCCACCCAAGCCATCAACCGCTGCACCTTCTTCGCAATCACAGACGCTAAGTGCCACCGGCCTCTTGGCAAGGCTCACAAATGTCGGAAACAAGGAGGCCAGATTTTCAATTCCTCAAATTTGCCCGGACTTTCATCCCTTGGCAACGCGACCGATCTGTGGGCACCACCGGCTGCGACTTCATGTGTTGTCTCGCTCGCGGTCAGGTTACTTCTCTTCGGCGTCCGTGGCTGCGCCAAGGCTCGGGGAGATCAGATAGATGCCAGTGGCATCCTATCACAGTCACATCCATCTTCAACCAGCCAATATGCTGGGGGATCAAAGCGCTGGTGAAGTGTACTGACGACAGAAGCTCAAGCACAAACATTTAGCCTCCAAGACCCCGAACAAGACAACGGCACGAGAAGTAATAGCCCCTTGACCCCCTCCAGATGGCTTCACCTTCGATCCCCTGTTGCCCGCCAAGCATCATCTGCCGATGGCCACACTTGGCGTCTGGCAGCCACCGCCGTCTTAAGTCGCCAAGTCGTTACACTTGGTGATTTCCTCTCTTGGCATTCCACTGCGCCCAAACGCTTGCGGTGGGACTGACGTGGGATGTTTCAAGGCCACTGTTCTGTCCGATGAGTGTATGGAGTAGGGCAACGATAAGCGATCTGTGGCTGTGATGACCGCGTCGTTACAATGGTGTGAGTTGCAATATGCCGGCCACAACTCACCAAGGTCCGCTTTGAACATATGAGTTCACCACCTCGGAAAGAGGATCTGGGGTTGAGAGGTCGTCAGTAGTGTGGGTGTATGTATGTGATACACAATCAGCGTCTCAGCCTTGGCATAACGACCGTCTCCCTCAGGGTCGGAACCTTTCGGTGCTGTGAGTCTGTCCAGACGGACAACTGTGTCGCCCCCTCCTACGACGACACAGTCACCACAGTAGTGTTGAAGCTCTTGGAATGCAGAGTTGATGGTTGAACGTCAAGGAATTGGATGTAGTTAGCGTGCCAAGGCCCTTTAGGCTTCGCGCCTCCGGGCGAAATAAATTCCATCCATCCATCCATCTTGGAATGCACTGAATTAATTGATTGAACATGCAACGAAGGATGTGGTTGAAGATGCACGAACAAAGGAAAATGGGCGACTGCCCGGCTAAATACAGCGAATGAAGCCCAAACGGGCGCAATGAGCCACGTCAGGTGACAACCCCACAGGTGGGACCCTGAACCGCATTCGGGACCCATTGCTAAGACCCCAAATCCTACAACATACGACATATAAGAACGCGGTGGTCGGGCATTTCGGCTTTATGTTGGCCACCAATGGCCGTTGTGCTGACGACAAGTGCGGCCACGGACAATGTACAACCCTCGGGCCGTAGGGGCTATCCCGTGTTGTTTGCTCCCTTATCCCGAGGGCCACGTTTGCAGCAACGCGGGGTCAACAACGTTCCACACCCTGTTCTGAATACACCCCGAGGCCCTTCAGTGCCTCGAGGGCGTCTCGAGAACGACATCATTGCGCTTCCTGATGGCGCGGTTGCTATCTTGGGGTCGTCATGTCCCTGCGCAGCAACAGTTCTGTTTCCGTATTCTCAAACAGGCACTCTCGACGCAAGAGGCGGTGGCTCAGTTTCAATGTCTTACGTTCAGCCAACGGCACTGAGTGAAAACTGACACGGTGGCACAGCAGGAGAGAAACGCGGATAGAGAGGAATGCAAGGCAATAGGGGCCTGATTTCTGCCGATCAATGCGTACCATCAGTTGGACGTATCCTAGGTTAGCCACCATTGATGCTGTATGGCAGGATTTACATGACAGCCTTCCTGTTTTACCGTTTCTCGCGCCCATCGTGCCAACACTCCTTTTAGACTATGCGTCGGGGTCTACACTAAAATCTGGAGCTAAGGACTACACGTCCGAGATTGGCAATCGAACGGTTCTATGCCCAACAGCCGATGGTAATCTCCTCGCTCCGCGGGCCATGGCAGCCATAACGTCGGAGGTTCTTCCTGTTTGGGACCGCCACGAAGCTCAATCGCCATGTTCGGGTCGGTATCGCCAAAGGGGGAAAGCAAAGAATGAAAAGCTGACAGGTCCAGCACTCACGATCGATCGGTCCCAGAGTTCTGCCGCCTACTGCATGTGCTGTAAGTCTCTTACCTTCACTGAGCATGCACCTCTCGAGTCGCCTTCAAGGTCGTCTTCAAGAGGACCAAGTCGTATCCCCGACGGGAACTTGAACCCGGATGTGTCAGTGACATTACAAATCTATGGGAGCCACTCTTTGATGTGAGACAGCCAAAGTAAAGAAAAAAAAAAGAAAAATCAAGTATGCCTTCCTTAGCTCGGTGGGGTCTTGGTGCCGTCTTGAGGCAGAGTTTGGGATGGCAGAGTCCGTGGAGTGTGGAAGGCAACGTGTTAGTCCATTAGCCCCATTGTGTGACTGACTCTATGGACGTCAGTCTAGACATTCCAAACGGTGAACTTCAAAACACATAACGTTACAAATAACGTTATCGCAAGTATTGACTCGAAAATGTCTGCTGGCTGCCAGCCGCCCCTCCTCCTAATAATACAAATTAAAGTCACTCACGAGCTACGTGTCGACTAGTTAAGCCTCCCATGACGGTGCCACTCATCAGCCTTCTTCAGCAACTCATCTCTGAGCCTGTGAAGCCGCTTCCAGCCTTTAACCTGGCTCTGCACCACCGGTCCTGAGTATACACACGACGGATGCCATGTCGCCAAATTCCACATATCCTCCACCTCAACATGCCTCCACCACAGACAGGGCCAGACATCATCAAGCAGCACCGACCCTAGAACCCTGACCGTCCCTTCAAAGCCCGGCGCTTCGCGGCCTGACCCGCCCACTTCTTCCCTCCCAACCAGTATGAAAGGGCCCATATCCGCCTCATCCATGAGCGTCTGCCCAGGCAGCACAAAGTCATAGATATACGAATCAATGCAGCTCTTGTCAGCAACCAAGAATGCTGGAGCGTTCAAGCCGTGAAGGCGAGCACCTTGTTTCTCGTGCAACGTCCTGAAGTGCCTCCTGGCACCTTCAACGTCCCCCTCGGCAATCCCATAGTCCCTCCCGTCCACCCATCTAATCTCCAGTTTCTCCTTGACTGCCTCGGCTCCAGCGACCCCCGGCCCCCAGCTGTTGACATCGGCTTCGAACTTGCGCAAAAACGCTGCCCATTGTTCGTCCGAGTGGCCATACCACACCCTATACGCCACGAATCCCCACTTGGTATACACCGGCGGCCGTCCCTCACTCTGCGACTCCATGGACCGCCTTAGCGCCCCAATCCACATCTCCTCCTGAACCGGCTCTGCCTCCCCTCGCAGGTCCCTCCTCCCTTGCGCATACGCTGCTCTCACACACCTCAATGGCTCAGCCACGCGCTCCCCCGAGAACGCATCGACATCATCATTCCCCGCGTCAGTAGTAGAGGCGGCAAGGGTCAGCTCCTGACGAACCAGGTTCGCTAACCGCTGATAGTACACTTCATCCCGCTGCACGATGTCGACTGGGTAGTTTCCCCCCAACGGGGTAGCACCGTGACTCAGGATATATTCAGGCCAGTCGACGGTCGGTGGCGAAGTGGCATGCTGCCAGTGCGGGAGGGTGTTTTTGAAGCCCACCAGTGGAAAGAGTATCATCTCGTCAAGACGACGGATGATATGGCTGAGGCGATGGAACTGCGTGAAGAGGGCTTCCTGTTCGGGGCTCATGTCTGCTGCGCCGGGTAGTGCAGGGGCAGTTTCTGACCTATGTATCATGGCGTCGGCGATGCTGTCGACGCGGGAGGCGGCCCAGGTGTGGATACGGTTGGTGATGAATTTGACGTGGGAGAAGTAGAACTCGGCCCAGAGGTCGGCGAGCCGAGGGACGGGGATTGGGCGGGGGGTGGTGAGGGTGGTGGCGTAGTAGGCGTCCAGAACGGTGTCGAAGTGGACAAAGACATCGTATCCCTTGTTGTAAGCCTGACGTGCCCTGGTGAAGGTTACCGGCAAGCTGAAGTGGATCATATCGCAGGTTTTGAGCAGGTATTCAACCGCGAGATCAATGTTTTCCGGCGAGTCAAGCTTCTTTTCTGCCCAGCGTCGGTCTGAGAGGGGGACCATGCCTGTCCAGAGCCGCTGCCTGCAAATTTCGAGTTCAAAGTCGATCTTTGTCGGTTCCCAGAAGCCGCCGCTCGAGAACATGGCTTCGAAGTCGAGCATGTCCGGCAAGCCGGTCAAGCACAGGCCGAACCGGTTCACTGCCGCATCGCTGGGGATGGGGTTGTTGTTGTACGGCGCGGGAGCCCAGTCATTGTACGGCTGCAGGAACTTGGCCACGTCTGAGGGTGAGAGCGTGGGTATCGTCGTCACCTGGCCATCGGACAGCTTGTGGTTCGAAAGGAACTCCACAAATCTTGCCATGGTCGCGACTGGCAATGGCGTCTCATGGATCCAGATTTCGTTGCCCGTCTCGGGCGCGTTGATGGGGTTGACCAGGCCAATTGGCTTTCCGGTTGGCCCATCTGGGTTGAGCCACGCTCGGCGAGACATGGCGTTCAGTGAGATGCTGGTTGTTGTGAAGGCAACACGACGGGGGAAGTTGCTGCGTGGCGCCCATTTGCGCAGGGGCACGCCGATTCCAAGACGAGAAACCGATCGCTGCATTCTGCCTGCGGTACTGCTGAAGCAGGTGGATGACTCTCAGGCAACCACGCCGTCGATTTGGGAGAGATCGCGCAGCGCGCGTCACTCGCCTGTTGTTGGCTCTCATTTCACCTCGCCTTGGCGACATACTTACGCTAGTTATACCTTGTAACCAACCGTCTTGGCCGAAGACCAGGGCATGCAGGAGACGCCGCAACACGTGCCACACCACCACCGCACGAACGTCATCCTTCAGCCGTGCCCGACATCAAACCTGGGATTCATCCAAACACTCAACAAAGCACAAGCTATCTTGCACACCATGGCGTTTCTCCGCCAAATTCTCACCGGCAGATTTTCTCGCGGGGGACGGGAACGTGTATCGGAGCAAGCAGCGGCGTCGCCGCGCCCTGCCTCTCCGGCTTCCCACGCCCTCGACACTCTGACAGCTCTCCCCAAACCTCGTCGTCCGATAACACCCACATCTCCGCACATTCAGCTCCAGTCACCCTTCTTTAGGCTCCCTCCAGAGCTCAGACTTCAGATCTATCGCCTCGTTCTGTCCGGCCGCGAGATCCACATCGACATGCGCTACACGGCCGTCGAGACGACCACGCCGCACTCGACCCGCGGCGCGTCCTTTGAGACCCGCCGCCGCTGGCGTTGGCGCGCCTCCATCTGCCACCGCCACCCAGACGCACAGCCCATCTCGGATCGCTGTGGCTGGGGCGGGCCCCCGCCGACGGCGTGCCGCCTGTTCGGCACGCCGTGCGCCGTCGCCAGGGAGGTGTTGGGCCTGCTGCTCAGCTGCCGGCTGGCGTACCGCGAGGCCGTCGGCGTGCTGTACGGCGAGAACACGTTCCATGTCGCCACGGGCGCGCTGCTGCTGTACACGGACCGGCTGCTGCCGCCCGAGCGGGCCGCTGCCGTCACGAGCCTGATCGTCCAGGTCACTGAGGAGAGCGTCTACGACTATGCCGCCGAGCATCTTGGTATTGAGCCTGGCCTGCGCGCGTACGAGGCGCTGCTGTTGAGGCTCCCGCGGGCCTTTCCGTCGCTCGCCAGGCTGCTGGTTGTCATCCAAGGTTCGCTTGAGAGGGGCCGGGCTGGGATGAACGGTTGGCTTTCTCCGCTCGACCGCGATGCCATGCGGGATTGTCTGCTGTCGTCCATGGATGCCGCTGTTGGTGGGTTTCGAAAGCCCCTGGTCGAGGGTGTTCTGGCTATGCGATACACCGCCTTTGACCGCTTGATGGAGGGGAAGAAGGATGCGGCTAAGACGGAATGTCGGGAAGGCGTCTGGTTACAGATGTGGAGAGCGGTGACTGTGACTCGTAAGGAAGAAACCCTTGATACCGGGTATTGGATTAGGAGGGTGTCTCCCGAGGAGACAAACGGCTTGAACCTCCAACTGAACTTCGAATATTCCGCATGGACAGTACCGAGCTGGACGGACTATGTCAGCTAATGAGAAGATATGTTTTCTCTGTTATCTCCCAGCTCAATATGCTCGACGCTGAGTCCCCTTCCGTACATTGGACGCCTGGGCCCCTCCTATCACTGATCCAGTCAGCGCAACGACACAGCTTTTTAACCTCCCTTTGAGCGGAAATGGAAGTGGCCTTACAAACTCGGCCGTCGGAAGAAGGTTTCCACCGCCACGTGGCCAACGAAGCGAAGAAGAGTTCCTCGATAAGGAGCGGGGAGTCACCAAAATTATCTGCTGGTCCATCTTCCCTCTTCGCTTCCGGTTTCCCATATACGCATCCACTGACTTGTCTTTGACAGACCACAAGCACATCTATCCACAATGCCTCCCAAACAAGTCCTTATCCGCCATGCTCAGGCAATCCACAACATAGACAGTACGCAGACCTTTTCTTCAATATTAAGCCTGCATCACACCCACTGATCGCAGTCACAACCAGAGCCCTACCACTTCTTCAAAACCCGTTCCTCACCGACCTCGGCCGGCAGCAAGAGTCTCAGCTCCGCGAGCACTTCGAGTCCCACCTGCCGCCAGACCGCAAAGTGCAGCTCATCGTTGTGTGCCCCATGCGCAGGGCAATCCAGACATGCCTCATTGCTCTCGACTGGCTGATAGACTCCGGCGTGCCCGTGGTGCCGAGTGCCCGATGGCGGGGTGCGTTTCCAAGCCCCTTCTGTTCATGCTCCCCTTATACTCATATGCACCCCATCCCAGACGTGGGTAATGGTTCAATTGGAAGGAAACAGGCCAACTAACATAACGGATGACTTGACTAGATATTTACCCCAAACCCTGCGACACGGGCACCCCCGCGCTCCAACTGGCCGCCGAGTTCAGGCAAATCGACTTCTCTTGCCTCGACCCCGTATACCCGGACAGGACCTCGCCCGCCGGAGCACGGTATGCGTACGAGAAGGGGGCGATCCTCGCGAGAGGGCAGTGCGTTGCGGAATCTGTCCCAACGGAAGGAGGACGGCATTGTGGTCTTCTCGCACTCGGGGTTTCTGAGGACTGCGGTGGCGGGCAGGTGATTTGCGAATGCGGATTACAGGGTTTTTGACTTCGCCGGGAGGGGTGAGGGGATAGGGGAGGATGAGCCGTTCCGGCTGGTGGAGTGGGATTTGACCAAGGAAAGGGGCGGTATGGGCAAGAGTAGGGAGGATATGGATGAATTTGAGGAAGGCTTACCTGAGAAACAGAGGGCTTACAATAGGCGGATGAGGGCCCGGGGAGAGGGGTTTCGGCATGCGTTATATCGCGAAGGTTCGAGACGTGAATGGTGGTTGGCAACGGAGTTTGAGTTCCCTGATGACTCTGTTCAAGTGCGGGAGTCATTCCCGGGGCCAGATTCTGGTCTGTATTAGAGCAGTTTCTCCGTGCCATCAAGTCAACATACTCCGGTATTTATTGTAATAGCGGCAGATGAGAGTCAGAGCGATAGCTGGGCTGTCGGTTGTCCGAGGCGGAAGAAGCCACACCAAACCCGACTTTTACATTGTGATCATGCCATCATAATCCGTGCCAGTGGCTCGGAAAAGCGGAATTATTGTACGGGATGAGTCGAAGGCGAGGTACCTGTAAGTTTCTTTCATATCTTTGACTTCTCTCGATTGTCATTATTCTGGTTTCGCACACTACTAGTAGCAGCCCATCGCCCAAATGGCCGTTTGTGAGCTTTTGGTTGATGACTGAAAGAGTTGATGAACGTGAAGGGAAGCGATGCCATTCTTGAGAGATAAAATTCTTGGTGAGTGGCGAAGTGCCTTGACTGTGAAAGTGTGCCGTGCCATCACAACAAAACAAAACACAAAAAAAAGAAATCACATTGAGCTCTCATTCCCTAACCTGATGATACCAGGTAATTGTAAACAAAGAGAAGCGATATGTATTGTTGACCAAAAAGGTCCTACCCGGAATCGAACCGGGGTTGCCGGAATGAACGTCATTCAGAATCCGGAGTGATAACCGCTACACTATAGAACCTTTGACTACATTGTAGTGGTTAGAAAGCTATATTGCATCAATTTCACAACGTTGGCCCTCATTGGCACCGTTCTTGCAGCCAACGCGATCCCGAATTTAATCAAATAGTAAGGCATTTACATCCAGCAACATGACTCGTATGTACTTTGATGGACCAGTCCACTACACCAATCCAACCATCAATAGTCTTCACCCAACGCCAAACGCCTAGCCCGCCAAAGCCCACCAAATCCACAGGAAACGCGCCATGCAAATGAAGACCCCTCGCAACCGAATCCAGCCTCCAATTTCACTTAGTTTGAAGACACATTGCCCATCTCAAACGACGAATGCGCCCCGGAGTCACTGCCTTGGTGACTGTACGACTCATAGGCCTGGGGCGCAGCGGGATATCCGTGCCCGCCATACGATTTCCTGGTCTGCGAGACAGCCTGGACGTCGTAATAAGCCGTCTTTGGGTAGTCGTGAGCGTAGGCGTGCTGCGGATAGCCCCTGCTGGCGACGAGCTTGTGGACTTCCGGGTTGTCAGCCTTGACGTAGCTGCCGCGCAGCGAGCCGCGGCGGTACTGGTGAAAGACGACGCTCGCGTAGATGAGCAGACCAAGGAAGGAGACGCTGCTGCGGTTAGAAGCGGTTCCGTGGCATGGTGTTGGGAGGCTCTTACAGGGTGACGACGCCGATGGCGATGGAAATGACGCCGTTGCGGGCGCCGATCATGGTTAGGATGAAGTTGGCGATGTAGAATACGCTCTGGGCGATGTTGACGCCGAGGAAGAAGGGCGGGCTCAGTGTCCGCCTGGCGCGCTTGACGATGCAGACGATATCAAGAATCAGGCACACGGCGATGATTCCCATGATGACGCACGAGACGGCCAGAACGCCGGAATAACTCAAGTTCGTGTGATATTCATCGTAGAGCCGTTGAAGATCGTTCTTGAAGACGCCGAGACCGGCGATTACGAGTGCGTAGAGCCCGATTTGAACAACCATGATGATGATGCGGAGGATCCAGAATGGAATCAAGACGCGCTTCAAAAACGGCGACGAATCGCCCACGACGTATGGGGCGGACATTTTGTTCTCAGTAATTTGGGCCAAGTTCGATGAGATTTTAAGGCAACCGCCAGTGGAATCGGACCGTTGAATGATATTAAGCCGACTTGAAGCACCGAAAATGTTGACATGTTGAGCATTCAGCCCTGAGGCGACCGGCGTTGTTAAATGGGGCGCTCTGCTGTCAGAATTGCCTTGTCCCCTGTCAGGTGTCTTTTCCTCTTTGGGATGCTTCGCGATGCAGTCCATGGCGCGACAAATCAGCACGTTCCTTCCCAACTCAGCCACATGGCTGGGTCCCCAAGCCAACAAGGAGGCCACGCTTGGCAAGCTTCCAGTTGCCGCGGATAAGAAGCATCGATTGGCCTCCGCGGGGCCGGCTGGGGCTGAGATTTTGGTGCCTGTGCCCTAGACTCAGAGTCAGTTAGCGCGACAGGACCAGGTTCTGCGCCCTAAACCGTTCTGGGGTCGGCTCATGCGACAGAGGGAACCTTTTGGTCAGGCCGCCATGGTTGCCGCATTCAGCACCCAGTCGTTGATGGATGTGACTGTTCGAAGCGGGGTTTGGGTTGCACGTTGGCGGACTGAGATCTTGCATGACTGTCGCTTCGAGCAAGCAATGACCCGCAATGTCAAATTTAGATGCCGGGCGCTAGTGCTGAATTCTGGAGACAGCGGCACGCATCCCTAGGATCGTTAGCAACGGGAAGCTTTGTAAATTGCGCCACATCGCGCAGTGTTGGCAACGGAATGGAGAGACGAACTGCGGTTGAGAGGTCCAACTTGCGCGAAGGAAACCGCTCTCCAACTGCATCAATGTTGCTTTTGCTCAGATTGTTTTTTAAGGGCAAACTGCATGCGATGCCTTCAGGTCGCGAGTCTTCTCATCATCGATGCCCCGTGCGCAGCTCGTTTCTTTTGAGGTGCGCAAGTTGCCCAGCACTCAATTGTCGACTTCGATGCAGCCCTTCATGGAGAACATGTCGGTCGTTTGGCGGTTGCCAAATTCGGATGCTGAGAACAGCGTCAGCTCAGTTTCCGAAGAGACTGTTCGCAGTTTGTGCTTGGAGAGTAAGGTATCCATTGAGTGATGCATAAAAAGGGGTCTTGAGGGTCGGCTTACCCGCTGCCGGGTCCCACAACGACGTCATCACTCTTTGACGGTCAAGAAAACACTGGCAAAGTTGCACCTAACAAACACTGGCAGCTTCGAACCGAACTCTTTGCCCAACTTCAACTCTCGAGCTCCCGGCATAGCTAATCATCCCGATCGTGGCCGGAACAGCTAACTCGCGCACCATGACAATGGCCGACGCCGTCACAGCAGCTGCCACCATGGCAGCCCCCAAAAACCCCCTCAAGATCTCCCTAACCCAGCTCCCGAACCCAGCACCGGAAGGATCACCGTAAGCTCTCCTCCAAACCTGTATCCACATTCTCACGACGAATTTTAACCCACACTCCTAGGGCGTCTATCCACTCCGCGCTCGCCCGCTCGCACCACACCCTGACGGTCCTTTCCAACAACAAGGCCTTCCTCTTCGGCGGCCTCGACGACAGAGGCAAGCTCTGCCCGCCCGGCATCCACACCCTGACCCTGCCGACCTCCAAATCCACCCTTTCCCCCTCCAACGACGACGACGGCACCAGCACCGCATATACCTTCTACCCGCCCTACACCCTGCAAGATGCATCGACCGGCGAGCTGCTCGTGCCCTCCCCGAGGGCAGACCACGCGGCGTGCGCTCGGGGTGGCGGCCGATACCTGCTCATCCACGGCGGGCGGGACGCCGGCGATCGGTCGGTGGGAGATGGCGAGGGAAACTGTTTGTGGCAGTGGGATTGTGAGGAGTTGAGCTGGAGTAAGCTGCGGGGGAATATGCAGCTTGGCGCAACGATGGAGCCACGGTTCGGTCACTGGATGTTCTGTGAAGATGGGCAGGGGGACGGGTTTCTGGTCGCTGTGGGCGGTAAGGGCGGCGGCGAGGAGAGGGAGAGGGAGGCCTGGATGTATGACTTCCATGGGATGGTCTGGACTGCGCTGCCGAGCGTGCCGGGGACACCGTTGGCGGCTGCGTATGTCGGTGGGAGGGTTTATGCAGTTTCAAGGGATGGGGAGGGTGGAATGGGTGAGGTTATACATTTGCTGCATATGCGCGGATCGTCCGAGGAGAGATCAAAACCGGGCGCATTGGTGTGGGAGAGCGTGAGCTTCCCGACGAATTCGCTCGCTCCGGGGCCGACGCCACGGGCCGGTGGGGCGCTGGTGCCGTTGGCGACGGGCCATGGGCGGGAGTATCTTGTGTACATGCTTGGGTGTTCGGAAGGTGATAGCGAAGGGAAAGGGTACTACTCGGATATTTGGACTTTGCAGCTGCCAGCGCATCGGCACAGTGCTGCTGCGGCAGCGGACAAGATGAAGGAGAGACTGCCAGGCATGAACTCAGGGGAGTTCCACTGGGCCGAGGTGGAAATTGTCCCGACCGAGCAGATGGCGGAGGAGGGCAAGGTGCACCCCGGACCGAGATGTTTCTTTGGCGCAGATTCTTGCTTGGACGGGCAAGGAGTTGTGCTATGGGGAGGGGTAAATGGCAAGGGCGAAACTGAGGGGGGTGGATGGTTGTTGAGGTTGGCTTGGGGTTATGCAGATCATGATCGATGGGAATAGTTCCCCTAATACCTCTGCATGCTCAGGATTCCGGCGTTGTACCCGTACTGCGTCTCTGCTTGAGACTCGGAGGGCGACTGCTGGCGCCGTCGCCAACCTCCCAGGCTGCTAGGCCAGCACGACCACGAAAACCACCAAAATTTCGTCAATTGTTGAGCTCGATCCCCAGTCGTCTTCGTAGGCATCGCCCCAAATTAGCCGTCGAACCGGTAGGTACCAGTTATCGTCAGCTGAGACTTGGACGGGCACGCTCACACGATGATTACACTATTTTTGAGTGTCTTTTGGCAGCGCCACCGTCTGGAATAGCGGCGAATCCTCTGTTGAACACGGTGGTTTCCTCAGAGGTAAAGGGGCGCTGAGTTAGGAATAGGCCTGGTGCTCGTCGGTGCTGGGCTACAAGGCAGGTTCCTGTCGATCGCCGCTCGGACTCGTCGAGCAGGGACCTGGGTTCTTCTTGGACAAGTGCGAGCCGTAGAGGATTTGTTGAGCGTGGACCAGTAACATATTGTCAGGCGTCCGAAGCAGGGCTTTGGATCCGACGTGGCCACTGGCTGGACTGCAGCTGGACACGGAGACCCAATACCCCTGCCGCATATTCTATTCCCAAAAGGGTCAGCCGGCAGCAAGTCAATGCCAACGGGATACCCCCCCGGTCAGGGCAACATCACTGCATTGAATGACCGCTCAAGACCAGATTCAGCCGATCAAAGGTCCAAAATCCAGTGCCGCCAGTTCAGGACAAGCGTTTGGTATGTGTTGTTGTGTACCATCGCCATATCACCTCCTCTGTGCACCTACCTGTACATTTTGAGAACATTGTAAACCTACCTAGTTGCTTCAACGTACGAGTCGTGTCTGTTTGCTGCTTAAATCACTCCTGCTTACTAGGTGTCTGAACGCCAGCGTATACCTTGACCGACTTTGCTCCCGCAGCCGGTTGATTTCGAAGCAGGATGCCCACAAGGATCTTTGGCACGGACAACATGACATCAACATGGCATTGCAGGCCTGGATAGGATTCAGATGTCGCCAATGAGGAGTCTACATGCATATTGAACTCAAAAGTCTAACCTGAACAAGGCAGTATGTAGCTGGTGCGTGGGATTAAAAGATCTTTGTCGCGGCTAGACGATGTTGATCGCCAGGATGAGAATCCAGGAGAGGGAACTCTATTAATCGTTGCAAGCATGGGACACAGTTCCGCCAATTAGGGACCTCTCTGTACATATTGGACTCGGAAATTCGGACTTGAACAGTCCACAGGTGGTAGTAATGATCCTGTTCTGGTCTGTTACTGCTTGACAATCTTGTTAGAGACGCAGGGATTCCAAGAGAGGAAACATTAGACGAGTAAGAGCCGCCCGTCTGACCGGTATGTTGCCAGTGGAGTATAAAGACTCGCAGATTTGAGCTCAAGTCCAATTGCTTTCATCTTTCCACTCCCACCAAGCAACCTGAAAGCCATCATCTCCTCGATCATCATCAAATCCTACAACTGCCTTACAACCGCAGCCAACTTTCAGACTGAGTCATCATGCAGCTGTCCATCTCTTCAATCCTCGCCGCGGCTACCATGCTGGTGCTCGTGACCCGCCCGGCAGCGGCCTGCGAACCTGGAAGATACACTTGCAGCAACCAGTTCGAAGGAAATGCATACGATTCCGTCATATTGGTCTGTGACACCCGCGGCCTTTGGCAGGTGTCTGCTGTCTGCGCCCGGACCTATAATCATCCGGGTTGCAAGGTGGTGGACAACGGCAGACAAGCATACTGCGTCTCCTAGAGGCCCCTTATCAGGTACTATTGAACCCATGGTGAGACAACCTATCTGTGCAACGGATCTTGTCTTTGTTATGGATTACAGACTAATGACATTCCAAGTAGGAGAGGCCCGAGAACTTTCCTCTTCAGGTGGCTCATCGGGGTATGAAATGCGCTTTCTGGTTTCCTCAAGTTGAGTTTCAGCTGGGAGTTACTGGCCCGGAAGGAACTGTACGGAAGTGGCTTATGTACATCTTGGAGGGTAGCAATGACATGACTCCACGTACGGGTGAGAAAAAGGGGTTCTTCGACGGCAAGAGTTGGCTGTTTCATCCCTAAGTAGTACAGTAATAGTACTAATAGGCACCGATTGCCGCCAGACCCGTCTATGAAGGGTACATGATCCCAAGCTAAGGCGATGGTGATGGTAATATCCATAACTTGTCTGCCAAGGAAGACAACGGGCTCAATTGTCGCCTTCACCGATACCTGTTCCGTTCCCTCGTAGTGCCATGTTCGTTCGCAGCTTCCATCAGGATGACAAACCAAGTCGCTAGCTTCTGTCAAACAGGCGACCTCATCGCAGCACCGAGCCAAGCACTTCTGAACCGAGGCAAAGTCTGTCAGTTCCCCGTCCATTGTGCTTGGATGGCCGGTACCTGGTGCCGCGGGCGTCCACGGATACCCGGCCGTGTACCACTGACAGTTCGTCCGTATCGACCTTCGTGTCCACCAGTGCGCGCCAAGCGTCATGTAGGTGCCATTGTGGGTGTTCGTGCGTCGCATAGATGCATCAGAAAACCCGCTGTTAACCCAGACAAGCAGGATTCCTTTGCAGTTGTCAGGGGGGAACTGCTGTCGCGTACGTCAACGACACCGCAGATAACCGCGCTCTTTGCTGCGGTATCCCGCAAGTTAGGACCTCGTATGACTACCACAGGCGCGTCTAGGTTGCTGCGGCCGGGATCGGTCTCATCGTGAATCTCACGCCACGGACATGGCTTGACACTCTGGTGGGCACATAGTGCTTTACCACCCCGAGGCTGGTTGGACTTTGAGGGTGCTGTATTCTGACACGAGAAGGAGGATAGGTAAAGGGCGCCCTGGCCAATCGTTTCATCTGGCTGGAGAAGGATAGTCTCAGGTCGTAGCTTCGTATGGTCAAATGTCCTGGCGAGTGAGGATTAATAACAAGAAGGGATGTGAAGGCCTGCCTTCACTTGCACTCTCCCAGTTATTTCCTTCTCGCCGCGAGAATTCTTCGCCACTATGTCTGGCCCGGCGTTGACATAAAACGCGAACGCATGTCCAAGCCCGACCCTCAACCATAGCCGAGTGAAGGAGCGGATTGTCTCCGAGCCGGCCCTCGGCTAAAAGATAAGGGCTGGGTTGCAGAGAGCATGCCCAACGGTGGAACAATTGAGAACCGCGATCCAGAGCCCCTCGTGGCCGTCACTGTTGCAGGGCGCCGTGTGTAAGCCGAGCTGGATCCCCGCGCTAGAGACCAGGACCATGGGCTTTGCCGGCCAAAAGTGCTTCGTCGTAAGGGTAGGCGAGCAGTTGGACCAGGACGGCGATTCTGCAAAGAGCACTGAAGGCGTGTTTCCCTCGCCGCCAGCCGTTCTCATTGCGAAGGCAAAGAAGGACTGGTCGGTGAACTTACGCACAATCTCGTGTTGCTGACGCTGGAAGGAATGGCGGCCTTCGCCGCACAGCAGCGGCATGCTCACGTCGAAGATGCCGAGAAGGGAGTATGCCGCATCCTCCTCCCTAGTGGTGTCACGGCTTGCCGCACATGACATGCGAGTGGCTACGCTGAATGTGTCGAGCATGTCGGCGAGATCGAGCCGACAGTACCTACAACGAGGCAGCGTACCGTGACTCCCTTGTCCTGGGACGGATTCACGGCACTGTGGGTAACGGCGCCACTTGAAGACCAGTTCATCGATGCCTATAATCTCCGACAGCTGCGTCCAAAGGCTCTCGCGATCGCCGAACTTCTGCCACCGCGGGTCGTAGAACTCGATGACAGACGGAGCGATGAGCTCTTGGAGGGTCTACCCTCTCGTGAACCAGCTGTTTTTGATTGACATGTTTTGTGTAGACTCTGATTCGAAGTCGGATGTGTAAGCATAGCAGACGGCCGAGTCGCGGTACCATGCGAACATACAGTTGATGGCCTCAGAGAGCTCGGCGCTGCTGGACTGGCCGATACAGCACGTGTGGATCCAGGTGTAACTGTAACCATTTGCCTAGGCTGCCTCGACAGCTTTGAGGACTTTGGCTAGTCCCTCCCTGCCGCAGGCGAGCAAGTGGGATCGATCTCGCGGCACATCGTCGAACAAGGTTTCTCCATCACTCCAAGTATACGATAAAATGGCATATTCCGGTAACGTTAAGTCTCCCTTGACAATGAAGTCGATAAGCTCTAGGGTTTCAGTGTGTAGACTAGAAGCCGTATGCTGCTTTTGAGATTCAAGTTGACATCATGTAGCTACGGATCAAGAGTGCTAATGGGAGTTTGAGGCAAGTCGAGTGTCCGGAAGGCACCACCTACCCAAGTTTTAAAGCAGCTGTAGACTGCCTGGCTCCGCCCCCTCCGATGCAGCTTGACACAACACACTTGTACTGTGTTGCACACTTTTTCATTGGACCGTGTTCATGCAATTTGCAAGCCGCCACGAACAGTTGCGGCCTTGCTAGCCTCGGTAGCCCATGAGTATTATATTGAAGAGAAAAAGTAGGAAGGAGCTCTGGGGGTTGGCTCAGGGTATCGTTCCGTTGGGCACCTCTTTCTGCCTTAAAGTTGGCCATGAGCGGCGGACGTTTCCCTATAGGTAACTCATTCGGTCCTGGCATGCAAGGGACGGATGAATAGGTAAAGGGCTCGACGCATGGCTAACGTCACATGATAGTCGGGGCTAGGCCAAGGAAAGCACGAACGACTGGGTGTGCCTGTTCACTGATTCGTCTGGAGCGAGATCACTCAAGGTGCCTGCCTCCCTTCTGAGACTGACCTCTCTTTTCACCTCTCTGGAACAAGATGAACCTGCGAGCTCCTCTCTCCCATCTCAATGTCCGCCACAGATCCTCCGCGAGAAGCCAGGAATGGGCTCGGGTTCGCCGGAGTGCCCGCACTATACAGGCCCGGACTAACAACCGTCCCATCACCACTCCCCCCTCTTGCGTCAACTTTCCCCCTCTGCCTCGCCAGCGCCCTCACATGCCCAGCAGCGCGCATCTTCTCCAGATTCTTTTCCCGCCTCAGCACCTCGGCCTTCATACCGCCCGTGATCGTCCCCTCCCTCTCCCTCAACCGGTTCGCCTTGACCAGCATCTCCCTCCCCACCACATACATGCCCGTCCTCACCGCCAGCCACGTCCATGCAGTATTCCACCCAAAACTCACCGCGCTCCGCACCCACATGACGACGCTATTTGTAAACACGCCCCGCGAGAAGGCAAACAAGAACGACGTGAGGATGATGCCCGCCGAGACGGGGAACATGAGCCGCAACTCTGTCGACAGCGGCAGCAGGCCCTCGTTGAGCTCGGCGGCGTTCATGCCAAACAAAGAGGCCATGAAGGACAACGGCAGAAAGATGATGGTCACGATGGTGAAGATCATGATGGACTGGCCCTGTTTGAGGGTCAGCTGGGCCTGCTTGACAGCCTCGCGGGCTTCGATCACGCCGGCCTGTTGCTGTTTGAGAGTCAGGAGGTCTTTGAGCGCGGAGGAGGTGTTTTGGGCGTTTTGTAGGAGAGTGCGCAACTCCGAGACGCGCTCGTCGAGGTCAAGGAGGAGGGTCTCAGCTTTGAGAAGGGTGTGCTTGGCTGCTTGGCGGCGGTGTTCGTCGAGGAGGCGGGCTGGGTCGTCGTGGACTGAGGCGTCTAGTGCGATATCCCAAGGTGCGGACGACTGCGATGTGTTGGGCCGTTTAAAGCGGATAAGTGGTGCTAGTACCCGCCGGATATGCTTTGTCAGGCTCTCCATGACGGCGTGCTGCTGCTCCTTAATACGAAGGATTATTCCGAGTTCGTCTACTATATCCTTGGTCTCTTTCAACAGCTCCCCTTCGGGGTTGATGTTGAGGAGGTGGTTCTGGGACGAGTTGTCGGACGAGACGTATCGCTGCCGTTTGTAGTCCCGGGAGGCAAGGTGTGTGTAGATGAGAAACTGGTCGAAGGCTGCTGTTTGTTTGTAAGTTAGGTCGCGGATGGCACCGTTGAAGAGCTCAACGAGGTTTGGCTGCGGGGTGTTGGTCTTGGTCCTGTCGAAGAAAACCCGGGACGTCTCGTCAACAATGACCAAAGCAAGGTCGTAGGCGGACGATATCTCGCCGTGGCGAGCATATTGCAGCCGCATGCGGAGGCTCTTGTGGACGGCCGAGGGATCGGGTCTGCTCCTTCCCCATCGCCGTGGGAAGCTGGTGAGGACGGTTTCTGGGTAGTGTTAGTAGGAACCAAGAGGACGGAGGAGAGGTCACACTTACTCTCGTCGAGTATCCACAACCACAGCTGGTCAACCATGATAATCCTAGGCGTCTTCCGAATGTCCTCCTTGCACTGATCACAAGCATCCATCCCGATGCAGTCGTGTGGCTGGGGCATCGTTCCCCTGTACACCACCTGGTCCCGATCCCTGGTACCTGTGTTCCTCAAGGCGCCGTAGTAGGCCTGATCGAGAGTCCGTCTCGGATGCAGGGGCGGGTCAGCATGCAGATACTTGATCATCAGCTGCTCCTCCACATGCGAGTCCATTGCCTCGAGCAGGGCCGCCGCAGCACGGAGAACCTGGCCAAGGGCCTTTTTCCTCTCGACATGTCCAAGGATGGGGGGTTCAGACTGCGATCCCCATACGGGCGCCATGGGGTCTTGGGGCTCGATAACGTGACTGAATCGGTTCTTCGCTTGGTTGACAACATCAGAGATGGAAGTCAAGTTGTGCTTGTTGGCCTCTTTGGCAATTTCGGCGGCCCTCTTCCTGCCCCGATCAGTCTCCCAATGAAGGTAGGGCATAAACAACACCGTGGTTCTGGGATTTGGCTCCGAAGCCACCGGATCAACCGAAATGCCGGAGCACAAGGGCCTCATGTGGCGAGCGTGGATTTCCGAGTCGACCTCAAAATTTTGCTGCCCTCGCCAATATCGGGGTTGGAGCACCGTATCTGTCTTGGACGGAGGTTTTCGCGATTCTGACTTGTGGAGCACGCCGTCCGGGCCTGGCCGCTTCTCGTGGTAGTAGCGAGCAATGACTTCCTCAACCCAGATCATGTTGTTGGCGGGCAGGTGGAAGTACCGGACGACGTTGTCTTCGGTCGGCTGCATGATGGGGTTCCTCGCCTCGTCCTCTGACATCAGGTCTGCCACCGTGACCTTCTGATGGGGGAAGGCCTTGGACAGCCCTGGGACGTCAAATGGCTGTCCATCTTTGAAGTAAAGCACAGGTGCCTTGATCTGACTTTCAACCGAGTCATCTGCCTTTTCAAAGTCGGGGCTCCTCGGGGTCTGGGAACGCCTAGAGCCAGCGCCATTCTTGGGTGAAAAGGTGTCGTGCCCGTATGCATGACGGCCTGTAGCGGTGCGCCATTGGGACAATGCGCTCTTGAAGACTCGAAGACGAGTCCCTGCGGTTGACACCTGATGCGTGGTCTCGAGGTGATACCTGAGATCGAGAGTCTTCCCGTTGATGCGATTTATACGCTGTTGACTTTCAGGGGAGAGGCTCTGGTAGAATCGCGCCGATCTGGAGGCCGGTAGACAGGCGTTGCAGTGCACTGCTGGATCTGAGACACGGTTATCGTGCGGCCTGTTGCTGAGACATGTGGACGGCGAGTGATGTGGCATGTTGGAAGACCCGAAGCCGCCGGCGGTGATAAGCAATGTGAGAAAAAGGGATAACGACGGATGGCATCAGCCTTAATAAAGTAAGGGATGAGCAAACCTGACACCATAAGAGTTGTGAAGAAGATTTAGAAGAAAATGTAAAACAAAGTCAAGCTTTGCGGCTGACTTGTCCCACTTTCAGGGCTGAGTAGTCAACCGCCAAAGCATGGATGTAGTCTGGTTCCGGGTCTGTGACCCTGCAGGGGCTTACCAATCGGGCACTGCGTTGTGCCGCACGGAAAAGGGGTGTCGCGCTACAGTAGCTCGCGTGAGCCAATTCTCAGGGCCGACTTGAGTCTTGAGCCCACAGCCGCCCCATTGGTCACGGTCACGAATCAAACCTCTCTTGGGGCCTGTCGTTGCCTCGTTCTGAATGTTGTAAGTAAGTTTCTTCTCCGAAGGCAACGGACACTCAGTGTGCTCATTGCATCGTACTTTGCACACTGGCGTGGACCGCGGTCGAAAAATGCGAGTCGGAGGTTGAGTCTTCCCGCGTCTGACAGCCGACACCCATGACACCCACCAACTCGGCTAAGCGAGAGCTTGCTTTGGTGACGCGCCAACTGTTCGGGTTCGATGCGACGATAGGGTTGAAGAGCGAGTTTGACTCTGGCTGTTTGTCAGCAGCGGATCATCCATGATCCGGCTGTACGTTGGCGGTTCAAAAACACTTTAGGTAAGATACCTTGGTGATGTCCATTTGGCTGACTTGAGCTCGATTCGTAAACGAGAAGGGTTGGGCATTTCACTACCTATTTGATTCAGAAATAGGTGCTGCAGCCTGCAGCGCCTCGCCGTCTGATGCTTTCCAGACTCTGGAGTCGGTAACTTTGACTGGGACAAATTCTCTTATTGGCAGCGGTGGCAGGTGTTTCTCGACATCGAGAAGCTGCCCCAACGCTGCTTCTGAGGTTATGGGCGCTGGAAACCTCGTCTGAGGCCTAAATTTCATAGAGTATAACAACCTGGAATGTCCCAAAACAGTAGTAGCCAGAGGGTGTACGTGTCACAGGCTAAGTAGACCAAGCGAGTGTGACTAAGGTAGCATGTTTGTAGGAGGCCTACAGATCGAGTGAAGAAGGGAGGAAAGTAGAGAGCTACAAACTGCTAAGGAAACACGTCAGATACATGGCGAAGTGGACGGTGATTCATCATCACCTGGGCTTCAACATCCTGAATGTCCGGTGAACCCCGGGAAAACTCGCGCCACCCCTTCCACATCTCTCCGCACCGAGGCCCACCCATGAGCTCGTCGCATCTTCGAAAAGGAAAAGGGATACCTTTAGCCAGGCGACGGTCCACGGCGAACGATCTCCCCGGGTTTTCCCGCTTGACCGCGTACCCTGGCGCGTACCTATGCGGGCAGCTCGCACGACAGCAAGCCCGGTACCATCGGACGTAGGCTCCAGGTTGGGGCAGCCGATCGAGCTCATCATAGTACTCACAGAAGTCGATGTATTCCACATTGGGAAATGCCCCGGCCTCTATCGCCCTCCTCAAGTGAGTCCACCCCTCTATCGTCCCTGAGTGGACGTGCCTTGCCTCGGACAGCAGGGAGCGCACATTGCGCAATGGGTCTGGGATTCTCGTGTGACCAATCATGGCGGGAAAAAAGGGTAGGACGACGGTGTCGATCGTGGGGTTAATGTACAGCACGCTGTTTTCGGTCTTCACGCAGGAGACGTAGTGCCGCAGCGTCATGTGGCGGGCCTCGTGGTTGAGATGCAGCGTGACTGGCGGAGCGCTGCGAATAATGATCTGGAGGGACTCCAGAGCATTGCTGTCGTCGTGTGCGTCTCTCTGTTCGACCACGACCCGCCTCGGCTCCCAGGTAACGGAGTAGATTTTGAGGCGGAGTTCAGCGGGCAGGCTGTTGAAATCGATCCGACTCCGACTCGTTGGTAGGATATCTGTCCATAACTTGGGAACCATGGTGAATCGATTGCGAGGCGGCGAGTCCGCGAGGTGTCTTCCTGGTTTATATTCCTAAGGTGCTGAATGATGATATGACGGGGAGGACGGGGTTGTGAGCACGGAGAGGTCGGCTGGGGAATGGCAGAGGACTCGGGAGGCTGGGCCCAGGACATTGGCCGCAACCGGGCAACAACCCTAACCGGCTAACGGCCCAAATAACCGAATAATGAAAACGGAGAGAAAGACTAAGAAAATCAGCTGTATAAAAGAAATGGAGACACAGACAGCCATGGACATTGTGAAATCGGAAACAGATGGAATATGGAAACGGCTCAAGAACACTTAGGATACCTAGATATATATCGGTAGTCTTTGTCACCACCCACATGTACAATGATACCCGCTCTTCCTCACCTACCAGCGCGTAGAGGCCTAGTAAATCGGCTCATCCCACGAGTTCAGGTCGTATACCCAGGTATCAATTGAAGCCTGGTCATACTCGCACGTCAGGACGCCGTCTTCCCTCCACATCGGTCGCAGCGGCCACCGACAAATGGAGTCAATGTCGCCCGAGGCAGCCAGCATGTCCGGCGCTTTGCCCTTTTCGACCCAGTCAATGACCGTCTGGAGCGTGGTCTGCGGCCAAGGCGATCCCGGCTGGGCCGAGTTCGATCCGCAGTGGGCGGCGCCCGGCACGAGATACAGCCTGTAAAAGTCGTCGAGCTTGGCCACACTCTGGTTGAAGCCCATGCTGGGATATAGCGTCTTGCGTACCGACTCGTAGTAGCGGATCGACGAGGCGGGTGGGATCGAATTGTCGGCCTCGCCGTGGACGTGCAGCACTTTGCCGCCGGCCATGCGGAAGGCGGCCAGGTCCGGGTTCGTGGTCTGCAAAACGTCGTAGTAGCGGTCCATGCCAAGCTGCATCCACTCCTTGAGCGTGTCGTATATGACGCCGTCGAGCGATTCCAGGGCGCTAGTGTTCTTCAGCTGCAGGTATCGGGCCACCCACTCGCCGCCGAGGTCGCTGATGCTCAGGCCCCAGGTTCCAGTGCTTGAGTCATAGGCCGTCGCGGCGTCGGCAAAGGTGATACCATGTGGCCACGGAAGATAGACGCGGCGGCCCTCATTGTCGAACAGACCGTTCAAGAACGCGCCAACGACGGCGGCGCCCTCGGCAGTAACACTGCCGTTTTGGGCCGGCGTAGGATTTTGCGGCATCTGACGCCGGAGATTGTTAAACCGCTTGGACCGGAACCGGGAGGGAGGGCCGCCGCTGCCGCCGGAAGCCTCGCATGAATACGGCGTGCCAATGGTGCTGTTGAGATCGAATTGCAACTTGCAGAGGTCCGATCGTGAAATGATGCCGTCCGTTCTTCCGTCCAGGCCGTCGCAGGCCTCAATCATCAACTCGGCAATCTTGTCCAGCTCGCACGACGGCGGGTAGTATCCCATGGTCTGCTCGATGACGTTGCCGGTGAGGTGGTTCACCTGCTGCTGTGCATAGCGGATGGCCGGGGCGCCGATGGCGGCGCCGTCGAACTGGTCCGCGTAACGCTGCAGCTGACTCCATCCCTCGCGGCCACCCTCAGAGCAGCCTTGATAGTAGGAGTAGATCTTCTTGTTGCCGGCAACGTTGTAGACGCTCCTTGCCAGCGCCTTGCCGAGGACGGCCAGCTCGCGATGGGCCTGGTAACCAAACATGTAGACCGACTGCCAGTTGATGAAGCCCTCCGACTCGAGGAACACGGCGTCCCACTGCGTGTTGAAGTTTCCAAAGCCACCGTCGGTGATTCCCGAGACGGCACCCACTATGACGCCGCTCGGGATGTACCCGGTGCCCGAGTTGATGGCCAGGCCGCCACCGCCGGTCGAGACATAGCGGTTCTTGAAGGCGGACGGGGCCGGAAGCCAGTACGTGACGTGGACCTTATCGTTGGGGATAGCGGTGTGTGAATAACCCAGCGTCAAATTGCAGAATGAGATTGTTGCGGAAGGATACCACTCTGAGCTCACGGACGAGTTCGTGGTGAGGGTAGTCTCGACCGAGGACAAATCGATAGTAATGTTGGAGAGGACATGGATGTCGCGGAGAGCCGAACGAGCGTAATTGGGCGTGCAAATATCAGACAGAGACTTCGGTGTCTTTGCGGCCGCAACGGCGGACATGAAGGCTCCGGCCAGAGCCAGAGGGCGGGTGGCAGCAACCATGCTTTGGATGCCGAGGGGATGGAGGAATCAAATCTATGACTTCGATGAACTGGAGTTGGGCCCGTGGTAGGGTTCCATGGAATTGAACCGATGCCAAGATATATGTATGTCTTGTATCCCACCGTCGCTTGCCCGAACCATGTCGACGGCCTGGGCTAACAGTCGGAGACTTGATGGAGGCCGATCGAGCCCCTGAATGCAACGTCATCGCCAAGATGCCTCACGTTGAGGTTGTCCCAAGGCCTACCGACATCGACTAGGATGAACGGTGTTCAGTGCATCTCACACGAGGTCCATCAACCCGTCGATCAACGCTGTACAGTTACCTTAGGTATTCGAAGATCGCCCGTTAGCATGTAGCCATGTACCCACCAGAGGACCTGGGACGCGCGTCTCTCATTTCCCTTGGCCCGTCACGACAGGACGGACGTTGCTTCTATCGTCTTGGAGATACACGCACCTCGGCGTTTGTGCTCTCCTATTGTTCGGCTTCGATCTTGCATTCGAAATCCCCTTGTCACGGCTGGGTTGAGCAAGCTGGAGCAATGAAACGGGATTCGATTCACCCGGGATGCTTCGCCATGTTCGATTTCTGGTTGTCGATGATGCCCAATGTTCAGATCGCCACATGGAATCGAAAAAAAAGGAAACCTGGAGCCCAACGACGACCTAAGTCGATGGCATTTCACAAACGGAAGAAGAACTCAGGGACCTAAGTGAATTGGCTTAGCTACCTTACTGTGTAGTCTTCAAGTTCACTGTCACTCTCCGGGTTTAGGTTATTGGAAGGTCTCAGACTTGATGTCAGGGCCGCTCACTCCGCGCTCGGTGTCAGGTAGGATTGAGGTAACCTCGAAAAACCAGCAATCCTAGGTGGCGTCGTTGGCCCTCATCAGCCGAAGCGCCAGGAACCGTGGGAGCACTTTTCTGTCGTCTTAACCGTTGATGCAGTGAGTGCGGGAAATTGATCTGCCGCTGAGGTAACGACAAGTTGCATCAGATTGCCTGCCGGGTTCTCTCAGCGACCACAGGGCGCCGGGGGACCTGCGGTTACCCCGCGCCATCGCTAGGGCGGCTAGGCAGCCCAGTCAATCACTGCGCCACAAAGCATACCCAAGTCACTGACATGCAACAATCGTACGTCATCCTCCGAGCATACCTCCGTTCGCCGGCCTCCCAACCCCAACAAAGCAGGAGCTATGTAAGTGCAAGCCCGCAATATTCCTGGCCTGCCGACTAATCGAAAACGAGGATCGACCCATCGATTCGCCTGCGCCGAGCAATCCACGCGAACGACGCGCTGCTTGTCAAGCGCGTTCTCAAATCGCACCCTCACTTACTCCACAACCCCGACCACTCCCTGACCGGCAATGCGAACTCCAACCTCCACCTCGCCGCCTCGCTCGGCCATCTAGCCATCTGCAAGCTCCTCGTTGAGCTAGGCCACGAAGCCGACACCCCGGCGCTCAACGACGACCATCAGACCGCGCTCATGCTGGCCGCCGCGGCGGGGCAGACCGATGTGGTGAACTTTCTCTGCCAGGAGGACCCATCCTCCATCTTGCGCCAGGACCTGCGCGGCCGCGACGCCATCATGGAAGCCGCCCTCCACGGCCACGACACGGTACTGCAGATCTTGCTGACGTACGCCCCCGGCGGCGCCCCTGCGGCGCTGGCACGCGCCGACGTCGACGGGAATACGGCTTTGCACTTTGCAAGTAGCAACGGCAACTTGCTCGTGATGCGCACATTGTTGGCCGCGGGCGCCGATGCTGGTAGGAAGAATGCTTGGAGTTGGACGGCCGAGGCTTACAGCGCGACCGTGCAGGCAGAGGTGTACCTTAAGCAGTTGATCGCTGACATGGGTGGGAAGCGGAAGGCGGAGATGGGCAAGACTGGAGGCGCGGTCAGGCTGGTCGGCCAGGAGGTGGGTGACTGACACGATTTAGAGTTGGGATGCATAATGTATGTCTGGGAGACAGGGAAGGCAAAGCAAGCGGCTGTTGTCGGGATCCCTGTATACCGACTCGAGATGTTGGATCGAGAGGAGATACGGCGCCACGGGGCCTTCCAGGCTGTCTATGGAGGACACCGCGCTGAGATAAGCGCAACAAGCTCCAGTGGCAGCATCAAACGTTGCGATGGAGAGGCTTGCCAACCGCTTATCGCCAGCGTCAGATTTGGAATTTTGCAAAGGGTTGTGGCGGCATCGACCAAGCATTCAATACCAACACCACGCGCCACCACCATCGTTGCAGAGGGTAAGTGTCAATCAAGGGTGGATAGCTCAGCTTCTTGATTCTGTGTGCTAGGACCGGATGTCATGACTCCCGCATGGTCCGCAGAGCTTCACCCTTCGCACATATTCCCTTCGGATGAGGCTCCGGCCCGGTGGATACTTGTATGCCTCCCATGATCGCGGAGAGCATCTGGGTGACAGCCAGCGACTGTGCGCAGGAGCTGTATGAATGAGTCTTGCCACAACCGCAAGAATGCTGCCAAGATAGTGGGAGTCACGCTAGCTGTCTCATAACAAGGTTCTACAATTGACTCTTCGCACTAGCTGGCAATGCCTCAGCACGAAGATGTGCTCTGAGACTGACTGGAGCGCCATGAGATGGATATCAACTAGGCCTGAGCTGCCAATCAGGGCTCGGTACCGGAGCTACCGCAACCATTGCGGCCTCAGCCCAGCCCACATACCTAGAGACAAGGGCTCGTTGTCTTTTCCGAAATGGCCTTGTCCTCTTATTATGGGTTGAGGCTTCGTGTAGGATCCATCGCCTTGCAGCGCTCGAGACTTGTCCGCTCGACCCAGAACCTCAACCTCCGCCGCTTCGATTTCGTCGCTGGCTTCCATGACTCCATCACGGTCATATACCACACTGCTACAAAGGCAGCTATCTGAACTCCGACTCCCTGCTTTTCTGGAGGGCTAATGTGCCCACCACATCAAAAGCGAGACGGAGTTACGCCGCCCACTGTCCGTCTCAATCCCCATCGAACAGGTGGCCAGGTCTGCCACGCAGACCGCACCATCATGGCATCATCCTATCTTCATGACAACATCACAAAGGCATCATCAGCTACACACAATGACCCAAATACACATGGCCTGACTCACAAAGATAGCATGATGAGTATCTCGGGCCATGATGCTGGTGCCAAACCACCCTCGCTCGTACACAATGCGTATAAAACCCTCTTCTGCGACAGCTTACCTCTCTTTTGTTTGCCTGTAATCTCCAACTCCATCGCGGCCCTGATAGATCGAGCCACTCCCACAGCCAAAGCCAGTTGCTCAACACGCAGACAACGCCACTCATCATAAGCCGGCAATGAGCTTCCCAGGCGGAGGTACCAACCCAACTCACGGCCGCGATCCCGGGCCACCTCCCCCCCTTGCCGCTGCCACAGCGCCTCCTCCGCCCCCTGACTTCGGTCCTCCTCCGCCAGGCACCATGCTCACCGTCCCGCCTCAGTACTATCCGGTCCAAGGTGGCCTTGGTCAACCGCCGATGATGATGTACTGCAACCCCTACCTCCCGCCTCTGGCGCCGCCCCCCTACACCCAGCTCCCAGCATCCCTGGCAGCCCCTGCCGGCCTGACCCTCGGCACCACCCTCGCCGTCGGCCCAAACGGCCAACTCTATCAATACATCTCCGGCTTCAACAACTCCAACCGCTTCCCTGTGTCAGCGCCCGTCATCGACCCCGATTTCCCCGCCGCCAACCACATCAACAGCACCGGCGGCGCCGGCGTCGAGCCCGGGTTCAACTACTTCTTCCCAACCGAGCACGCCAAAGTCATCGTGCTGAAGTGCTCCGCGCCTCCCTGGACGCTCGTCCCGGGGACGTACAGCGACATTCCCTACCACGCGGCCAAAGTACCGGCCAACATCACCTTGGCCGAGCTGCTGGTCGGGTTCGGCGCGACTAACCCGGACAAGGCCAGGAACCAGTTATGGGAATGTTACCCTCAAGGCGGAGGCGCGTGGGGCTGGAAGGAGCACGTCACAGGGGATGATGTGATCATGATGGCGCGAACGGTGAGGGACATGGGGTGGGTGGAGAAGAGGGATGGGTGTGTGCAGACGGTGTATTTATGGATTACCAAGAGTTGATGATGGCCATGGTGGGGGAAAGGGCACAGAGATGAGGATGGCCATGTGGATGGATAAAGGGGAAAGGGACATAAGGAGAAGTCAAGAGCCGCGCTTGTGATTCGGTAAGTTGTCAAAAACAAAGGGAACCTAAGAATGACACCTTAGCAGTATGGTATTCGTTTTTGTACGTAAGATTTCGCTATGCAACAACCGCATTGCTCTGGGGCAATGGGCATCACATTCAAACCATGAGTTGTCACCCTTCCCTTTCGTCTCAACTCTCAAGCACCCGCCTTCCTGCCAGTTCTTCATAAAACAAATTTCGCATCCACACTGTCACCAACTCCTCCCAGGGAACCAGCACAGAGTTAACTCAGCGTCATTGGGAGGAGCTCTGGTTGAAACTTCAGCAACCGAAATCGTCGGGTTTGACTCCCGGCGAGAGAAGTAAACACTCTAGGTTTTTTCGTAGCAAACCACCTCTATTCGACCGTCACGGGAATAGCGCTGATTCGAGAGCTCTTTGCAGTTCTTTATGTTCGATAGCTTCGTTCTCCGAGTTTGAATCGAATTCCAACGTTCTGCTTTGGAGCTTCTGCAGTCCTGAAAATCATTCTCTCGTACTTTTGGATTGGTTCGCCACGCGAAAGACCCTGACTGGCCAGTATCCCTCCTGAAGCACAACAACCGCTTCTCTTCCTAAGATTCCCGGAGTGCGGCTTAAAGACGGACTCCAATCACACAACCACTCCCATCGCTTGGCTGTAGTAAGGGCAATTGCATGAGCTTAATGCGCTCTAGGTCTATGATGCAGATTTGCTGCAAGAATCATGAGAGAATGTCTGCATGCCTCCTATCACGCCGGGAAGTAATAACGATAGAGAGCGTCTGTAATTGCATACGAGAACCCGCTTCCAATCCTGTCAGCCTCCGTTCTTGTAGGCCAAGCACATCAGCGCCTAAGCATCGACGGACCCGATATGACAAGTGTGGTAAGATGTGCTGAGAATGGGATATTGAGGGCAGATAAATGGACCGCAATGTACTTGGGGTTGAGGGGCGCTTTGATGCGCAAATCATTCTCTAGGAGGCTCATGTGCCCAGGCGTGTCGCGCTTTCCTGTTGCCATCGCTGTGTCCACTTCCTAAAAGGGCAGGCGAGCATAGTGGGTCATTGCCAAGACGACATTCACAGCAATTGTCGGAAGGTTTCCGAGGTCTCGGCCTGGTTCCGACATCCTTCTTGGCGAATGCCATCTCCTCGAAACTTGCAGCGAAGGAACCGACAGACAATTCTTTTGCTGCGAAGTGCGTTTCTTTGACAGGGAGATCAAGCTTGAATCCTTTTCATTCTGCACATAGGTCCAACTGTTGCATTCTATGCCCACCTCTGTCACTCACCCATGTCAGGAGCAAGCCTCTCGAGGGCAGCGCCCCTGACGCGTGTGATCTGGTAGGTGGCATACGGCCCCGGTCCGCATTCAATTCCCGTAATCTTCGACGCTTCCCCGAAATGGGCCCGGAGCACCGGAGCGAGCGCGTCGAGCAGCGGCGACGAAGAAAAATTCCGCTAGCATGCGAGCCGTGCCGCGAGCGCAAGTCTCGATGCGACGGAGCGAAACCGATCTGCTCCACTTGCAAACGCCGCTCGCTTCCACTCCGTCACTGCATATACACTATTGAGAACGCCCGTACGGCCAGCAACGAAGCGTGAGTGGTCGTTCGACTGTTGTACGATCCGTTTCCGACTGAATTTAATTCACCAGCTACATCAAAATCTTGCACGATCGAATCCAGCGGCTTGAGAAAACATGCACCGACAACGGCATCCGAGTTCCTCCGCTAAGCCCCGGAGAGGGGGATGCGCCACATGCAGCCGGATCCCCGGCGTCTCCACTGAGCGCCGGTGAGCGACAGAGCGGATCTGGCCTTACCGAACCCTGCTCAAACCCTCCGAGACCAGTCATCCCCGGGCTTGCGCCCTGCGGTCACGGTTTTATCCCCTGACCATGAACGACTAGACGCCACAGAGTCAACGGTCAGCATCACTGCCATGGGCACCGTCTCGACGGAGCATGATGTTTGTCAGGCGTTTGATGCCGCCAACGAGTTTTACGGTAGCTCCTCGGCCGCATCTTTCATGAAGGAGGCCTACACGTCGGTAAAACCGCGTGAGCAGGCACACTCGACACACGAGTCCATTGTTCCGCGAGCAGAGTCTGTAAACTTCGCAAGAGCAGAAACTTTTGGGGGCTCCCTGTTCGCTCAAGCTGACAAGTTTGCGCTGCCACCCCGGAATCTAGCCGACCATTTATTGAGTTGCTTCTGGGAGAGAGTGTTCTGGCTGTACCCCCTTTTCCACAAGCCAACCTTCATCCGGGCCTATGAGAGCTTGTGGCGGCCGGCTCATGAGCAGCCAGCAGGACGAACACTCCCCGGACTGGGTCTGGGAAGCAGTCCAGGCGCAGATGCAGGAACAATCGTTTTCCACTCCGCCCTGAACACCATCTTCGCACTTGGTGCTCAGTTCGCTGATCTTAACCCAAAGGACAAGGCCTCGGCAATCGAGACTTTCTTTAACCGAGCAAAAGCCTTCATCGGCCTGGACTTCATTGACATGAACAGCGTCGGTGTTGTGCAATCACTTTTGCTGATGGCTTTGCTTTTACAAAGCACGCCGTTCCCAAGCCGCTGCTGGAACGCCGTCGGCCTGGCTTGCCGCGTCGCTCAGGGACTGGGCCTGCATACCGAGTCCGACCGCACTTCTCGGCCGCAGTTGGAGGTTGAGATTCGACGACGGACTTGGCACGGTTGTGTCATCTTGGATATGTATGCCGCCAACGCCGCTTCCAGCCCGCTCATGTTGACAATGTCTTGGCCATGCTAACATCGAGTTAGGATCGTCAGCATGACTTACGGGCGGCCAACCATGACGGCTCATGTACCGGATTTGCCGCTGCCAGCAACTGATGAGTTTGACGACGAATCCGGTCATGCACGAGGTCCCGGTCATGACAGCTCGTCGACCATGTGCTTCTATGTCGAGTTCATCCGGCAATGCCGGATCCTCGGCGACATCCTCATCAACGTCTATCAGTCCACCGCCTGCGGGCCACCATTTCTAGGGGATGAGCACAAGTCGCACGGAATGGACGCTATCTTGGAACTGGATGCGCAGCTTTCAAGATATGAAGCTGATTTACCGCCAATCATGTCCTGGACATCACCGTGTGACATCAGCAGCTTGGATGAAGAACGACGACTTATTCTTACTACTCAAAGGACCGTTCTTCAGGGAAGGCAAGGCGGCACACCCCAAGGATCGCAGTCGTTAGCTGACGAATCGTGTCACAGCTTCCTTTACCTCCGGTTGATGCTGCATCGCCCAATTCTCACCCAGCTTTGCGCGAACGCGACCTCGTCTCCTAGCACTGTGCCTACCTCTCCAGCCAGACCAAGACCGCTGCCCGTTGGCCAGGAACTATTCGCATCGTTTGCGGCAGGCTGCGTCAGGATATGTCTTGGGGCTGCGATGGATCTTATCGAACTTGTTCACGACACCTATCTGACGAATACTACCGGGGGATGGTGGTGGGATGGACTGTGTAGGTCTTCTTGAGACCTGTTTCATTGATGGCGCATCGCTGACGAATCGCTACAAGATGCCTTCACCGCCGGTCTCGTCGTCATCGTGAGCTACCTATCTCCCCATACCCTGCTTTCGCTCGATAGACAACGCGTCGAAAGGTCTTGGATGTTGTGTCAAACTATCCTGGCGCACCTTGCATCGTTTAGCATCTCGGCACAGAGGTCGCTCAAACTCCTTCAAAAGGTGCACGGAGATGTCATGTCTCGTTGCCTGGGTAAGGCATCTCACCTCTCATGGGCGGTACTGGCCGTATCTGACCACTGCCCACCTCAGATAAAGACCAAGAGGCACAACTGCGGCCTCCAACCATGTTCAATGCAGCGGCACCCGGAGAGACGGCGCGCCTAGGGCAAGATGCGGCGATCATGTATCCTGAAGAGGTAGTACCGCTAGGTTTGGGCAATACCTTCCAGTGGCAGTTGCCTGCGGGCTCAGGTCCGGACAGTTTCGGGGCTGGGATGGCTTTTAACTGGGACCAATCTTTGGATTTGATCACCGACGGCCTTGGGATGGGCATCTACCAATGATTTGGCATCGCCCTTTCACTCGAAATCAAAGGTAAGTTTAAGCACATGGCCGATTATTGCCGTTTAACATCAAACCTGGAACTAAGCCATGTATGTCCAGGTATTCCTAGGAAACGGTAAGATTGATACTCAATTCGCCAGCCACGGCATCTACTTGGAAACAGCCTGAACTCCGCCAGCCTCATCAATGGTCTGGAGCCCCGGGAACCTAACGCCCAGCTGGGCGGTAGTCCTGTGGACTCCAGCACGGAAAAGCCACACCGGTGCGGCCCTCTGCATGCGGTGTCAGTTGAAGGCAGCTCGGACTTGGTATGGGAAAGCACTTACCAACATGGCTATGTAGCTCATGATCCCGGGCAGGTAAATGACCCCGCCATACCCGCTGTACAGGGCCTCAACTATTGCCTCGCTCACCGTCTCAACATGCAGCAGCGGCGCCAGAAACTGCGGCTGCGTTGGCATTCCAACCACCAACGGCGTCCGAATGAAGTTGAAGACGCCATTCGTCAGCCTCACGCGCGGCGCATTATGCCGATACAGCAACTCCATCCCAAGTCCCTCGTACAGCGCCTGAATCCCCGCCTTGCTGGCCGCGTAGTCGACAATATCCGGCGGCGGCATGATGGCGCTGGTCGAGCACACGCTGACAATATGCCCGTGGTCGTTGCGCACCATCTCAGGCAGGAACTCCTTGATCAGCAGGAACGGCGCGATGAGGTTCGTCTTGAACGTCACCTCCACGTCGGCGTACGAACCCTCCATCACCGTACGCCCGCGCACCAGGCCGGCGTTGTTGACCAGCACCGTCGGGTGCCCAACCTCGTCCCGCACGCGGGCGCACACGGCGCGGATTGCGTCGGCCTTGCTGAGATCGGCTTGGAAACAGTGCACCTCAGAGTTAGGGGGAGGCGCCCAGCGGAGTGGAGCGAGGTCGATGATGACGATGGTGGTGCGCGGGTTGCGCCGCAGAAGGCCCTGCGCGACGTGCGCCCCGATGCCGCTGCTGCCGCCCGTGATAACGACGATCTCGCGCTCCCAGTGCGACCACTCGCCTGACCGGGAGGCTGTCCAGTTGTTGGCGGCCCATTTGTTGAGAAGGCTGTTGGCGGACAGGAGGAGCCCTGCGCTGCCGAGGTAGAGCGCCGCGCGGGCGAGTTGGCTGAGGGTCAGGACGGTGAGGTTGATGTTGAAGCGCGAGGCAAGGTCGAGGAGGTGGCCGAGATGGGTGGAGGAGGAGGGGTGAGTGAGCCAGGTTGCTGCTGCCGCGACCGGCAGGGCGAGATATTCGTTAAGGAGTGTCTTACGGATAATGCGGGCCACCGTGTCGATGTGGAAGCCCCCGTTCTCGCGATGCGTGGCCATTCTAACGGTATGAGCGGGCTGTGTGTAAACACCAGACTGCGTTGACTCGGGGGTCAGGGGTAATCAAAACAGCACAGCACCAAGACAGTCAACCGCGGGGGGGGGGGGGGGGGGG